TATCTTAAGTGGTAAGTGCCAGTATATATTTAGGGATCCCTTTGTCTCCTTTTAGCTAGCCTCAGTGTGGAACTCTAAGGATGGCAGGGTACTTAATGCTATCATGGCACCTTCACTCTTACCTTACTCAGGTTCTGTGTACTGCAAGGGGTCTTGAACCTATGGCCCACCAGATATTGTCTGCCTCTGACACCCATCAGCCCCTGCCAGCATAGCCAATGACCAGGGATTATGAGAACTGTGGTCCAAAAACATCTGGAGGGCCACAGGTTCAACACCATTGGTGCAATGGTTACCAAGATTGTTGAGATACATGAAGATATCCACCCTTGAGATAAATTCTTCTCTTGCAGAGAAGGTGCATGTTCCTGGCATTCAAAAAGCAACCATAGCCCTGTTTAGTGGAGAGAGGGCGTAGCCCATGCATACCAGCCAATGTTCCTGTGCATGCTGTGCACACATGCTTCACTTCCAACCTTCTTGGGTTCAGTGGGATGGTCTGAAGGGGAATCTTAAGGATATTTGGGAACATATGCTTACAAACTGCCCTGTGAGAGGCAACACTGAGATTAAGATGGAGACTGACAACCAGTGCTACCTCCCTGGACTGGATGCAAGTAAGAAGGCAGGTAGGTGGGGGCTGACCAAGGACAGAATGATCTTGGTGGGGCAGTGCCCCATTTGTCCTAAAGGACCAACCTCAACTGGATTTCTGCCTATGTTCATCTATGGGATAATGCATGTGATAATACAGCTTGCCAGGGGAGAAAAGTAGAGATGGTGTGAGGAATTACTGTACACATTTCCATGTTCTAGATCATGTACAGCTTATTTCTCAGAAGCCTTTGCATTTCCCTCATTCTTTACAGTCTCTGTGCTTCTCCTCTTTAGTCCTGAAGAGCAGAACTTAAAATTAAAACAAACAAACCCACCTGTAGACATCATTGTCCCCTCTTTCAGCAAGATTGTTTTGCCTTCAGCAAGGCTTTTCCCTCCTGGCACTCCCTTACTGGCCAGTCTCTCTTCATTAGGCAAGTTGTATCAGCAGCACATCACAGTGCTTAGTCTTCACAACTAGTATCGGCATGGGATTACAGAGGCCAGTCTGCTTTCATCAGGTGGGCTGCATCAGCAGAAGGTCACAATGGCCAGTCTTCAGGCCAGCAGTGTCATTATGAGATCACAATGGTCAGTTTTCAGGCCAGCAACATCATCACTGAGGACACAGTGGCCAGTCTGCCAGGCTTCCCTCAGGTGAGGAGCATCAGCACAAGGGCCTAACAGCCAGTCTCCTTTCTTCAGACATACCGCTGTGGTCCCTGAAGCAAGCACCCATAGTAATAACATGTGGAAATGTTACTCTCACATTCACACATTGTGGTTGGCAAAAAAAAAATAGGACCAGATGGGCACAGTTTCTTTGTCAATTAAGTGGATATATACATGAGCATGTGGGCACAGTTTCTTTCTCTTACCAATATGATCAACCACAGTCTGTAGAGCACAATAGCTACCAGTTTCTCATATTGAAATGGACAGCTGAGTGTGGATGTAGCAGTTTGAGAGACAGTGTGGTGTAGTGGTTAAGAGCGGTAGTCTTGTAATCTGGTGTCTCCGCTCCTCCACATGCAGCTGCTGGGTGACCTTGGGCTAGTCACACTTCTCTGAAGTCTCTCAGCCTCACTCACCTCACAGAGTGTTTGTTGTGGGGGAGGGAGGGAAAGGAGAATGTTAGCCGCTTTGAGACTCCTTAGGGTAGTGGTAAAGCGGGATATCAAATCCAAACTCTTCTTTGTAGGACCCTGTGCTCCTCTAGACATTGCTTGACTCCAACTCCCATCATCCCTGACGGCAGGGCTGGAGCTCATGGGAGCTAGAGTCCCAACAACATCTGGACAACATCTGGACAATCACAGATTCCACCACCCCTGAGATTATAGAAAGCAAAGGGTTGAACACCTGGAGGCAGAGGCACAAAGCAAGGTATGATACACAAGTACATAGGAGGACTTCATCTAACAGCAAGTGTCCTGATGCTAGATTAAAAGAGAAAGACTGGATGACAGATGGTGGGCAGAGGGAGGGGAATCAAGAGGAGAGGTGAAGTTGGGAGCACAGTGTGTGGACAGAATAATAATAATAATAATAATAATAATAATAATAATAATAATTTATTATTTATACCCCGCCCATCTGGCTGTGTTTCCCCAGCCACTCTGGATGGCTTCCAACAGAACACTAAAATACAATAACCTAGAATCATAGAATCATAGAGTTGGAAGAGACTTTAAGGGCCATCGAGTCCAACCCCCTGCCAAGCAGAAAACACCATCAGAGCACTCCTGACATATGGTTGTCAAGCCTCTGCTTAAAGACCTCCAAAGAAGGAGACTCCACCACACTCCTTGGCAGCAATTAAACACCTATTTAACCTATTAAACATTAAAAGCTTCCCTAAACAGGGCTGCCTTCAGATGTCTTCTAAAAGTTTGGTAGTTATTTTTCTCTTTGACATCAGGTGGGAGGGCGTTCCACAGGGCAGGTGCCACTACCAAGAAGGCCCTTTGCCTGGTTCCCTGTAACTTGGCTTCTCGTAGTGAGGGAACCGCCAGAAGGCCCTCGGCGCTGGACCTCAGAGTCTGGGCAGAACGATGGAGGTGGAGACGCTCCTTCAGGTATACTGGTCCGAGGCCGTTTAGGGCTTTAAAGGTCAGCACCAACACTTTGAATTGTGCTCGGAAACGTACTGGAAGCCAGTGTAGGTCTTTCAAGACCGGTGTTACATGGTCTCAGCGGCCGCTCCCAGTGACCAGTCTAGCTGACCGCATTCTGGATTAGTTGTAGTTTCCGTGTCACCTTCAAAGGTAGCCCCACATAGAGCTCATTGCAGTAGTCCAAGCGGGAGATAACCAGAGCATGCACCACTCTGCCGAGACAGTCTGCGGGCAGGTAGGGTCTCAGCCTGCTTATCAGATGGAGCTGATAAACAGCTGCCCTGGACACAGAATTTACCTGCGCCTCCATGGACAGCTGTGAGTCCAGAATGACTCCCAGGCTGCACACCTGGTCCTTCAGGGGCACAGTTACCCCATTCAGGACCAGGGTGTCCTCCACACCTGCCCGCCTCCTGTCCCCCAAAAACAGTACTTCTGTCTTGTCAGGATTCAACCTCAATCTGTTAACCGCCACCATCCTCCAACAGAAGTAGTGATGTTCACCCTGGGCATGGCAGCTCCTTGCTCAGAATCACAGGGCAACTCACAGAAGACCAGCAATGGAAAATAAATGTTCATGAACAACAGTAGCTAGGGAAAGGGGGGAAACCAGAGATGCAGAAAAGCAAGCCAGCAAACTGGAAGAAGGAGAACATTAAAATGTAACATTTTTAAAAATGGCAATAAAAGTAAAAACAGCACCCAAGTAAAAGTAAGGCCTTCGATAGGGGCCTCATTGAGGAAGGAAACACAGCAGGAGGAAATTAAGAGACACTGAAGAGAGGAAATGGGCATCATGCCCTCCCCACACAGAATTATCAGCTGACAATATCCAAGCAAGGCTGTAATTGTTTTTACAGTCAGGGCCGTCTCTACCTGGGGGTGCATGGGGTGTGGGGCACCCGGGTGCTGAATTCTGGGAGGCGCCAGGTGTCCACTCCTGAAGCCACCTAAGCTCTTAACCGCGCCTGGCGGTTGATCGCGGTCAATTGCTGGGTCATTTCCGTTCTCTTTTGCGGAAAAGTTGCAGAATCAATGTATTCTGTGGCACCCCCTAGTGGTATCTTTCATTTTCGCATGATCACAAAAACTGAAGATGGAGCTATCGCTGCCGCTTTTTATTTTTTCATGTTAGCAGTTTTTGCTTTTTCCTTCCTTAAAACCTCAACAACTTTGACGTGCCTCCCCAAATTGGGGGCAGTGGGTGGACCTTTGCACCCCAGTGGTGCATTTGCTAAAGATGGCCCTGTTTACAGTGGCCCTACCCTAACCACTTTGGGTATTCCCAGTAAGTGGTATCACCATCAAACGAAGCTCACAGGGTCTACCTAATGTGTTTGCAATTATCATTCATTCATTAATTCATTCTAGTTTTCCTTTCAGTCTCATAGCAGTGTAGGAAATAAAAGTTGTTGAGCTTTTTTTCGAAAATCAAAGTTGTTGAGCTTCTCTTGGGAAATCAAGGGTAAAAATACCCTGTAAATAGGATATTGTGGGGGACAAGCTTCTGCTTGGGAGGGCAGAACCTCTGATAATTGAGTACTTTCAATGCTTTTCAATAATTTTTGTAGGTGTGGGGCAGCGCTGATTTATATATCTGAAAAGTATAAATAAATTTATTTTTTTTAAAATAGTTTTGGTCAATGCAATACTAAAATGAAAGTGACCAATTTTGTTTTAGTTATGCATTAATTAAAACAAAACACTTCTCTTATTGCTAAGACTCAGCCTTTCCTCTGTTGTGCAATGACTTACACACTAGTCCCAAATGCTCTGAATATTTGCCCATTGACCCCAAGATATCTAAGGGCAATTTCAGATGTCGGTTTGACAGTTTGTCTGCTGAATGCCAGTAAAAAGCTAAGAGCTTATCTTTCTCCTGCCTGCTGCATCTCTCACGTGGGTGTATTATAAGCCTGTTGAACTCAAGTGGCCTTACTTCTGAGTAGGCATATATAGGATTGCACTGTAAGGCGGCCCTTCTCTCACTTTCCTGGGAGTAAGTCCCGTTGGATTCAGTAAGACTTACTTCTGAGTGGAAATACTTGAACACGCGTTTGCTTTTTTAAAAAATTGTGGGTCTGATTTTTGAGTAGACGTGTGAGACTGCGCCCGCCTCAGTAACCCGAGAGCCAACGCCTACGTGCGGCATCTTTCCATCCTACGCAAGCTAATTTTGGGGAACCCCCCCCCCCCGGGATTTCCACGGGGCGCCTCTCCCGCCGGCCCTTTCTGCCTGAGGCTGCGCTGAGCCCCGTCACCCATTCCTTCCTCCGCACACGAGGTGGCGCTTCGAGGCCCCGTCTGGCAGCCGTCGGGCTGGGCTGGGAGGCGACGGAGCCGAAGCGCCGCGCTTGCGCTCAGGAGCAGCGGCGGCGGCGTGGGCGGAGAGGCGGCTTCAGAGGCTAAAGGTCCTCAGAGCGAGTAGCGGCGGTGGCAGCAGCAGCAGCAGCAGCGGCCGCGGGAGCCTTCGCTTTGTCGCCAAGATGCCGGCTGTGTCGAAGGGGGACGGGATGCGCGGGCTGGCCGTCTTCATCTCCGACATCAGGAACTGTAAGCGCGGCAGCCCCGGACGAGGAGGAACTGGGGGCGGGGGGTCCCCCGTTGCGCTGGTAGTGGGGAGAGGAAAGGGAGGTCACTTGGGCAGGGGCCGTTAGCTATGGGGAGAAGCGGGAGGTGGGGAGGTATCTGGGGGGCCGGGGCTGCCTCTGTCGGGCGGGGCTCCCGGGGGACTCCCCGGCTCGCCCGAGTCTTGCAGTGACTTGCGGTTCCTTTTCCTAGGAAAGAGATCCTCGGCTCAGTATTGCGGAAGGCGGGGGGGGGGGGGAGCGGCGTTCCTTCTCCGTAGGGCTGGGGCGGCGTGAACTCGGATTCCTCCAGCTAGGAGGGGCCCTGTTTACAAGGCTTGCGGACGTGTGTGTGTGGAGGGGTGGGGGGAGATGAGGACATGCCTGTCAGACAGGGTTGCATTGGGATCCTTTGCAGAAGAGAGTGAAGCGGCTTGTTTGCATGTGATAGCGTGGCTGTTCAGGAAGGGGGGATGGGGGGAGGAATTGTGGGGGTCAAGATCCTGGATCCCCTTCTCCCTTAAAATGATCTGGTTGGCTGGCTGGCTTGCTCGCACGCTCACGGAAATCCCTAGTTGTCGTTTCTGAAATAGCCTTAGAGCTATGGTGGTGCTAATCCTGTATATTTTGATTTGGAAATCTGGGCTGGGCTGAATCAGTCTCGCCGGTCGGCTGCCTGTATAAAAGGCGCAGAGAGCCAAGCTATGTGCCAGTTCACATCCTGGAAAATGGGTCCTAAGGAAAGGTGCAAATGTTTCCTAATTTGGGTGGGGAGAAAGTAGGAGAGGCGAGGAAAGAAATACACTGGGACCAGTAGGATGGAGGTAAACATGAGTATTGGAAGCGAAAAAGGCAGCTGGTGTAGGGAAGGAAGTATCCCCCCCCCAAGTCTATGTATGAACCAGGAAACTTACTCCAGTATTATGAATATGCCTGTTAGTGGTGTCTTGTGTGCAGGAAAGCACAAAGCAGTAGGGCAGGTACAGTAAGAGAAGCTTTGGCTTCTTTAGTTCCAGCTCTTGTCAAAAATGTGGGTTTTTTAAAAAGCTGTCTTCCTAAAAATGGCCACTAGCCCCACTCGCTAGAATCTCTTGCTTTTTAAATCACTTACAATATGTATGTGCTGAAAACGGAATAGCTTCCACTGGCCTACTGAAATGTGATCCATTTTAGAATAACCAAATGTAGCTTAGTTGGCCTGCCCCCAAACACATTTGTTGCCTAAATGACTGTTTTAATTCCAAAACAATAACAGTTGGAATGGCACAGGCTGAATTGCATGCATTTAGAAGGCAAGTTAGTTAAATTGGTACAGTTTCTGTGTCTAGATAAGCCTGCAGTCATCTGAGGTTTTTGCAAATTCCCTGCTGCGTCCTAATCTTCTTTTGGCAGTGTGGCCACTGTCTTCAGGAGATACTTAAGAGCAAAGCTGGAGAGGCCTGTCTAAACTGGTGAACTGGCCAGTGTTAATCTTAAGAACTAATGGCCTGGTGTAGGTATGCCAGCACACACTCCACAGATACAGTATTTCCAACTTTGAGGAGAAAATTCTGTATGTTGCCTGTCAGAGATTACTGATGCTGCACAAATCTGTGTATAAATATTATTGTTGCTAGAAAGAAGTTACCTGGCTCCAGGTAAAGGTAAAGGGACCCCTGACCATTAGGTCCAGTCGTGACCGAATCTGGGGTTGTGGTGCTCATCTCGCTTTATTGGCCGAGGGAGCCGGCGTACAGCTTCCGGGTCATGTGGCCAGCATGACTGAGCCGCTTCTGGCGAACCAGAGCAGCGCACGGAAACGCCTTTTACCTTCCTGCCGGAGCGGTACCTATTTATCTACTTGCACTTTGACGTGCTTTCGAACTGCTAGGTTGGCAGGAGCAGGGATCGAGCAACGGGAGCTCACCCCGTAGCAGGGATTTGAACCGCCAACCTTCTGATCGGCAGGTCCTAGGCTCTGTGGTTTAACCCACAGCGCCACCCGCGTCCAGGTACCTTAGAGTTATCTTTTAGTAACCTGGATGAAAAGGGGTGATTTGATTCCTAGGGTGCTTCAAGAGAAGGCATCTCCTCCATTACCCTAAGGCCAAATCAGGATGTACAACATGAAGTGTATCAAAGTAGAAGTACTTCTAGCACAGGTGTGTCACATAATGATGCCTGACTATGTACTACTAGTTGATTTATTATTATTAGGGCAGTTCACAAGATTTTTTTAAAAAATATCCTTATATTCCACTTATATTAGCTGTTTCTGTAACAGAGTTTGCCACAGCTTCCATTTGACTGTGGGTATTATGCGCACTGAATCAACATACCCATCACCTGCAGAAAATAAAAATACTAACGTTGCTGTGGGAAACCACTGTTCAAAAGTGACCTTTCAGTCACCGAGCATATTGATGTTGGTTATGCTCTAGTGCTAGAGTACAATTGAGAGCTATTGCCCAAATACCCAGTTTGAAGAAGCTTGTCTGCCCAGCCTGATACACAGCTTAGCTGCATTTTCATTTGTCAGTGCAGTTCTTGTTATACCTATTTGGAAGAAATTCCTCTTGACCTGCAGATGTAATAGACATAGTAGCACTTCAGTGAAACTTCCTTGTATATTTTGTGTGTATGTGTTGAGAAAATTGTCTCTTATCCTGCATTCTAAGTGGAAATATATTGAGCTATTGGAATAAAATTATCAAAATGCTTATGTTGCCAACATGAATTCTTCATGTACAGCAGTTTTTTTTCCCTGAGGGGGATTACTTGAAGAAATGTTTCATAACCCTATAGTAAAGCTCATGTTCTAGGATCCATGTCCTGTGTTCTGTATTTTGACAGGCAGAGGGGAAGAGGCATTGTTGAGTCAGACCACTGGATCGGCATTAAATTTTGACTTTATGCAGATCTGATGGTCTGACTCACCACTGCCTGTCAAATTGCAGCAGCAGGACATGAATCCAATATGATTAGCTCAACTGTAAGATTCCTTCATGCCCCCAACATATAAAAATAAAAGCTTAGAGGTTTATAGTAACCCATTCCTTTAAGCAGAACATTTAAAATGCACATTTCAGCTACTTAATGCCTGGGGAGGGAAAGTGTCAAATTGGTTGTGTCTCCCATCTTCTGTACTGATTTAAAATAGCCTTTAGATCACAACAAAAATCACACTGCACCTATGTGATGGGAAGCAGTAAAAATAATAACCTGCAGTGATTGTAAACTGGGAGAGGACAAATTTTTGTGGGCTTTTATTTTTAAATACAGTGGTACCTCGGGCTAAGAACTTAATTCATTCTTGAGGTCTGTTCTTAACCTGAAACTGTTCTTAACATGAAGCACCACTTTAGCTAATGGGGCCTCCTGCTGCTGCCGCTGCTCCGCTGCTGCACGATTTCTGTTCTCATCCTGAAGCAAAGTTCTTAACCCAAGGTACTATTTCTGGGTTAGTGGAGTCTGTAACCTGAAGCGTCTGTAACCTGAACATCTGAACATACCTTTCTCCTACTGAACCTGGTTCTTCATTTCTGTTCCTGCTAGTCAACTTCAATAGCTGTATGTAATCCATTCATTCCTGAAGTTCCTGAGGCCCTGCTCCAAGCATCCCTTCTAAATGGAAGTGTGGAGGGTAACTGCTACAGGAGAGGACATTATTGGTAGTGATGCCCTGGTTTTATATCTGCCTCCCCAGAGGGATTCACCTGGTGCTACCTTGATGGTCTTCTCAATGCTAGGTCAAGGCCTTTATATCCACAGAGTCTTTTCCTCTGGAAAGGATGCTTGTAATTGATGTGCACGTAAGCAGCATGTTCTGAGCTCTTGCTTCATGCCTTTGTGGAATATATAACCAATATACTAAGTAAAATACCTCTATTAAATCTAGATGTTATTAATGATATTAAAAATGTGTAATAGGCTGAGGCTTGCGATTAATGCTGCAGTCCAATGTGGTGATGGGCATAATATAAAAGAGGGGGGAAATGTGTGTCTTAAACAGAAAAAGGCTTTTTCTTGTGTTGCTTTGACTTTCAGTTCAGCTAATTTCAGCAACACTGATGGGTTTTGCAAGCGGAAAACAAACCACTCCATGTACTCAGTGATGTGTTTATATAATCAAGGATTTGGTGGCTGACGTCCTGAAATGATATCCCCTGTTGATCAAGACACACAATTAATTCCACATTGTTCCATACACACTTCTTTGTCACTGTGGGCACCTTCTGCACACCATAATTAAGCACTTCCAGCTGACTGCAGAGAAGGCTGGCAATGCTTGTTTGTAACATCTGAGGCTCTGCTATGTCTGTGGCGAATTCTGAATTATCTTCCTGCCTTTTTACGTGACATATCAGGGTAACTATTGCTTATGCAGTAGACATATATCATAGGGCACAAGTGACAGTTAGAGGAGGAGCTGAAGGCAGCTTTATAGTGTTTCCAGCTTTGGGTGGTATAAAACTATTGGGAACTAATAATTTTACACCTGTCTTGGGCCTCTGATTATCCCTAAAAGGGTAGGTAAAGTAACCTTGTTGTTAAAACTTGACGGCATTACCTTGCCTTTCTGTTAATGGTGCTCGTACAGAGTGGGGCAGCAGTTGCTCTCAGTAGGAAGTCTGGGAATATTCCAAAGAAACCTTATTCAGAACCCAGCTTTTTCTCTAAACACTGTAGTACCTGAAGTTGCAGCACTCACTAGGCACCACTGCTTATGATGTCCTCCCTTAGAGACTTCTCTGTAAGGCTCCCATGATGCATTGGCAGGTCCAATCCAGCTTTTGTGAGTAATTGGTGCAAATTGATAAAGGATTAGAATAATATTCACTGATCTCCCACTCCCTACAAGAACTCTAGTAGGTGCATTCTGGGCCAGTTGACTTTTTCCAGGTTGGCCTTAAGTAGCCCTACACAGATTGCATCTTGGTAATCTGCACCAAAGGGCACAGATGTCTGGGCCTAGGTCCAACCTCTCCAAATCAGAGCACAGTTGGCAAATCGGCTGAAGTTGTAAAATGTATGTTTGACACTCTGATTTCTGTCAGTTCCTGCTTTGCCCACAGTGTTTCTGAATGTTGAGTATGGGGAGAGAAAGCTGCATGGTTTTATCTGCCTGTCAGTGAAAGAGGCATGCCTCTGCAAAACCTGTTTGTTGAAGTGCTCTGCCCTTGTGGCCCATGCAAAAAAGAGAGTAGCACAAGAATAACTTCACTGATGTGCTGTTGGTTAAAGTGCGTCTTCCTCAAAGTTGCCTCCATCTGAGGAAGAGAGGGGAACTAGCCCCATTGTATATCGGGTGTGTGTGTGTGTGTGTGTGTAGAGAGAGTCTCTTCCTTTAAATTCCTGGGAGTTTATCTTAGTGAAGACCTCACTTGGAAAAACAATATAACTGAGGTGGTTAGGAAGGCCCAACAGAGACTCCATTTTCTCAGGGTCCTGCGAAAGAATAATGTTAAACAACAATTGATGACCTCCTTCTACTGGTCCACAATAGAAAGTGTCCTCTCATATTGTATCACAGTGTGGTACGTTGGCTTGACAGCCATGGACAGAAAGTCTTTACAGAGGGTGGTGAACACAGCACATGATATCATGGGCTGTTCCCTGAGCCCACTAGATGACATCGCAAGGGATTGTTGCCTTAGGAGAGCGAGAAAAATTCTCAGGGACGATTCACACCCCGGCCAGCACCTCTTTAACCTTCTACCCTCGCGCAGGAGATAAAGAAGTATAATCAGTCATACCAACAGGCTAAAAAACAGTTTCTATCCATGGGCTCTTAGGCTGCTGAACGGAAAATAATATAGTGCAACTGACTTTCGGGGTTGGTGTGTTGTGTGACAAGCACACAGGGTGCAATGAGATTGAGTGTTTGTGTGGGGAGGAGGGAGGCTCGGTTAATTTCATTGTACACAGGTTGTACGTTGACAATAAAGCTATTATTATTATAATCTGTAGAAAACTCAAATCAAATAGCCCCCTATAATTTGTATGTACGTATACTTGGGCTCTCTGTGCATACTTCTCTTCTCCTTTTCTATACTTTGTTTGATTCTTGCAGTGGCTCTACTTGGAAATGGCCGTGGCTGGAGATAGAAATCAGATGAACCCCTTGCAAACTCTTCAAGGCATAGTGCTGTAAAGTTCCAAGTGGAGCCAACATCAGTACTGATGTCATTAAAACAAAACACTTGGTCCAATCCAAGGCCCTGTATTTCTGTATGTTGTGTGGGACAATAATGCAATGAATATGACTTATTCCTCTCAGGTAGCCATGTCAAGTTTGTACAATTCCTTACTGCAAGCTTTGGTAAATTGCCTCCTTGAGCATTAGCAGCTTCCTTGCTGGAGAAGGAGCCCCCCAAAGTGCTGATTGGTTATGCTAAAGCAGGCATGGCCAACCTGGTCCTCCAGATGTTTTGGGACTACAATTCCCATCATCCCTGACCACTGGTTCTGTTAGGGATGATGGGAGTTGTAGTCCTAAAACATCTGGAGGGCCAAGTTTGGCCATGCCTGCGCTAAAGCAAACAAGGCCGGCCAGAACATAAGTATTGTTCAATGTCACTATGTTAAAAATTAAATTAAAAAGTTGGTGGTAGGGTGATGGTGGCAAGCAACATTCTTAGTTGTCCAGCAAATTGTTGGAAAACACAAAAGGCAGAAACACTATCCCTTGATGAAAGATGTGGCTGCCGGGAGTCGGGAGGATGGTGTAAGATTAGTACAAAATAGTTCTTCAGTTTTCCTCTTCCATCTTGATTTAAAGGTATACATGGCAAAAGGTGAAAGGAGGAGGAAGGGCCTTTTTCTTACTCCTAAGGAGGTACTTCAATGCACATCTCTTTATAGATTTCTTTTTGGGGAGGGGGCAGTGTAAAGTCTATCACTTTAAATCTGCTCCTGAGGAATTGGGATACTTTGATTGGGTGTAGTCTGTCCAAATAAGCCTCCTCTTGATTTAAATGGAATGTAGGTGGTGTTTCTATTCCCACTTTCCTGAAAGTAAGTACCGCTGTACTCTGACTGTATAGTGTTGTGCTGTCAAATGCTTTTATTTTGCTAGATTGCTTCTGAAATTGTATGTTGCTGCTATCTTCATTGCAGTTGTTTGTTTGTTTTGTGTGTGTATTTTTTTTTTTAAATATGAAATTTCTAAGTTGCCTCAAGTTTTGGAGGAGTGAGGTATAAATGGAATCCTGCAGTTAGGGGATCCAGTGATGTGTTAACAAAGTTCTGCAATGGGGTATTCTGCCCTATCTTTGTACTGCATTTAGTTGTGTCTCCTTGAAAAGCAGCTCCTGAGATTATGGGACAAGGGAGAACTGGCAGAAATGGAGGGGTGGCTTTTGGTCAAGCAAGAAACTCTCTGGATCCCAGACGTAATGTATTCAAGTTGAAAAACAACACGATGAACTCTTCCTCTCTTTTTACAGTAAAAAAGGTGTTATAAGTCATTGGCTACTATTGAAAATGGTCGTTATCTAGCTATGTGAAGGCTTGATTCCCCTGCCCTTTTGCAGTTGATTGTATTTGCACTACTGAGTTGCCAAATCCTTATGGAGGGAAATGTATGTGGTTGTAGACTGTCAAGTATTTTGTTCTATATCAGCTACTTTGCTTATTTCTGATCTTGCATCTACATCCTTATTAAATAGGCCACCTTAGAAATAGTAATTAAATCAAACTTTGTGTGTACGTACAACCGAAAGATTTTTTACTTGACTGGCAACTGTGTGATATGTTTAAGTAAATGTGTTTTGTCAAGTAGTATTAGCATAAACATGGATGTTGCTCCAGAAAGGTATCTTCCTTTCCTCTCCTCTACTCCCAAATTATATTCTCTTTGAGGCAGCCAAAGCAACAACAGTCAATGATTGGTTTCAGTGTTTTTCTCCTTGCCTTGCTCCATTAAAAAGCAATTTTAATAAAGTAAGTTTGTGGCTAAAATGGATAGTTCAGTAAATGAGGCATTTTGGATATATGGAAAACATAGATTATGCAGTTTATCACTATTGAGCAATCGGGACTCACAGACAGCTGGTTTTGAAGACAACTCTCTCTGAGGTAATGGCTGCCATGATGACCATGGGGCTGTCCCAACAAGTCACTGGCCCAACGCATGTGGCAGGCCACATACAGGACTTTGTATCCTTAACTGGGTAGGAAGAGAATAATATGAAAGTGGAGGATATTGACACTCGTCCCTTGTCATGGTTGGATCACGTCCTGTTGAGATTTTGGCTTTCAGCACCTTTCCCCCTCTACAAAGGCAGGAGACCTATTAGGATAGTCCACTCTCAGGGTGATAGAGCCAATGGGTTTCCAGACAGCTTTGGGGGATTTTCCAGCTGATCTGACTGGTGCTCATGTTGAACCTCTGGCTGATGTCTGGAACATGGGAATGGCTGTTGACACAATGTTCCTGAGCTCCCTCTTCCATTTTGTGGAGCCTCCTTGGCTCCCTGGTATATTCCAGAGCTTAGGGCGAGGAAACAAGCTGGGAGGTGGTTCAAACGTGACTTGAAGAAAACTCTGTTCAAATGCAATCAAACATTACTGAGGGCTCATCACTGAGCCTTCTAGTGGCAGTGGAGGCAGAAAAGAAGGCATTCTTTGCTTCCTTCATTGCAGCCTCATTGTGTCATGTGGCACAGCTTTTCTGGGTAGTGTGGGGCTTCTTACAGTCTGGCCTGAAGGAGGTGGCAGAACTGATAGTAGCTCACTGTGACTTGTTTGCAATGTTTTTTGAGAATAAAATTGCTTGCACCCACCAGGATCTTGATTCCATTATTACAGCAAATGAATCTCAAGGGGTGTTTAGAGCACTGTCTAGTCCTGTTGCGTTGGGTGAGTTTTAGTTGGTAAGGCTTGAAGATGTGAACAAGGTGCTTGGATCTGTCTGGATGACGACTTGCGTTCTGGACCCTTGCCCCTCTTGGCTCATAAAAACTACCAGAGAAGGGTCAGGGAGGTGATTAATGCCTCCCTGCAAGAAAGGGTGGTTCTTGGCTGCTTGAAGGAGGCCGTAGTAAAACCACTCCTCAAGAAATCCTCCTTGGATCCAGAAAATCTAAGGAATTACTGGTCAATGGCAAATTTCCTCTTTTGGAGCAAGGTTCTTGAGTGGGTGGACCAGATCCAGACGCTCTTGGAGGAACCTGATTTTGTAGGTCTGTTTCAGTTGGGGTTTAGGCCGAGTTTTGGCACAGAAGCTGCTTTTGTAGCCCTTGTATGATGATGTCTGTTGGGAGAGACACGGGAAATGTGCCCCTGTTCATTCCCCTTGACCTATCAGCGGCTTTCAATACCATCAACCATGGTATCCTTCTGGAGCACCAAATCCTTTATGGTGATTCTGGTCCTGCTTGTATGGTTGTTTCTGCAGAGTGATGCTTGGAGAGTGCTCTTCTGCCCCCATGGAGCCTTCAATGTGGGGCTCCTCAGGATTTGATTTTATCCTCTATGCTGTTTAGCGTGTACATAAAGCTGCTGAGTGGGATTATCTGTAATTTTGGAGTACATTTTCAGCAATTTACTGATGACACACAGCTCTACTTCTCCTTTATATCTGCTGGTGTGGCAGTGAATGTGCTGGACTGCTGTCTTGCCTTGGTAATGGACTGAATGAGAGCCAACCAACTGAAATTCAATATAGATAAGACTGAGGTGCTGTTAGTGGGTGATCCCCTGCTTGAGGTTCAGGTGGCCTCAGTGGTGCAGAGTGCCATCCATCAGCTTTGGCTGGTGGCCCAGCTGCGTCCCTCTCTGGACAGGGACAGCCTAACTTCTGTTGTCAAACATCTCAGGACCACAATACCTCAAGAACTGCCTCACCCCATATGAACCAACCTGGGACCTGTGATCATCATTTGAGACCCTTTTTCATTTGTCTCTTTGTGAGGGGTCTGGAGGGTGACAACATAAGAATAGGCTTTTTCTGTGGTGGCTCCCTGTTTGTGGAGTGCTCTCCCCAGGGAGGCTCACCTTAGGTGCTAGGTGAAAATGTTTCTCTATAACTAGCCCTTTGACTAATTAACTTTCTATGCCCTTTTAAATGGGAGGTTGGATATTGGTTTGTTTTTGTTTTACTATGTATTTTGTGTTCTCTTTTTGTATTTTTATGTTATGAACCACCCTGTGCTCTCTGGATGAAGGGTGGTTTACAAATTTAATAAAGAATAATATAAATGAAAATAGTGTGTTTTGTAAGGAACCTATGGTGTGTAAGAAAAATAGCTATAGTGACATGGGTGGGTGGGAAGGACAAAACACTTCATACAAGTAAGCAATGCCTTAAAATATGGTAAAAAGGATAAATGGTACTTGGAAAGAATAGAGAATATACATAATATCATAAACTTGTACAGAACCGGGTTTTCTTTATCCAGTATTGGAGAGCAGAGCACTTTGTAGGAGTGATGCAACCATACTATTCGGTAGAATTTTGAAACATTTTAACTAAATACCCTCCACTAGTGAGCTAATTCTAGCTCTAAATGCATCATGGTTTTTCTTTGATCTTGTTTGATCGGATGCTACCCTTGACCTCGTACGAAGGGCAGCAAAACTAAATATTTATACTGGGGAAGCCATTTAGTCAGCATTCTCTTCTTGTTAGGTTGATCTCCTGAAGTGGATTGACTTAGCTTTTTTTTAACCCTCTTGCTAGACTTGGCCTGAACTCTGGCAGTTTTGTTGTTGCCTCTTAGTTCTGGGTGGGGAGTCACTAAACAGTTTTGCAGTGTTTTATGACTAGCACAAACTGCAGCTTTTTGTGGCGTTTGCCATGTTATAACTGGTTTGTTATATTTATATTTTTCATTTCTGCTATTTCATTTTCATTTAGAGGAAAACACTAAAGTGGCATTTAGCATATTAAAACAATACAACACTTTATTTATATTACGGTAAATACTTATAGACCACAGAGTGGCTGGGGAAACACAACCAGATGGCCAGGGAATAATAATAATAATAATAATAATAGCATTACTAGGTAACATAGCAATAAAATATTGCAAATAAAAGCATCCCCACCCCCAAAGAGGAATAAGATACTGTTAATCTGTCTGGGAAGCCCTGTTACAAATAGGAGTTTTGGGCAACCTCTCTTGGGCAACCGACCCTGCTCTTATCTCCTGAATAAACCTCTGAGCATTTAGGAATTTTCTGGATTCCAAAAGTCTCCAGCAGTAAGCCAACCAAATAGTCATCCCACCCCACCTGGCATCCCTGCAGAGTTTTCTTCCCAAACCTCCCTAGAAAGTGGTCTGATCATGACAATTGGTTTATACAACCCTGCTGTATTCAGACCACACCCCTCATCCTCTGAGACCAAATCCATGTTACGTCCTGCTCTGTGTGTTGGGCCAGTGACCAGCTGAGACAGCCCAGTGGAGTGGGGGCTGGGTGGGCAAAGCTAAGTCAGTTCAGCTCTGCCCACTTTATCCACGCAGATCTCAGTAGTGCACGCCAGGCCAGTTCCCTCATCCCCAAGTCATGAATGAGTGAGATCTTAATATGGACCAAGCGGGAATTCAGAACCACCAGTGTAGGGGAGCACAGTGGAATCTGCTCTTGGGAAAGGGGGTGGAGAAGGGAACAAGGCACAAACCATTGAAATTTCACCTTCCACAATGACCCACCCCTACACTGTTGCCATATTTCCCTCTGCTTGATACTCACCACTAGAATGATGAATAAACAGCAAGAACATCAGGAATTGGTACTGTCAGGAAACACTGGAGTTTTCATATGCCAACAGACACACTTCACTCTAAGCAAGTGACATTGATGGGAACTGTGTGTGTGTGTTGTGGTGTTTGTGGCAATCTGGAAAGGTGGGCTTGTATATCACACTGATTTTTCACTTGTGTTCTGGGCCACTAAGTGACCCAGAACAGTACCAGCGGCCAGCGCTGTGAACAGCTTCCCAGGGGCCTATGGTCTTAAAAATAGCTTTCCCCCTCCAAGGCTTGGTTGAACATAGCATTTGAAGTTAATTGTGCAAAAAAGAGAACCCTCCAAGGGCAAGCACATTTTTTAAAAAAAGGAGAGAGGGAAGTATAGCTCCACTGTAAACCTGGTAGCTTTATTTATTTTTTTTGTCCTGCAGCCTTGCTGATTTAGGCTTGAACACTGAATTTTGGCTGAACTGAGCTGTCATGAATTTCTCCACACTTATTAGCTTGTTGTTAAAAAGGGATTGGCCATCTGTAACAAAAACAAGAGGAAGCTCTGTGGTGCAGTAATCTGCAGGGAGCACATCACAAAGATAATCCTCTGCTGCTGAGAACAAATAAGGCAAAATAAACCACAAAGGCGTGAGGGAATGACTTGTCGATCAGACTTCAGAGAATGTTATTTCTAAAATTAACAAAGTAGGCTTGAATAAAGAAGAAAGTTGGGGTTATCACTTGTGTACTACATGAATTGGAATTGGAGGAAGTGCTGTGTTTAATAGCTGCAAGAGCCAGACTTGTTTGGAAGGACCTGTTTTTTTCCCTGTTTTGTGTTTCTTTGTGTGTGCATGCAGTGACTGGTTTGTGCTATGAAGCCTAGGACCCTCGTACCTACGGGACCGCCTCTCCTGGTATGCCCCACGGAGAGCCTCAAGGTCCATAAATAACAACACCCTAGTGGTCCCAGGCCCTAAGGAAGTTAGATTGGCTTCAACCAGAGCCAGGGCCTTTTCAACTCTGGCTCCGGCCTGGTGGAACGCTCTGCCTCATGAGACCAGGGCCCGGCAGGATCTGACTTCTTTCCGCAGGGCCTGTAAGACAGAGTTGTTCCGCCTGGCCTTTGGCTTGGAGCCAATTTGATTCCCTCCCTCCCTCTCTTTCTTTTTTCTTTTCCTTCTCCTCCTGCGATGAGGCTACATTTTAATATTTTAATGTTCCATTATTTTAATGTTGTATTTTATTTTTGTTTTTAAGTTGTAATCATTCATCTTGTTTTTATTATTGCTTGCAAGCCGCTCTGAGCCCGGCCTTGGCTGGGGAGGGTGGGGTATAAATAAAATATTATTATTATTATTATTATTACCAAAAGGACTTTAAAGTGGGTGGGAAGAAACCTTCTCGCAAAACCTTTCCCATGAAGGTGATTCTCAGGGACGGGATGCAACAGTTTGGCCCCTCATCCCTCCTTTACCATTCCCTCTTCTGTCAATATTTAGACTTGTGAGTGATATTTCTTAGGTAGCCATAAGAGAGGACCCCAAGGTTTGTGGATGTGCCAAATATATTTCCCATATTTTTCCAAATATATCCCCCCCCATATATTATGGAAAACCCTAAGGTGGGCAGGCTTTATGTTTCAGGATCCATTGATTTTATATTTATTTTATATTTTTATTTTACTTAAGATCCTCTAATTTGAGCCCCTGCAAAAGACATACCCGTAGAGCTAAAAATTTTGGGCTTTAGAATTTGTTTTGAATACCAGGATGGAAGGGAGCTCACAGTCTTTACACACAAAAATCTTCTCTCTCTCCTTTCTCCTTCTACCTCCCAGTTGTTTACCAATGTTCCTCAGATCACCTAGAGATCTACTTCTGCCCACTCCTGATCGATTCTTGCTGATTTGGATGACTTAGAAATTAATAGTGAACATGATGCCATCAAGTGATGAATCTCACTATGAACACACAAAGCCAGAGATGCTCTGGCTTTATTTGCATCTTCAGCTACTTTAAAAGTTGGAACTGCATTTTGAGGAATTTGCTGTGGCTTACAAGAACTTGGGTGTTTTGGTGTCCCCCTCCCGCCCCAATTTTGTGAAAGTGAATACAATGATGCCTTTTAATTGTATATCTAACTTGGCTGATTCTGGCAACATTGTAGAAAGAGGGTTGCTGGATGTTCCTATCTATCTAAATGACTTTTCAAAGGAAGTCTTCTGTTAATCAGGGTTAGCCCTGTTTTCAGGGTTTGAAGGGCGGTAGGGAAGGGGGAGGATAGTTAGTGGCATAGCATTTTTGTTTCCCTTTCATGGTAATGTGGGGAAATGGGGGGCAGAACAATTAAATATACAGAGGGTAAATGGCATAAATACCTAACTTAATGTTTCCCATCTGGTTCTTATGCAAATTCTAAGAATTATGTATTTATTGCATCTGTCAACCAATTAAAGAAAGCTTAGCTGATTATCTGATTAAATTGCACAGGAGAGAACTGACAATAGTTTATAGAGAGGCTGACGTTGAGATGCATTGAGTGATGGCTTTGTGCTGGCAGGAAAATCCTTCCATTTGCACAAGGAGGAACACCCAGTTCCCGTCACCCCCTGCTACCCTGGGTGCCCTACCATGTACTGATCCTGAGAGTCCAGGATCAACCTTTGTGGGGGGCATGCAGTGGGTAGGATGTAATGTCCAAAATTGTGTGCCACACCTTGGGCAAGGAGTGGCACAACTCTTTGTTCTTTAGATCAGTGGTTCCCAATTGCTGCGAACCCAATGTTTTTCAAAAGCGAAGCCATAGGCCCCATACTTTGGATAATGTTGATGTATCTATGGTAGCTCCCTAATTGGGAACCACTGCTTTAGACGATGGCCAAGTGCTATAGCAGTCCTAATTTTGCATGAGGTGTCCTCCGCCCTATTGTGCACAAGGAAGGTACGCATCTCTTTAGAAGATGCTTGTCACATCTACAGTGGTACCTCGCAAGACGAATGCCTCGCAAGACAAAAAACTCGCTAGACGAAAGGGTTTTTTGTTTTTTGAGCTGCTTCGCAAGACGATTTTCCCTATGGGCTTGCTTCGCAAGACGGAAACGTCTTGCAAGTTTGTTTCCTTTTTCTTAACACCGTTAATACAGTTGCGACTTGACTTCGAGGAGCAACTCATAGAACGCGGTGTGGTAGCCTTTTTTGAGGTTTTTAAAGACTTTGGTGATTTTTGAAGCTTTTCCAAAACTTTCCCGACACCCTGCTTCGCAAAACGAAAAAAACCGCAAGACGAAAAAACTCGCGGAACGAATTAATTTCGTCTTGTGAGGCACCACTGTATAGCTTTTATAAGTGCAGTGGTACCTTGGTTCTCAAACTTAATCTGTTCTGGAAACCCATTCTGCACTTTTCCATAGAAAGTAGTAGTAGTAGTAGTAGTAGTAGTAGTAGTAGTAGTAGTAATAATTTATTATTTATACCCTGCCCATCTGGCTGGGTTTCCCCAGCCACTCTGGGCGGCTTCCAATAAAACACTAAAATACAATAACCTATTAAACATTAAAAGCTTCCCTAAATAATAATGCAAAACAGATTAATCCGTTCCAGACTTTTAAAAACAACCCCTAAAACAGCAATTTAACATGAATTTTACTATCTAACAAGACCATTGATCCATAAAATGAAAGCAATAATCAATGTACTGTACTATAAAATAAATAAGACAGTGTTGTAGATGATAAAAATAAAAATTATTTTTTTTCTTACCTGCAGTTATGATAGTCATTGTTTGGATGGGGGCTTTTATCCATTTTCGCAGTCACACAATCAATCAGTAGCTGAACTGGGTTCCACACAGTCACAAAAACAAATTAACCGAAAAAGCCTCAAAAACAAAAAAACGCAAAATAAATAGCAAAAACAAAAGCGCCAAACTTAATCTGTTCCAGAAGTTCATTTGACTTCCAAAATGTTCGAAAACCAAGGTGCAGCTTCTGATTGGTGCAGGCGCCCTGGAAACAATAGCCGACAACCACATCAGATGTTCAGCTTCCGAAAAACATTTGAAAACCAGAACACTTACTTCTGGGTTTTCGGCGTTTGAGAACCAAGGCATTTGAGTACCAAGGCATTTGAGAACCAAGGTACCACTGTACCTTTAATTTTAAAATCTGCTGCCTGATTAGTTGGAGATACCTATTATTGACAAAGATGTTTTTCATGGTTTAATTAAGTAGGACTGCACTGCTAGGATTTACGAAAATATTTTTACTGCTTTTAATGGAATTATTCCATTAAAATAGTGCAGTAGTGGCTTCACACTATATTGGGGCAGTGACTTGATTCTCCTCCCCTTTTGTCAGTTCTCCATGAGTAGACACAATTCCTTTCTGTCACGGGTATTTTATTGACTTTGTGTGCGTGCCTCATTGGTCACCCATTGCATTTTAGGCATGCCAAGGGGACACTCTTGGTCCTTGGCAAGCCAGTCTCTATGGTGGGAAGTCTTCCTTCCACACCTGCATACTTGTCATCCTACATGGCATGGTTCTCCTCTGTTACACTTGCATGCTAACACTTCTTTGTTTTGTGCATGAGCATGAAGAGAGATGATGTGCATCATTCCATGGCTCTTCGCATAACAGCTGATTCTTCTTGATTGGCTCATGTTGTCAGCTGACATTCTGCCCCCTAGATCATAGCTGGAATGAGTGTTTAGATGTAAAAATACTTTAAGTCATCTTTGGCAATTCTCTCATCAAGTAACAATGATGTTATTCTTTCAAAGTTGGCCCATGCTGCTGCCTTGCCTCTGCTGCACCTGCCTCTTCAGAAATCTTGTGTTTAGTCACTTTGGTCAAGAACTAACATATTTGTGTGCATAAAAAAGGATTCCCTTACTTATATTCCCAAAAAAGGGCTTTCCATGCTTGTTGTTCAGCAGAATATATTTGGGGTTTTAATTTATGAGTCTTTCAATGAGTCCTGTATATAGTACTGTAGGCACAAAAGTAAGCTGCTTTTAAAAATACTACACTCTGAACTAGGTTCTTTCTATGTATTTTCAGGTAAAAGCAAAGAAGCTGAGATAAAAAGAATAAACAAAGAATTGGCAAACATTCGGTCAAAGTTTAAAGGTAAGTTAACTGGTACATTGTTGCAGTGCTATCTGTTCAAAACAAGAATTTATTTTCATGAATAAAGTGATACAAGAGCACAAACAAATTAAGACGAAGGGTCCAGACTCATAGGCATATAACATTATTAAGTTGGACAGGATCACAAGGGTAATCTAGTCTTCTATTCTGCTACCACCTCTGATCAAACAGATTTTTGACCAGAAAATGTGGTTCAGATAGTTTCTGGTGGTTGCCGAACTATGAATATTGTTCAAGATAAAGGCACAGAATTGTCTTACTAGATTCAAAACAGAACTGTGGCTTTATTACTGAAGAACATGCTGTTATCCATGTGCTGAGCTGTTGACTACAACCTTGTAAATAAGTAAACAAGCAAGTTTAGGGCAACTAAAATATACAGGAATTCTTTTTTTATACCTCTAGCTTTAAAGTGTAATAAGCTTTCCTAACAGTTTACATGGAGATGTCAGATGAATGCTCCATAGGCTTGTGTTACTGGACGTCTGTGCAGGCCCTGCAGATATCTCTTACCTCAGTTACTATGGGGCTTGAATAGAAAGGTTCAGAGTAATGATTCTCAATGGTCAGAATCTCTCTGACATGTGAGTTAAATACAGTAAACTGTTTTGTAATCCCAAAGTAGTTGATTATTACTTACTTCCTGCTGAGAGCTCAACTTGCCTCATCATAAAGCCAAAAAAAGGTTAAATATGTATTTCTTTCTATTTAACTGCTGGTTGTTACAGCATATTCTGTGTTCTGTGGTCCATTGATTTTTATCCATAGTGATTTCTAGAAATGTCTTCTCGCTTTTTGAACACTGTCCAATGCAACCCACCATTTTCTTTCAGTAAGTTTGGAGGTGTATTTTGCATTTTTTTTAATTACATACTTTTACCTGCTTCTGCAGCTAAACGCTGCCCAAAGTGGCTCACAATGAAGCCTTAAAAAACCAGTAATGCCAATTATTAAAAACAAACTCCAGTGTAATAAATAACACAGCAGTAATACAACCCAGTCTTGCTGTGTGGTTTTTTTGTAGAAGATAGGCCATGTGGTGCAGTGTCTTCACTGTCCTGTGATAAGAAAACATTTCCTAAAAACACTGCTTGGAAAAGATGATAATGGTTTGTCTCCTGGTGCAGATGCTACTATCTGCTGGATTAGGTGTTGCCCTTCTTATAAAAGAATGCTGATCTCTGCTCCATTAGAAGTGAACAAGCCATTTCCTGGCAGCCTGGGCTGAACAATTTTTTTGCCACCATGTTCCAATATAGAAATTAACAAGGGTCTGATCTGAACATGCAGTTTTGGCCGCAGCCTTTAGAGCTGTCTTTTATGGACAGAAAGACATGCCTGCTGAGTTCAAAAACCCTCATACACTCCAGTGCACCCGGGGATAATTATGGACAGCTGTACTGATCAGTACTACCGGAAACCTGTGTCCTTTGGGATTCATATGCAGCATCCAAATTAAATGTATATTGGAAATCTGCTGCCACTTCTTGTGGCTAATTGGCCTTCTTTCATCATGTCATTTAGATTGTTTACGTAGAGCTAGCTTGTTAGAATATGTCATCCTAACTCCCTGTACACATAAGCAGATGAAGTCCTGCATGTCGAGAGATGAGTCCTGGGTAAGTAAACATTCTAAGGGAGTCAGCACTGCTCAACAGTGCTGCTTCATAAAATATTTCAAGAATGATGACCTCGATCAAGTGCAGCTAATGTGGTTCCCTCTGTATGTTTTGGGCTTAAGCTCCCATCATCTCTGGCATCTGATCATGCCAGCTCTGGCTGATGGGAGTTGGAATCCAACAACATCTGGAGGGCATTGCATTGGATGTCTCTGGACTAGATTCTTGCCTTATGAGATCAGCTGAGAGCAGAGACCTTTTTGATAACTTGTCAAATTGGTTAGGACACCAAACTTCAAGGAGTAGAGATCAGAAGCAAAGTTTACTTCTTAACCACAGCAAGTTAGGTCATCTGAGCAGACTCACTTTGGCTTGTTTAAAACAATCTGGCTTCAAACAATGAGTTACAATGCTGGCATGTTTTTAAACAAACCATGGTTTAGGTTCGGATGACATGATAAACAGTGGTTAATGGAAATCAGAAGTGAAAACTTCCAAAATCCTCTGGGCAGCCATACTGCAGGGGGATCCTGTGAGCCCCGGGCTCGCTCATCACACTAAACCATTATTTGTAAAAGCCTCAATTAAGCACCATGTTCAGATGTCATGCTCAACCATTATATAGTGTGAGGTCTACTTCAGACATTTTAGAATGCTTTCAAAACTCGTGTAAATTCATTATTTCATTTCCCAGTTTCTGCTAAGACAGTTAGACCTTAGTGCTGATGTAATACCTGACATAATACTCTAAAACAGAGAGTAGTGTTCATTTAATACAGGATATGGCAAACAGCATGAATGAACATTTTAATCATTTCAGTACTTGTTTATGAGACACTTTGGTCCCACTAGAGCAGTGGTGGCCAAACTTGGCTCTCCAGCTGTTTTTGGACTACAACTACCATCATCCCTAGCTAACAGGACCAGTGGTCAAGGATGATGGGAACTGTAGTCCCAAAACAGCTGGAGGGCCAAGTTTGGCCACCACTGCACTAGAGTGTCTGTAATCATCTGGATGTTGGGTATATTTGTATCAGTGATTTGCCTTGTGTTGGTGCAGATCACTTAAGACAACACAAGGTCTTTGAAAACTATGCCCTGTACTGCTGCAAATAGCTTTATTAAACAGTTCCATAAGACTGGGCTCGAGTTGCCTAAAGTGAAGGATTAGATATAGCAACTTCAGCCATGCAAACACAGATGTTGCCTTTATGTATTTGGTTTTAAAATGTTAATGATGCCCTTAAAGCAATAGTGAGTAAACAACAAATCTAAGACTTGGAAAATACAGCAGCCACTTCCCAGACTTACTGACATTGTAGTCTGACCAAGGGGCTGTTTCACAGGACTTTATTGCTGCCACACCCAGTTTTCTTTTTCTTTTTTAATGTATTTTTATTAAAGATTTTCTTGGTTTACAAAAGTATATGCAATCTCTCTCTCTCTCTCTCTCCCCCCCCCAGTAACATTTTTTACAGATCAGTTTCATTTGTTGAGACATTAGGAAGAAGGGGGGGGGGAAAGATGGGTGGGGTCAGGTAGCGATGTTTCTATTATACTTAATATATGTGGGGTTTTGTGTCAGCGTCGCTTGTGCAGGTTCTCTGCTATTCACTTGTGTTCCTTTGGTGGTGAGAGAGGTTGGGGTTAGCCTAGGGCCACACCCAGTTTTCTGACTGGTGCTTCGTTGTGATACAGGTGCGCACAAACCCTTGCTTGTCACATCAACACTGTTTACGGTTTTTTTTAAAGGTATATGCCTCCATTGTTCTGCCTGGACACTGAGGTCCAGCGCCGAGGGCCTTCTGGCAGTTCCCTCACTACGAGAAGCCAAGTTACAGGGAACCAGGCAGAGGGCCTTCTCAGTAGTGGCACCCGCCCTGTGGAATGCCCTCCCATCAGATGTCAAAGAGAAAAATAACTACCAAGCTTTTAGAAGACATCTGAAGGCAGCCCTGTTTAGAGAAGCTTTTAATGTTTAATAGGTTATTGTATTTTAGTGTTTTGTTGGAAGCCGCCCAGAGTGGCTGAGGAAACCCAGCCAGATGGGCGGGGTATAAATAATAAATTATTATTATTATATCTGAAGTGGTCTCCAATAGCTGACCATGGCAGTGCATATCCCCTTCCTTGCTTACAACACCATTACTGCATCCCATTCAGGAAAAAGCTAGGCTGCAGTGCATACCATACACCTGAAACACATTTTTCTTCTAAAGAATCCTGAGAACTGAGGTTTTTCCGTCACAGAGCTATAATTCCCAGCACCCTTAAACCACAGTTTTCAGGATCCTTTGAGGAGTGGGGGAGAGAATATGCTGTGTATGCAGCCTTAGAGTGTCACATACAGTGGTGCCTCGCAAGACGAAATTAATCCATTCCTCGAGTGTCTTCGTCTAGCGGTTTTTTCGTCTTGCGAAGCAACCCTATTAGCGGCTTAGTGGATTAGCGCTATTAGCGGTTTAGCGGCTATTAAAGGCTTAGCGGCTTAGCGGCTTAGCTGCTAAAAGGCTATTAAAGGCTTAGCGGCTTAGAAAAAGGGGGGGAAAGCGAAAAAAAAATCTCAAGACTCGCAAGACATTTTCGTCTTGCGAAGCAAGCCCATAGGGAAATTCGTCCTGCGAAGCAACTCAAAAACGGAAAACCCTTTCGTCTAGCGGGTTTTCCGTCTTGCGAGGCATTCGTCTTGCGGGGCACCACTGTATGTGCATAAAATCAGGAGCAGAAGGCAAACAGAGCTTAGGCTTCCTAACCATTTCCTCTCAGGCTGTTTCCCCACCCACTCAGTCAGTCCCTCTCCCCTTCCCACCCCGTGTCCTTTTCCTGCTAGGGCTAGGAGCAAATACCTGGCTAACCACCTACTTTCTGTAGCAGCATCCTACAGTGGCTCTTCATGTTAAAATATACACAGTGGAGCAGTGGCGTAGCGTGGGTTGTCAGCACCCGGGGCAAGGCAAGTAATTTGCGCCCCCTAACCCATGGATTTGCGCCCCCTAACCCGTGGATTTGCACCCCCTAACCCCCAGATGTTGCGCCCGGTGCGGCCGGCCCCCCCTGCACCCCCCACGCTACGCCACTGCAGTGGAGGGAGATTACATGCTGTTCCATGTAGCATGTAGTTGGCTTCCAGGGGGCTTGCTGCTCTAGAAGCTGTCTCACACATTAACATGCATGAACGATGCTGGTTTGAAATGAATTCATGTGCAACTTTAAAAAGCTGTTCTAAAAGGATAATGGTATTACTGAGCACGAGACAGTTATTTATAACTTAAGAGCAGAAGTGTTTTGTGGTGGTCATGTCATTCAGTATTTTGATTCTCAAATGTTTGTTTTGGTTTTTAAAAGCCTTATTTGCAACATTGCATCTCCATCTGTAGTAGTTCCTCAACAGTTGAAGATGCATCTCTCCCCTTGCACCTCCTTTGCCTTAAATACAAATTTCTGTCGGTCTGCCCTGAATTCTGAGAGCCTGAGAAAGTTACTGTAATGATCAAATTCATCATGGGGGAGTGATATGGGTTTTTTGGGGGGGGTGGGGGTGGGGAGAGTCATTGTTTTATGACTAGATGTCTAGCCCTAAATGTAGAGTATGTCTCAAGGCTTCACTTTACCTCCCATCGTAGAGCCTTTTGCTTCTTTCTTCTGACACTGCTCAAAGGATGAGCACTGAAAAGTTATAAATTTATTCAGTTTCCGTAAAGAACAAGGTCAACTTGGCTTAGTCAGGCAGAGGTTTTCAACCTTTTTGAGTCCACAACTCCCTTGACCAACTACATTTGTTCTGTGGCTCCCCTCTGGCGTTCCAAGCCTCAGGAGCCCAGTTATGTCACCCCTTGCCTGCAGAGCCAGCAGCCCCTCACTCCTTTTCGAACACCCTCACTTGTGTAGTGTTCTCCCAGCCTCCTCTCCTCTTTCCCCTTCTTGGGAGCCCTCTGGGCAGCCGTCGCCACTGTCCCTGGTCTCTGAGCCCCCCCCCCCCCGAGAGTTGCCTCCCCTCCCTTCGGGCCTGGGAAGAGGATGCCCCCAGGCTTAGTGGCCCAAAGGAGACAGAGATGTGAGAGGGCATCAGAGGAGGGAAGGAATGAACTAGGGTCAGAGTCCAGTGTTGCCTATGGCACCCCCAGGGTGCCTTGGCACACTGGTTGAAAACCCCTGGTTTCGTGGATGTCTGCTAGTGGGTCAGTGAAAAGGCCTTTCTGTGATTCCTAAAAGCAAACTCATTAATTGGATGAGAAATGCTAGTTTATACATCCTGCTTGGGAACAGGGACGTGGGTGGTGCTGTGGTCTAAACCACTGAGCCTCTTGGGCTTGCCGATCAGAAGGTCGGTGGTTCAAATCCCCATGACAGGGTGAGTTCCTGTTGCTCGGTCCCTGCCAACCTAGCAGTTTGAAAGCACGCCAAAAAGTGCAAGTAGATAAATAGGTACTACTCCGTCGGGAAGGTAAACACCCTTTCTGTGCACTGCTGTGGTTTCAGTGTTCCGTTGCGCCAGAAGCGGCTTAGTCATGCTGGCCACATGACCTGGAAAAACTGTCTGAGGACAAACAATGGCTCCCTTGGCCTGTAAAGCGAGATAGGTGCCGCAACCCCAGAGTTGTCTGCGACTGGACTTAACTGTCAGGGGTCCTTTACCTTTTGGGAACAGGACTTGGAAATCTGAAAACAATTTTTGTGACATTAGTATGCGACTCTCATGCGCCTGCCTAGTCTAGTTCAATGCACAATGCTAAACAGAAGACTTGGATACAGAACTTGTCTTTTGGCATTTCCAAAATGCATGTTCTATATAATAAGTAAGCTGTAGAAACAAAACTAGTAAGTAAATATTTGAGCATCAGAACAGGGGATGGAAAGTCAACAACTTCCAAAGGCACAGAAAAAAGAGTGAGGTATTAACTTGCCACTGCTGCCCTGGAGGAGGGGCAGGAAATAAATTTAATAAAGAAACATATTAAATAGTAGGAGGGTGACAGAGCCACCCTCCTGGTTTCCGGCTGGAAGGCATTCCAAAACTGCATCAGAAAAGTCCTTCTACTTCATGGTGGCCAGCCTGGGCAATGTGTAAGGTGGTGTTTTCAGTGGAGCCTAACTGGTGGTTTCAAACTGAGAGGTACCGTTTCACAGTGGAGGAGATATTCCTGGAGATAATTGAACCCCTGACTGTCTTAAGTCTCTCAGTCAACACGAGTATGCTTGTTTATAACCAGCTACAATCCAGCAGTAGCTCTCCATGTGATGGAGGCAAATTGGCTAAGCATCATCACGCACTGAAAAACGTCCTCTTTATATATTGTATATTAAAGTAAACTACTGGTATGGGTTAACCTGCTATGATCTTATTCTGCACTATGTCCAAATACAAGATAACCTTAAATTTCTTTATAGGTTTGGTTAAGTTTCATCATGTTTACAATTTATAATATGCATGCCTTCACTGAGAGCTTTTTTGTCAGTTCTAAGTGCTCATAAAAGGTCAAGCAAGGTGCTTTGAATTGTCAACTAAGATCCTCAATTACATATATATATATATATACAGAGAGAGAGAGAGAGAGAGAGATGACATATTCCCCTGTTGAACAAACACAACACTACTTGTTACGTGTATGTTTCTGCAAGTGGCTACGCTTCAGAATACATCAGATTTGGAGAAATTGGATCCATAAACTTCTGTCATGCTTTGGTTGAGTAAAAAGCATTGCTAGTTCAACAAAAGCCTTTCCAAGAAAAGGAAGTCTCCTTTGACCCAGTCATTGTGTCTGACAAATGCTGACTTGCATTCTCTTTCTTCCTGTTTCTCTTGTACTGATTTTAAAGCAACTGGAAACATTGCCTCTATCTAGCCACTTTATCTTTCTCTCACGTCCAGTTCTGAAACTCACTGTGTTGAGTCACAAAACTCATAATTCTGGAGGTTCTGGAGGAAAATGTGCTTTAATCCAAAGCATGGATATGTGTAGTGAGATTTTCTTTGTACGTGGTTTGCCTTTTTACCAAAACAAGGACCACTAATGCCTATCTTTTAAAAAATGTGTTATTTTGCATTAGTAGAGGCAATTTCACCCTGTCTAATTTCTTGACTCGAAAGTAGTAGCTGTGCTGTAGTCTAGAGACTGAGGCAGTTGAACTTGCCTATGTGGGGGTGGGGGATATATATATATTTAGACTAAGCAAAGATATCCTGGACATAAGGCATCCCCTGACATGTCTGTACTACTTCACCAATTATATTAGCTATGTAACCAGAAGGATGCTCTGTACATGCAGCCAACTGCAGCCAACAATCTCTTGTATGTCTCTTCGTGAAGAAGAAAAATTGCCGAGAGGCAAACGTGTCCCCATTTCTCCACAGCTGAATTTCTGACCCTGGTCTTGCGTAACAGTTTTGCTTGTTAGAAATTTGCACTGTATCTGAAGCTATATTCCCAAGGTAAGGAGAGCTACATGGCTGATGTCTGGCATTGTTGCTGCCCGTATCCTTAGCTCTTGTGTTTCACAGGTTGCCTAATGGGACATTCTGCTTTCCCCCCTGTTTTGAAGGTGGATTCACACATGCATTTTCCGGTCTAGTCCGCTGGGTGCTTCCTATTAAGCAGACAACCACAACCCCCCCCCCCCGATCTGTTAAACATATCCAGTTGAGTACAAGACACCAGCAGCTGTTGTTGCCTAATCATCGGATATAGGTGTCGGTTCAGCTTGTATACTCCTTTTCCACAGTGCTGCAATACCTAGCTTAAACGTGTGGTGATGACATCTCCATGGGGCTCAGGGTGACATGCAGAAATAGTCACCCCAAAGACTCCTGATTTCTACTTCTGGCTGATCCAGCACCATGTTTGATACTTTTACTGTTACATTTGAAGAGATGTATTGATGCATGGCATGAGTAAAGGTGGCACTGTAATAGATTGTTTAGGTGCACTTTTCTGAGGATGGGAACCCTTGAGTGGATAACCAATTTTGAAAAGTGGGAGAGGGACTGTACCTCAGTAGTAGAGCACATGTTTGGTATGTTAGGAGGTCACAGGTTCAGCTCTACCTGGAGAAGCCAGAGACTGAGAGAGACTCGTATCTGAGACCCTGGGGCACCTCTGCCAGTTGGCATGGAAAATGCAGTAAGCTTCAGGCATTGGCATACAGCATTTTTTGCTTACGGCTTTTTATTTTGTCTTTAATTGCTCACTAGGTGATAAAGCCCTTGATGGCTACAGTAAGAAAAAGTACGTCTGCAAGCTGCTTTTCATCTTCCTCCTGGGGCATGATATTGATTTTGGCCACATGGAGGCTGTGAATCTCCTGAGTTCGAACAAATACACAGAGAAGCAAATAGTAAGTCATGTCCCATTCATGCATAGCGTTGAGATATATATATATATATATATATATATATATATATATATATATATATACACACATATATATAGATATATATACACTACCCACTTCCCATATAATATTGGGGGTCAAGGGTGGGGACATTTTTCACCCTGAGGGCCGTGTTTCCTTCTGGGCAACCTTCTGAAGGTCACATGCTGGTGTTGAGCAGGGCCAGAGGCAACTGTGGGTAGACCTACTAATGTGAATTACACCTTTGTGCAGTGGGCTAGTCTCTGTACGTGTGTACTCTCCTCTCTGCCCTCCATCTAGGCAAGTAAGAGGCATTGTCAGAATTCAAGGATGCATTACAGTCAGCAGGCACACAAGGGACACAAATGGCACCTGTCAGTGCTTGAAATGTATTTCACATTTGGCGTCTAGGCATGTAGGGGTGCATCAGCAAAATATCAGGGGCAGCACAGCAGAACCTTCAAGCAGACGCTGATGCAGAATGTATAAAACCAGAGGTGGGGTATAAATAAATTATTACTATGGATTGGGACAACATTAATCATTTCTTTTATTAAATTAGAAAATAGGATTCTCTTGGTATTCAAACATAAGAGAAAACATTTCTAATACAGTATAGTACAGGGTTAAAAATATATATGGCTATTTTAGAGTTTCAGCCAGATTGTCCTATAAGCATCTGGTTTGAAAGAGAGATTCATGCTAGGGACCCATCTCCCTTTTCCCTCTTAAAAAAAAAAAATCAAGCAGAGGCTGATTAAGGTGAACTATAAGCGATGAATAAACCAGCTAGGCTTCCTTATTTCTCTAGTTATGCACTAGAGATGTACACTACAGAGAAATCGCCCTGCACACATAAATTTTCCTCTTTCCAGAAATGTCTGGATCTCATCCAGTATGACTTTTAAATGCTGTGTTTTGATATGCATACATCTAAGCAGGATCCCCACCTGTCAAATTAATTTACATTTGGCTTTTATTTGTATGTACTTAGAGTGAAAACTGGCCGCATTGTGATATGCCTGGCTTTTAGGTGAGGTCCTTAAACCATTATTCTTGAGAAGCCTGAATAATTCCCAATCAGGAGTGGCCAGCACCGAGTGCAGGGTCTTGATCCTTCTCCCAAAGCAAATTCATCTGCCCCTGCATCCCAAATACCCATTGTTTTTTGGTGGTAGCAGCAAAAATAGGAGTGGGGAAGCATATCTGGTGCTAGGGTGGGTGGATTGGTTTAAGCATCTCTCTCCATCCTAGAGGCCTGTTGAGGATGCAGATTCTCCTATCCCAGGTTTCCATGGTCAGCCGATCATTTGACCGAGAGGGGAGAGAGAGAGCATTCCCTCCTCATTCAGTATCAGGGGCTGTGACCCTGTACGTGTGCATGCCCTGTAGGTGTATATGCAAGAGCATGGTGGGCCACGTCAACCCCTGGCATGCAGTCCCCAGAGGGTTGGCCAAGGCTGAATGCAGCCTAGGCCAACCCTGACCTACCTCATAAATGGCACAGGAGCCATTTGTTATAAAGCAATGTTGCCTACTAAGCATTGCCCCTGCTGCCCACTACTAATTCTTCTCTTAATTCCAGGGCTATCTGTTCATCTCCGTGCTTGTGAATTCAAACAGCGAGCTGATCCGCCTGATCAATAACGCAATCAAGAACGACTTGGCCAGCCGCAACCCCACTTTCATGGGACTGGCTCTGCACTGCATTGCCAATGTGGGCAGCAGAGAGATGGCGGAAGCATTTGCTGGAGAAATTCCAAAAATACTTGTAGCTGGGTAGGTGCTCCATGGGAATTTCAGGGGCTTGACAGAAAGAAGGCAATTAAACTGATCCTTGGGATGCAGCCAAGTATCTAAACATTTGCTGACTGAATGTGGAGTAACAGCCTCCTAAAGGAAATCCATAGGAGATCCTATTCCACTCTGGAACGAGAGAAGACTCATTTGTTCCTGAAAGCTCTTTTGGTTTGGCCCCCCTGCCTTTGTGTGGTATTGCTTTATTGTTAATAGGCTCACCGCTTTCGGTGTAACGTGGATTTGAAATGTGTATCTGTGTTAACCAACTTTTTATATTAATTTGTTTTATAAAATGGTATGATGGCTGAGAATTCTTCTGTGGATACAAATTTAAACAACTGGATGGCTAAACAACTGCAGTCCTCATGGACGACCAGCCCTTTTGAAAAGTGAGAGTGCTTGCTTAAGTGCTGGCATCGCATCCATTTATATATATCTTTCAAATGTTGTGGGGTGTTTTCTTAACCCAGATGCTTCCAAATGAATGTTTCTTTGGCGTGAATGAGCCAAAATGTATTTATCTACAGAGATTATATTCATACAATACAAAGCCTGCAATACAAAGCCTAACCTTGGAAAATATAGATTCTTAATAATCTGTTGTACTGCAAAAATAGGTTACATATGGCATCTCATTCATTAGACTCATGTGGTATGGACATATGCAGCCTCATAGGTTAAAGAACACAGTCCCACAATCAGTGGCCTTGCCATGTTTCCTACATATACAAATGTTCCTGCTGACAGAATCAGTATGCCAGTTTCATGAACTGGAAAATTATGTGTACTTTGTTGCATCTGTGGCCTTTTTTTGGAGCTGACACGATGGCAGTACTCACATGTACTTTTGGTGCTCATGTTACTGCTTGCAGTGTGTGCAGCTTTGAATGTGGATGGGTACGAGCTTGTATATAGGGAAATGGTCCAGCCTTGCTGTCTTCTAGGAGCTGCCGCTGAAGAATTTTGGGTGTTTGAGAACCCATTGACCAGCTTTGGCTTTCTGTTGCAGAGACACCATGGACAGTGTGAAGCAGAGTGCAGCCCTGTGCTTGCTAAGATTATACAGGACTTCTCCTGACCTGGTTCCTATGGGAGACTGGACCTCCAGAGTTGTGCACCTTCTCAACGACCAGCATCTGGTAAGCTCACTTGACTAGACTAGATCTTTTTCTCTTGAAAGTGTGAATATTTGATTGTCTGGATTCAGAATTTAATTATGTAGAACCATGGAAGCAAATATTTGGCAAGTTTGGCATTGGTCAACTCCTAACGGTGAGATGTGCTACACTAATGCTTTGGGGTCAAGTTGCTTCTGGACTTGAGATGAGTGAGCTTTCAAAAGTTCTCTTCTCAATAACTTTGAATTTGCCAAATTCTTCTTTTTAAAAATCCAAACTTGAATAAGTTGTGTTGAGATAGTATGAGGGCCTATCTGGGGAGCTCTTTTTTCTTGGTCTCAAAGGAACCATCAGACTCATATTGGGGGAGGGTCCAGAAGCTAGTCCTTGTGGGTAACATGGGGACTGGATTTCAGCCCCATCTCCTCTTTTCACTCTGGAAGCATCCATTTCCTTCCCCATAGGAAGTAGTGGAACCATTACTTCTTATGGAGACATGAAAATATACCTGTGGCGTGAAATTAGAAGATGTGGATGCGGGGAGTTCAAGACTTGCTGGTTACCTGGCTTTGTCCACACCGTGGGCAAGGTTCAATTAATGTGTCCTGTCAGCAGAGGCCCTGCATAAAGACTTCTGCTTATGCAATAGGACTTTCCCCTGCTCTGCTCCCCCATATTAAGGTTACCAGACATCCCCGTTTCCTAGGGACAGTCCCCGGATTTACAAATCAGTCCCCATACAAAATCCATTGAAGTTGAAAAGTGACCCTGGATTCATTGGAAAAGATCTGGTAACCTTACCCCACATGTGCCCCCTCCAGATTGGCTTGGGTGTGTGTAGAAGAGACCCTGAAACAGTGCACAGAGGAATGGCGAGAGAAGGGGTCATTCTGGAACAATGGGAATCATTCTGGAACAATAATCTTAGTACTGTATGACGTTGGAAGTCCTCCCATTGTGTTTTTCCTGCCCACAAGTAAACTAATGGAGAGAAGCAGCGCCATGAGCTTGCAATGGGATTAGGAAAAAAATGCTGCAGGACTTCCTTTCCTGAAAGCTTGGATTTTGAGCACTTGCAGAAAGAAGTTCAGGGATTGAAAGGATTATGCCTGGCCTTCTGAACCCAGCCAGGCTCAGATGAGCATACTTCATCCCTGTTATCGCCTGGGAAAAGGCAGGAAGTGGCACAGCAGTTTGCTGAAGAGGCTTCAGGCAGTGTCATATACTGGCCAGGCTTGCCGCCCATTCCTGTCCAGGTGTGCCACAAACTCATGTGCCAGAGTCCATGTGGCAAAGGAATGAAAGGAATGATCCTTAAGGTATTCAGCATCCTGCCTAGTAAAACGAACAAGCTTTTGAAAAGACACTGCAGTGCGTTCAGTGATGTTTCTGGTAATATGCACGCAGGTTACAGTCCACAGATAAGTTGCATCTGTGCCATAACTGCTTTCCTTTTGTCTTTGAGGAGAAATTGTCATTTTATACAGAGCTCCTAATGTACAGAGTGCTTTGCAAACTCACTTGTCCAAGATCCTGTGAAGTAAACAACCAGCTAGTTTTACTCTTGGTACGAGGGTGACTTATCACTAGTCACACAATCTAGGGACTGATCGGGGATTTCAGCACAAATCAAAATACAGTTTTCTGTGTGCCAGACCAGCAGCCGACCAAGAAAGGGTCTTTCCTAATTGTTTGCATTGTATCTTTGCAAAAGGGAATGAGTTATTTTCTTTCTTTCTTGATGGTGGTTTTTTTTTTTTAAAGTCTGCAGTGGATTTGGTTAATATTTGAATGCATTACTCCAATATAGGGCAAGGTCATGTACAGGCCAGTTACAGAAGGTGGCAGGGAATGCATAGCCTTTTGTAACAGGACATTGGGATCCTGAGATTGTAGTTTGCCTTATTTTAGCCCATTATTGCAGGCTACGGAAGATACACACCTGCATGAATCAATATGTATATTTTTAAAAAATTAATTGGTCATTTCAGAGTATCTTTCACCCTGCCCCCTCCTGCAATATCACCCAAGCCTAATAAATAGTATACAGTATGGGTTGCCAATATGGCGCTAGTGGGTGCAGTGACCCCTTTGAGGTCTTTTTCCTGGTGCCCATGAAGCTTCTGAGCACCTTCTCACTGCTGCCTTGGTGGTGAAGGCGGTCACCTTTTTCTCCCTTGGCAAAGTACCTAGAGCTGAAGGAGGAAGCTGGAAGAATGACACACTTTCCCACTTCCCTTTTCCAGTTCTATGAACTTTTTAAGGTTCCGATGAATTCTCCTCCGAGATCAAATTGTGTGTGTGCATGCACTTTCTTTCCTTTCCTGTTGGGAGCAGTGGGCTAATCCAAAGAAAGGGGGAGAAGTGACCAGACGAGATGGTGTCCAAGACACCCCCAAATGCAAATGTGCCCATGGACTTTTAATTGGTTGGCAACCCCTGGTATACAGAAACAGCATATGCAGGGAAGAGGGAAGTCCTAACCATACCATACCATACCATACCATACCATACCATACCATACCATACCACGTAAATCCTAAAATGGAAATAAGGGATAGCTGGGTAAGAGTAGCCAGGTGACTGGGGGGGGGGGGGAATGGATCAGGGCATACTAAGAAAAACACAATATACTTGTCAGAAGTCATACCCCAGTTTTTTTATATAAATTGCATTAATAAAACATCTAAATACATTAATACAGTTCGTCCGTTTTGAGCCAAATAAAGGATTGAATCGTTTTTGAAGCAGGAGAAGAGTAGAAAGATTTTATGCTGCCAGTAGATGCCTAAGGGCCAAACAAGGCATGATGTGGACAGTGTGTGAACAGCGTCTCCCACAGCTTTCTTTTCTTTTTCTTTTCCTTTCTCTCTTTGCAGCTTTGGGGGAAATTAGATTGAGATCATGACATGATGGCAGTCTGGGGGAAGGTAACTTCTCCCATTCTGGTCTAAATCCCACTCCAAGCCGCTACTTTTTCTGTAGGGGGAAAACCTTTTTTTTTTTTTTTTTGGCCATACGGTACAAAGACTAGCTCTGATCTTGTGATCTAGTTCCCCTGTGGCGTTATTGGTGCTTGGAAAAGAACAAACTGTGGGAGATCCTGTGCATCCAGCTTAATAGGCAATTTGGCTCTAATAATATCCCCCGAAACCGAGAGACCTGTGGATGGGCTTGATGTTGGGGACTTTGGCTTTGGGAAATGGGCCCATCCTCTCACAGTTTGCCACCTTAACGATCTTTATTGAAGAGCAACACATTTCTCTTTTTGATAGAGGTGCTCGCACTCCCTCCAGCAGTTAAGACAATGCCTTCTAGGCTCATGGAACAAGTACAATGGGAGTGAAACTGGGAGGATGGCAATAGAACTGGGGTATTTTGGGGTGTGGGGAGGCTATACTATCTTGGATATTTGCCCTCTTTTGGTTAAAAAGTACAGCCCTGTGGTGTAAAGTATGTGTGGCATAATAAACAAAACTTAATGGTGCTCTTGGTATACAATGCATGTGCTTAGTAATTGGAACGGATTTCAGGGAGCTGTAATCCTGTTTTTCTCCAGGGTGTGGTTACTGCTGCTACAAGTTTGATCACCACTCTGGCACAAAAGAATCCAGATGAATTTAAAACCTCCGTGTCTCTGGCGGTCTCCAGACTCAGCAGGGTAAGCATTTTATTGTTTAGACGCAAGTGCTGGAATGAAACTAGGCTAAAACTAAATTAAGCTGGCTGATTAGATTAACCATCTGGTTTAGCCTCATGGGAAGCTGAAGTGCAGTTGGTATGAGAGCCGTTCTGATAGTTTGACAGGCAGAGTAGCTGAAGGCAAAGAGATGTAATTTGCTGTGCAATATCTCATGCACAGTGATTGTGTTGGGCTGATCCAATCACTTAAAAAAAAATTCTTAGCTGTGCAGGAGATGGCAGATAAACACGCTTGTATAGGTATAGCTGAAATTAAAATGTAAATAATATTTTGAGGCTTTGCAGGCAAAGCCACTCCTTAATTGCAAGAAGTTTGGAAGACCAGGGTTCCACTTCAGTAGCTACCGAAGCAGGAAGAAAATGATCCTATCTGTGATCAAGGCCTTGTAGTCATTTTTTTTGGTAGTACAGTGGTACCCCGCAAGACGAACGCCTCGCAAGACGGAAAACCCGCTAGACGAAAGGGTTTTCCGTTTTGGAGGCGCTTCGCAAAACGAATTTCCCTATGGGCTTGCTTCGCAAGACGACAGCCCATAGGGAAATCTCAGGGACAGCGGGGAAGCGCAGCGCGTCTTCCCCACTGTCCTCGGACCTCCTCCGAAGCCCGGCGGCGGGGCGGGGACACCTCCTCCGCCGCCGCCGGGCTCGGAAGGCTCCTCCGAAGCCGGGCGGGGGGGAGGGAACACCTGCCGCCGCCGCCCGGCTCGGGAACGGTGCTCCGAGCCGGGCGGGGGGAGGGAACACCTCCGCCGCCGCCCGGCCGGGAACGGTGCTCCGGCCGGGCGGTGGGGAGGGAAGACCTCCCCGCCGCCCGGCTCGGAACGGTGCTCCGGCCGGGCGGGGGGAGGGAACACCTCCGCCGCCGCCCGGCTCGGAACGGTGCTCCGGCCGGGCGGGGGAGGGAAGACCTCCCGCCGCCGCCCGGCTTCGGAACGGTGCCCGAGCCGGGCGGGGGGAGGGAAGACCTTCTGAAGGCGGGCGGGGGCGAAAGTCTTTGTCCCCCTGCCTGCCTTCCCAGGGGCTTTGAATTGCCCCGGACAGCGGAGGAGTCCTCCGCTGTCCCGGGGTGATTTTAAAATGCCGCCCGCCAGCATTTTAAGATCGCCCGGACAGCGGAGAAGTCCTCCGCTGTCCCGGGTTTTAAAATGCTGGGGGTGGGAAGAAAAGCCCTTGCCCCCCCAGCCTTCAGAAGAGGTCCGGGGACAGACTGTCCCCGGACCTGGTCTGAAGGCGGTTTCCCAAGGAACGCATTAATTGATTTTCAATGCATTCCTATGGGAAACCGTGCATCGCAAGACGAAAAACTCGCAAGACGAAGAGACTTGCGGAACGAATTAATTTCGTCTTGCGAGGCACCACTGTACAGTTTGGCAATTCCATTCATCGGTGCACTACTGAACAGTCTCAATGACATTATCTGCAACAGTAATCTATTAAAAAGGAAAGCCACCTGAAGTTTCAAAGGCCAGATAAGTACAGAAATATTTCCCAGCAAATATACCTGTAGCTTTGTCTCAGGTTGGGTTGAGCAATAATGCCTGAGCAATAATGCCTGCTCAACTGTACACTTAAAGGAGTTGCTGCTGGTTGTGATGCCAGTAGCCAAAGATAGGGCTACTGCCATTGCAGTAGTTCTTAAGATGATAGTTGACCAGTTTTCTGCTCGTACTTAATTCCTGCAGGGAGCCAGGTCCCGCTGAGGCCTGTTTGCAAGTAGCAAGCTCTTGTTCTGCAAGGCATTCTGCCTAATCCATGCAGGATGGATTCTTGACAGTAGACACTTAGAGATTAGTGGCATGATTGGTTTGCTACTTTGAAAACTTGAACCCCAGCCAGGCTAGCCAAAGATTTTGCTGCCTGAGGTGAAGGACTGGATGATGATCTCACTCCCCCTTCCATCCCAGAATCTGCACACAGAAGTAAATGGAACTGGCCATTGAATGCCAGCAATGGGGCAATATCCGCCACCACATCTGAGGACAGCAGGACAGCTTAGGGGATGCATGGATGGCCCACACATTGTTGTCATCTAATTTCTGGCTGCCACTCTCACTCTCCACCCAACATCTGCCAGCTGAGGTGGCTACCTTGCTCTGCCTTATGGTATGGCCAGCCCTGGATTTAAACTTGTTCCAAGACACCCCGGAACAGTGTATGGGAAAGGAGAGGGGATTGTTCTGTCCTGCAAGCCATGCAAAATAGTTTTATGGCTTATTGTTAATCTAAACAGTCCTCACTTTCTCTTGCAGAAGACTGTTATCGTCTTTCCTTTCCTCTTCCTTCCCACCACAATGTCATGGCTATTCAGTGTGGACATCAGTTGTTTTCCCCATTTCCCCTAATTTAACATAGAGTATTTTAAAGCTTTCTGTCCAGATTTTTTCTATCCTTCCTGCCCCTCCTGCAGATCTCAAGCACAGTCTTTTATCTGCCCTTCCCTTGAAAAGCATGATGTAATTGAGAATCTGCTGTCCCTCAGCAGAAAGTACAAAAGGCATATTCAAGCACTGTACACTGGTTTGATACAGCTGAGTTTGGGAAAATCTGTCTTGTTGTCTGGTCTAAAAACGTTATCGTTCTAAATTCCTCCTCGCCCAGAACTTCTGCCCAGCTGTATCTGCCTCTGTCAAATTTCCTGTTGTCTTCCCTTGTGGAAATGCTCCCATCATCCTGGCCCATTCATCATTCAGAAGAACAAATTAACAGCCTTCCTGAGTCAACCCAGCCTCCTGCAACAGAGATTTGTTGGGGTTGCTTGCTGAGGGCGTATATGATCACACAGAGCTGTAATGGAGAGCTTGCAGCTACAGTCTCTCACTTCCTGCTTTGAGTTGTTGGTCTGTCCTCAGACAAGTGACTGGCAATCACTGATAATCTCTCTTGTGCTGCCAGGTTCCTCCCCACTCCCGTTAAATTGCTATTGAAATAGGAAGTTGAAGTTTATACAAATGATGAATTGTGGCACTTGTGTGCTAATTCCAATCTATTGTTCCTTTGTTCTACTATTATGTGAACTAGTTGTTGTTATGATGTAACTAACTAGCAACTACTGGTGGTACGTTCATGTTCTGCTTGCAAGCTGCCCATGGGAATCTGGTTGAGAACAGGATGCTAGACAAGATGGGGCTTTGGTCTAATCCCGCAGAGCCTTTCTTATGACTCTCCATCTTCTTCCAGCATATTCATGATCTTGCCGATCTCTAGCATATTTCCCCCTCTGTGTTTCTTCTCTAGTGGCTGCTTGCTTGTCTTTGAGCTCCCTGGCAAGCCTTCCACATTGCCTTACTCAGTCTTTTCCCTCATGGGCCTTGTCTTGCGTTTTTTAAGGCTCAGCATCATTTTACTGTGGCTTATTATTATTATCTATTAAGCTGGACAAAGCGCCACAGGAAAATAACAGTTCTTGTCTTGCAGATTGTGACGTCTGCATCAACTGATCTCCAGGATTATACCTATTACTTTGTCCCAGCGCCGTGGTTATCTGTGAAGCTTCTAAGGCTGCTGCAGTGCTACCCACCTCCAGGTAAAGTAATTGCAATCACTCTGCTTTCACACTTTGCTTACACAGGAGAGAAGCCATTTGCACTAAAACAGCACATGTTTGCAGAAAGAGAGAGAGAGAGAGAGAGAGAGAGGTTCAAATAATGAACCCCACTGCTAAGTCTGCTGCAGGCATAATATTCCCAGTATTTCTAACTATGGTTTCAATCTAATTGTCTAATTATGTTGAAACCATGAGCAAATGTTCTGGCAACACCATAATCAAATCAAACTTGATAACTGAATAACCCATTTAGTGGTCTTTGGTTTCATTTTCAGTACTTGGCTCTTTCATATCAGTGATTCTGTAATGATCGAAGGATAAACTTGGTTCTAACTTTGCAGAACCAAAATGCTGGTGCCATATGCAGCTTTCTGAAACTGGAGAAACAATGCCATCTAATGGGCATTTAATGGTTTGATAGTAAAGGCTGTCAAAATTGCCTGGTGATCTTGCCTAACCATTCTATTTCTCCCAGAAGATCCTTCAGCACGAGGTCGTCTCACCGAGTGTTTGGAAACTATTCTTAACAAAGCTCAAGAACCTCCAAAATCCAAGAAAGTACAGCATTCAAATGCGAAGAATGCAGTGCTATTTGAGGCAATTAGTTTAATTATCCACCATGATAGGTAAGTTTGGCATTCATAATGCATGGCTGGCAGTAACAGTTTGAGATGTGAGCATCAGTTCTTGTCCTAAATCTGTGGTTTCTGAGAAAGTATATACTAATTTTGTATTCTTTTGTTCTCTGAAAGAGGGCACAGTATGTACTTTTTCCACAGTCATTCTGGCAAATGTCTGAGCAGCTCCTGAGTGAAAAACAATTATGGGAGTAGTTTTTGTTCTGGAGTTTAGCATTACTCATGTGTTGTAAGTTTGTAATCTTGCTAAATGTAATACTGAAGTCCTTCCTCACCTTAAGACCATTTAAAAACTTATGACTGAGTGTTGCTTGGCTCAACTAAACAGGATACTGGCAGGGCCCAGTCAATGTCCCATGCATTTCCTAACAGTGGATTGTGTAGTACATGGACATTGGGGTGGAAGGAGAGACTTCACCCCCCAGTAATCCCATCCTCCATCCAAATTGTCCGGTTTTGGAGCTCTACTGGGATAAAATGACCTTTGTTTACCTGATGCCTTCCAGATGTTTAGGCCTACAACTCCCATCAACCCCAGCCAATATGAGTTATAGCCCAAAGCATCTGGAGGGTGCCAAGGAGGTGACGGTTGACTTGAGAAGTTTTCAGGGGTAATGTTTGGTACTATCCTCCTATCCTCCCTCTGCCCTGCCACGTATTAAGGATGCACGAGCACCTGATTCCACACACAAGTCTCCCACAGTCTCCTGTTTTAGCCCTAACTGGGCTTGCCTTTGCTCCTGTGTTGAACAACATGGGAATAAGGAGTTGGGGTACACCAAGTAGCCTAATCCCTGACATTGGATCCGCCCCACCCCCCATGTCTGCACAACTCCTCTGATGTCAGGGGAGTCGAGGTTTCCAGATTCCATGAAAGACTTTGTGCATACAGTTCTATGTACATGGGCCCCCTCCCTGCAGATGTTTGGGCTGTAAGTTCAGACATTGGGGGAGGTGTGTACAATGGATGTGACAACAAGCAGACAATCTGAAGATGAATTCAGTCATGTATGTTGCATTCCTTCCTTCCCACATGCAGTGTGCATCACACTGTGTCTTACCTCTTAAAAATGAAAAAAACACCTTTTTAAAAAAGAAAAAAGAAAAATAATAGCTATGTTTCATTTTAGTCTCCTTCACTTGAGAGCATGTAAATCTTTGAAACTGGCTAAGAATATGTGTGTGTGTATATATATATATATATATATATATATATATATATATATTCTACTTAAACCTCCTTGCTGCCACTGGAATAGCACAACTGAGAACATTGTTTTATAATCTGCTACAAGCATTTGTTTTATATTCTTGGCTAAAATCTATGGCATGCACTATGCAACCTATTCCCCCTTGCAGACTGTTACTTGTATAGTTTGGCTTTATTCCTCTGTTAATGGGGAGAGGTTGCTTCCTATGCTGCTGTAGGTAACATACGATGTGAGACGGGCTGATGTTACTACTTCAACCAAAGGCTGAAATCCGTCGATGCAGGATGGCTCTCTTCCAGTCACAGTATTCTTGGCCCCTCCCACATCGTTGCATCAATTACACATTTCAGGAGCCGTGTGAGAGGTCACTATGCCTTCCCTCTATTATAAGAACTGTACCTGAGGCCACCATTGTGTTATCAGGACACGGCAGGATCCCAGACTCTGCAAAGCTCCTGATAAGCTTCCAGCTTTTAAAATAGAATCTTAATTACTTAAAATAGAATTTTAATTACTTCCTGCAATATGTAGCTGTGCTGCTACTAACCCTCCAAAAGGTATTAGCTGCAGTTTTGAAGCTCCTGTAGTGAAGGTACCTCTTGGTACCTAACTCTTATTAATGTTTTCCTCGATGCACTTTCCTCACCCAAATTCTGTCTTTTCTTTTTCTTTTTTACCTTTTCCACACACTCTCTTCTGCCTAGTGAGCCAAACCTGCTTGTCCGTGCCTGTAATCAGTTAGGCCAGTTCTTGCAGCACCGGGAAACTAATCTTCGGTACCTAGCACTGGAAAGCATGTGCACGCTTGCAAGCTCTGAGTTTTCACACGAGGCCGTGAAAACGCACATAGAAACAGTTATCAATGCACTGAAGGTAACTATTGGATCTGTGTATTAACCTGAAATTTGGACTTGATTTTTTAAAAACAAAGCAAAACCAAACCATGTATCTGTGTGGGCTTGCTGCTTTGCATTCCAAGAGCAGCAAGAGTTTTATTCATGCAATAAAAAGGATGTAGAGTGGTCTCTTCATTGGAAGCTCTTTAAAACATAATGAACAATAAAGAGAGGCTTCACATCCATCAGTGGGCCTGTGCTTGAACTGCAGCCTGAATCACGTGCCACTGTCCTGGGATTTAACATGTTGAACAAGGGAGTGTTGGTTAGAAGGACAGAGGGCAATTGAGGGGAATGACGATGCCTCTGAGGATGCTGGAGGTGAGGAGGATACCAGAGAAAAGCACCTAGCTGAAGAGAAAGAATGGATTAAGGTTTCTACTGAAGGATGCTTAATTTACTTTCTCTGTTTTCCTCCCAAATGACTGACTGTCGCCACGCAGCTAGAGCTGGACTTGGCTTTAACCTCCTGCCCTTGCCACTAAAATTAATGTACAGCAACCCTGGGAGGGGATCACCGTCCCACAGGGAAGAGACCCAATACAGCAGTTGGTGGGTCTCACCACTACCCACTACCTCCTGTATCTGGATCCTTGTTCTTTTCTGACCCGTTCCTTCCTGCAGTTCATGGTGCCCTTGGATGCATCAACGTCACCACAGTCTAGTTCTTAATACTTTCTAGTCGAAGTATAAAGCAGGGGCCACCAATCTTTTTTGGGGTCCATGATATCATTTAGATTTTTGAGCAAGTGCTGTGGATGCCACCCATGCTGCTCACTTATCGTTTCTGTCTCCCAGATTAGCTCCTCCCCATGAGTAAGAAAGTGTCCGTGCGTGCAATTCTTTTTGCTTTTCCAAGGGATCTGGGTAAAAGTTGGATCCTGTAGAATTCATCTGGACCATAAAAAGCATATAGAGCTGGAAGAGGAAGTAGGGTAGAGTGTCAACACTTCTACCTTCTTCCCTTAGATCTCAGCACCCACCTTCTGACAAATATGTGACAAGCCACTCTCTCCACTTCATGACCAATGGGGCTCAGAGGCTTTGTGGGCACCAGGGAGAGACCCCGGAGGGACCCTAGTTTGAGCTACTGCTAGCCATTGTCCCAGGGGTGGAGAACATGCAGCCTTCCGTATGTTGCTGAACTAAAAACTCCCATGAGACCCAGCCAGCATTTGGGAGACCTCAAGCTCCCCAACTCTGCGTTACTGCTACTTTTCTTGCATAGTTTGTTGGCCCCCTACTGAGGAGTCTTGTGTGGGTACAACCGGGGGTGGGGTGGGGTGGGGTGAATGCCTTGGTGTCATTCATTACATGGTTATCCTTCCCTTGATCCAGGACTCTTAATTAGTAATATTTAATAAATAATCATTCCACTTAAAATTGTTTTCCTGGCTTTGACCCCAATTGGGATGAAGCCAAGTATCTTGTTTCTTGTTATAAATGCTGTTTAGGATTATTGACTTCGAAACAAATGCCGCCTGGTACTGATTCTAGGTGCAATTCAGGCGCTAGTATCTGTAGCGTGGGCACTCCGATAGTCTGCTTAAAAATTTGGACACGTCTTAATTGTTGTTTCCCCAAATCTCTCCCTTTGTGTTGATCTTTTACCATTGTGATGCCCTTTGCAGACAGAGAGGGATGTAAGTGTGCGACAAAGAGCGGTGGACCTCCTGTATGCCATGTGTGACAGAAGCAACGCCCAGCAAATTGTAGCTGAAATGCTGAATTACCTGGAAACTGCTGATTATTCTATTAGAGAAGAAATTGTAAGTAATAATAATAATAATAATAATAATCCTCATCATCTGAGCTGTCTTCACCGTTGAGTGCTGCTATAAATTTAGAGCTGCAAGATGACATCAACCTTTGCTAAGCTAAACATAGCATCTGACAATTTCAATGTGACTACTGTGTACAAATGCTAATTCCAGTAGATGGTCACCTTTGTGCTGACTTCTAGAGGAGTAGTCATAATAAATTTATTTTAAGGTTCCACTGGTGACAATCTTTTGGTTGCTCTTTAAAGTAGATGGCAGAATTTCTTGCACTGGGTTTATTAAACTGTATATGATCAGTCTAATCACAGTAAAATGTGCTTCGCTTTTACTTCAGTTGATCCTAAAATATATTGTCTCTGGATCACCCTTTTACATTTGTTTAAGGTATTAATCAATATTGGATACGTTGTACTAAGGAGGGTATTTATACTAACTAGTTTGGATGAATTGAGAGATGTAGGAACAGTGGTGCGTTTAGTTTTCCTTTATTTTTTTGAATGGATAGGTATTAAATGCTGTAGAAATTCATTGTTTGAATGAAGTTGCTTCATAAGTTGGTGTTGTGTATGTTTGCTCAGGTGCTGAAGGTTGCGATTTTAGCTGAGAAATATGCAGTGGACTACACTTGGTATGTGGACACCATCTTGAATTTGATTCGAATCGCTGGAGACTATGTCAGTGAAGAGGTGTGGTACAGAGTCATCCAGATTGTAATTAACAGAGATGATGTGCAAGGATATGCAGCAAAGACAGTCTTTGAGGTAAGACATAATTATTGTTTGGAAGCCTTTTTCTTCCAGCATCTCACTGTAAACTAGTAATGAAAGCCAAGTGGTAAGGAATAATTCTGGTCCAGGTGGGTGTTTGACTTCTTTCATCATTCCCCTTTGCTGGCATTTTCTATTTATGCTCTTTTCTTACTTGCTTCTGACACTTCTGCGGTTCTGTAACTTTGCCTTGTCCCTTCCCTTAATTTCATTTTTAGCAATAGACCCACAAGGTATGACTTTTTCATTGTACTAATGGTGTATTACTTACATGGAGAAATCCTTGTCTCAATGAAAATAGACATGAAGCTAGGCTAAAGATTGAATTGGGAAAAGTTTCTGAGGCACTGTGAGGGGGGAGAGAATTGTTCCATGTGAAAATTTGTGTAAACCACACATCCATGGTGGATGAGGCAGCAGTTGCCTAGAATGAGGAAGAATGAATGATGGATGATGATGCCAAGGGGCCAATAAACTTTGATAAACTGTCTTGTGAATGCCACAGATAATTACACAATTATTACTACCTGCACTTCCCTGCGTTTTATTTCTGTTAACTACTCTCTTTCTCTTCCTTCTTCTTCTCTCTCTCTTATATATGTCTCTCAGGATAACACTTAATGCATCTGATGAAGGGGTCTGCAGCCCACAAAAGCCTATATGCCATAATAATTTTGCTAGTTTTTTAAAGGTGGCACAAGACTCTTCATTATTTGTAATGTTGCAGCTGGTGCTTTCTCTACATTGCCCAAATATGCTTAGATTGAAATAGTTTTATTAAAAATGAAATTTAGAAAGACTGGAATAGTCCAGTTCTGAATCGAAGAAATTATAATTGGCTAGTGATGCAAATAACTTTTCTATAAACACCTCAATAGTTTGAAGTAGCACTTGGCCAAAGTGTTGTAGTTATAACTGTTAGGGTGGATGGTCAATAACTGGTGCTGTCTTCCTACTGAGCTGACGTGACCTTTGCACTTGGGTGACTGCTGTCACTTAGGCATGCTGTATCCAGGTTGGGTAATAATCCTTTTAGGGCTCTGGGTACCTGGCCCTCTTTCCCTGTTATGAGCCGCTGCTATCAAGAGTGCATTGTCATATGCACCCCTGTGCCGCCACCCCTCTCAAAGGCCAGGTTGGCACTTTCTTTCTTCTTGTCAAGATTAACTAGCTGTCTTGCACGAGTTGTGTACTTGGAACTGATCCTCGCTCTGCAGGCTTCTGATAAGACCCCTCTGTTTTGAGCAGCTTTCTGCACAAATTGCACTACTCCCTGACACAATGAGATAAACCTGCCTTGCTGCTAAGAGCTAATCTTCCATCTGTTCCTCTAATCTGTTGTGTTGCGATAGCACGAGCAAAAAATGTTTTGAGCGTGAAAAAGTTATTTGCCGTTCTTATTTCTCTTAAATTAGCCTTATAGTGGCTTTGGAGGAGAGAAGAACTTGGCCATGCCAGGAAAATAATAATAATAATAATAATAATAATAATAATAATAATAATAATGCAGCATTATATCCTGATTTGCTGTGATTTGTTTGTTTCAAAAGCTTCTCTGAGAGCTTTGACTGACCAGTACCTAACAAGCACTTTTTAAGGATTTATGTATTATGCTAACTTTCAGAACCTTTTTTAAAAAATGGGATCTCTTTTCTTCCTACCTCCCCTTGCAAATGCCTCCTTTTGGGTCTGTTTCTTTTATTTCTCTCTCTTAAAATATATTACTATTTTTAATTAAAGCTGTTAACTCCTTTTGTGATTTCTGGTCAAAAAGCAGGATATACATCTAAGAACGACAACTTTTCCAATACATTGGGCAGGAGTAAAAAGGAGGGCAACTAGTAAACGGATTTTCCTCATTCCATTGTGTTTGTACTTCTTGTACAGATGCAGGAAACTAGCAGTCCATATCACAGAATGGAAGAGAACGTTCCTCCTAGAGCGGTAGAAGTTACTTCCATGTTTAAAGTGTTGTTGCAGAGTGCAGGGGAGAGGGAGGACTGCAAACTCTTCTCTCCAGTTCAAGCATATCTTCCCCACATACAGCACAATATCCTCCAAATAATGCCAGCCATTTAGTATCAGTTTGGAAGAGACCAGTAGGTTATTGGATTCAGACTCATAACTTCTTGCCACCCTGCTCTCCATGTGTGAGTCCAGTTTGCCCCTTCACCTGTGCTATATGCACAATGCTGGACCAATACTCAAATGAAAACCAAGCTGCATGCCAAGGGATCCCAGACCTTCAGTCACTAGCCAATCCTAGATTATAAGAAAATTCCTTCCAACCCAATGGAGATCAGGCAGGCCTCATGTCTCCCAGTGGGTAATCTTGCTCTAATCAATATCATGTTTCTAGTTGTGACAGTCACTGATGCCCTGGAGGAAAGGGAGAAACCCTATGTAGACACTACTGTGAGGCACCCAAATAAAAATTCAAAAAAATCCTGAATCTTCATCAGCACTAATGTTTTAGGTGCATGCATTTACTGAGTCTAGCAACTTTATGATGGGCTTCAAATGTCTTCAACAGGCGCTTCAAGCACCGGCCTGCCACGAGAACCTGGTAAAAGTAGGTGGCTACATCTTGGGAGAGTTTGGAAATCTGATTGCTGGGGATCCAAGATCTAGGTAAAAACACACTCTTGAACCTGGGGGTGGCATCAAGGAATTAATAACTGTGGCATAATAACTATGCAGCCAATTTTAAAACGGTCTATCTACAATAATAATTTGTGATCTTTCTGTCATGCTATGGCAGCATGCTCACTTGCCCAGTATGTCTCCAGAGCTTTTGGCTCTGCCCCTCCTAACTATGTTCTTCTCGTCCCAGAGTGGAGTGGGGGGCCCTTGAGTCAGGAGTCCCCGATACCCCATTTTTTTTTGACATGGCCCATGGAGAATTTATTAGGATAGCGCTCAATGTGTGCAGAAGGACATGCGGCTGTGAGGAGAGAAAGCCATCCTTTCTCTTTAAAGTAACAATTCTGTAAACTAGTGGATGAAATAGGATTCTGAGATCATGGCAAGAGAAATTTCATTACTTAAGTACAGTGGTACCTTGGTTCTCGAATTCAATGTGTTCTGGGAGTCCGTTCGACTCCCAAAACATTCGAAAACCAAGGCACGGCTTCTGATTGGCTGCAAATCATTGTCAACTCGCAGTTTTAATGGTGACTTTGTTCTTGTTCCCTTTTCCTCTCTTTTCCTCCCTTCCACCCCAGCCCTTTGATCCAGTTCAACCTGCTGCACTCAAAGTTCCACCTATGCAGTGTTCCAACCAGAGCGCTGCTTCTGTCTACGTACATAAAATTTGTGAATTTATTTCCTGAGATAAAAACAACTATTCAGGATGTGCTGCGCAGTGATAGCCAATTGAAAAATGCTGATGTCGAGCTGCAGCAAAGAGCTGTTGAGTACTTGAGACTCAGTACAATTGCAAGTACTGACATCTTGGTATGTATTCACACGAATGTGAAGTTGATTCTTGGCAGCTGTGTCCAGAAATATTGCTCCCCCTCCCCCTGTTTTTTACACCAGCCATAATTGTGATTGGTGGTTTTTTTGGGGTGGGGTGAAGGGGGTTGTTAATTGATTGTAGCAAATGGGATAATGTAACATACACCATGTGGGGGTTATACTTTAAGACAGAGGTTGGGAAATGTGATCCTCCATGTTAGACTCCTACCAGCCCAGCCAACATGGTCGGTGATCAAGATTGATGGGAATTATAGACTAGTGACAACAGGAGGGCTAGAGATTCACCATTCCTCCCTTAAGAAATCACAGTGTTTTTCCTACCTCTTCCAAGTATACATGCTCTGGTCTCTTATGGCTTGTTTTCCCTATAAGGCAACTGTGCTGGAAGAAATGCCTCCATTTCCAGAGAGGGAGTCCTCAATTCTGGCTAAGCTCAAGAAGAAAAAGGGCCCCAACACAGTTACTGACTTGGAAGAGACAAAGAAAGAGAGGAACTCTGATGTGAATGGGAGCACAGAAGCTACTCTTGTAAATGCCAGCACTGTGGTAGGTTGGTTTCAGCAGCGTAAGATACCAGTTCTTGAAGCCAGGTTGATTATAAGGGAAATGGAATGTCTGCATATAACCCTAGAGGAGAGGTCTCCTTCCAGACCTCAGCTATACTGGTACCCTGGCAACCAGGAAAGGCCAATTTAGATACACCTCAAAATCCAAATTAATTTGCTTTATGAATGGCTAGGTTAGATATTTTCTCAGTCGTTTTTCTGTACATTTTGGTCATGCCATGCCACTGGGCCAGTTTCTTGTATTGAGATCTGAACCCCAGAACAACTTGGGTCAGGGTTACCTTGCGACTGTCTGGGCCCGTATATCTTGGCTCAATCACTGAGATCATCCGAAAGATCACAGTTAGTTGTCCCTTGTGTTTCGGAAGCCAGTGGGCTTTAACTAGAAGTCAGGCAGGCTTCCAGTCCCATGCTGTGGAATATTCTTCCAGCAGAAATACAACAGATAGCCTCACTGCTAACCTCCAGGTGTCTCTTGAAGACTTCTTTGTGTTGACAGGCCTGTTCCGTGGTTTAAGCTTTTCAGATGAGTGGGCCATTTTTATCATCATTTTGTATTTTTTAAATGGTATTTTATATATATATTTGTAAACCTTGTACACTACCCTGAGATTTTATATAAGAGGGTGGTCTATAAATATTTTTATAAATATAAATATTATACGTACACATAGAGGTGGGTCTTATTCCCAGTCTAACAATGTGTCCATGTTGATTTAATGGAGTGACACTGGGCTATTCTTGATGAGGTGGCTTTCAGTCACATGTACTCCTGTTAATCTCTCTGGGACTAAAAATCAAAATGTAAGAAGCTGTGAGTTTACTCCTCAGAGGAAAAGTATACTGAGAATCCAGGAGTGGGTTGCGAGTAACACAGCAACATGCCAGGCTTCCTCTTCTTATGACTTTTCCTCCTCAGCAAGTTCCTTTCCCCTTTAGATCTTATACCTGTGATAACTGCTCGTCTGCTCACGTTTTCATGCCGTGTTACTGTTCAAATTGATTTGCTGTCTCCTTTTCTGATAACGTTAAATGCTTTGTGGGTCAAGGAACGGGATGTTATTGCTAAATCAAATTAATGTGATGAACGACACAGTTTTCTTAATGAAAGAACTTCACGTTGGATGGGGAAAGTGAGCTGGGGACATGGCCCGGTTTGTATCTTATCAGCAGACATGCTTTAATCACAGAACTTTCCTGTTGTCTCTTACAGTCTACTCCATCTCCTTCAGCAGACCTTTTAGGACTTGGCACAGCCCCCACGACAAACTCTGTTGCAGCCCCAGCATCTAGTGGCAGTTTGTTGGTAGATGTGTTTTCGGACACCTCTGCGGCTCCCGCATCTCTAGCTCCAGGTTCTGAAGATAACTTTGCAAGGTATATAATAAATCAAAGCATCATAGGAGTGGTGGGAAGCAATTGTTCCCCCTTTCTCGTTCCCAGCTACTACAAGGTTCCCTTCTTGCATGTTTCACTGAGAGAGCAACAAAGGTTGGCAAGTCATCTTAACTCATGTACGACACTATTCGCCTTGCTAGGATTGGCCACACTTTTTTATTTTGGGGGAAGACATCTTATTCATCACATAGTAGTCTGGGCACTGGATGTCACTTTCCTGTAAATCTTAAATATCTCTTCCATATAACTGGAAAGCATTTTTCTCTCCTTGGCTGAATTCTCTTGATTGTAGAATTGGATAGGGCTGCAAACAGATAAAATTTCATGGAGGGCCAGACCTGGCCCACCAGACACAAGTTGACCACCTTTCCTTTAGGGTAAGTGCATGCATGGCAATGAGAATAATCATAATGGTATTAATTAAATATCTGGTTAATAGGAATAGATAATAATAAAATGATGACTACAATCAATATATTTTTATGTGAGAACAGTATTATTTTGCTCTAGTTTAGTAATTTCTCCTGTTGCATGTGTGAAACCCCCTTTTTAAAAACAAAACAAAAACTAATGACATTCCTTCTCTGTCTGTTAAATCAAGTACTGGTAGCTTTATGAAACATCACTGGTCAGGTCTCTTGATTCAACGAGTGTTTTGCACTTGGCAGCAGCTTCACATGAAGTTCTTAGGGCAATGCTGCAGTGTTGGAGCCTGAGTTTGGGAGTTGTCTTCCTTTATTTTAAAAATTTAAGCCATTGTCTTAAAAGGCAGTGTAGAAAAACTTGAAAATGCTTGAAGACAAATGTCAAGCTCTGTCCATAACTCAGAAGAGTGCTGCAAAGTTGCAACGTGGTGGACAATCTTGAGCAAAGCCATTTCAAGAACTGGGGTATTTGATAAGAGCACACAAATACTGTCAAGGGGGCAAATTCTCTCAAATTGTTACTTGAGTTTCTTTGTGCTCAATAATTCAGGATTGTGTGTGCAAGCAAATCTTAGATTCAGTGTATCTATAGACCGGAATCCCAACATTGCTTGAATAGACTTCCAGTTCTGCAGCAGGACATCAGCCTTCCCATTGAACTAGACTAGCACAGCCCTGTTCCGGTTGTGCCCAAACATTGTTGGTTACAACCCACTGAGTCTTTCTTATAAGCTATTGAAAATGCTGCTCTTACGCTGCAGCCCTGTACCCACTTACATGGGAGTAACAGCCACTAATAATAATAATAATAATAATAATAATAATAATTTTATTATTGCCCATCTGGCTGGGCTTCCCCAGCTACTCTGAGCAGCTCACAGCATATATCATAACATACTAAAACATCAGGCATTAAAAACTTCCCTAAACAGGGCTGCCTTCAGAAGTCTTCTAAAAGTCGGATAGTTGTTTATTTCCTTGACATCTGATGGGAGGACGTTGACAGGGTGGGCGCCACTACCAAGAAGGCCCTCTGCCTGGTTCCCTGTAACATCACTTCTCGCAGTGAGGGAACCAGCAGAAGGCCCTTGGAGCTGGACCTCAGTGTCTGGGCTGAGCGATGGGACTTCTTTTTCACTAAGTAGGTTTAAGATAGTGTTGTTAATGGAGTTGGGAGGAGGGATTTTTCCTCCTCCCTAAGTTTTCCTTTCCTTACTAACTAACCTCTCCCTTTCTGTGTGCTGCCTCTTCTCTTCTCTTCTTTTCTCTTCTCTTTTCTTCTCTTTCTGCTGCTTCACTTTAGTCCTGACCTATCTTCAAATGAGCAGGTGGTTTCTGAGGAACCAGCTGATGCTGTGCATGATGCTGATGAGCTTTTTCACACGTAAGCAATACTAAATCCTTGCAGGACTGGGCAACTAGTACAACCTCTTACTTTTTTTAAAAAAAGCACATCATTTCAAATGATTTTACTTGTTACTGCTTGTTCTGGCCTGAGTATGATCTGCCTTGGAGCAGGCGTGATCAAAATGTGCATGTGAATCGTCATAGAGAGAACAACCTTTTTATCTTCTTATCCAGTTTTTAAATCTAATCCAGGAAGGTAACTGAAAAGTAGCAAGCTTTTTTAGAGTGTAAAAAAGGCAATAGAATTGCTTGTAATGGAAGCTGGCATCAATTGCTTTGGATCTCGGTAATTATAGATCAAATGTTTTCAAAGTTTACATGTTGCCTAATTGCAAAAGCTGTGGGCTGGTTCTACTTGATATTGTAAGTCAAGTGGTGAACATGCAGGTATGAGGGAGTCCTCACACAACTATCTCTTTAAATACAATGCAGCATTGTCATTTCACACATCCTGCATCTGGAGGCTGAGTGTCACACACACACACACACACACACACACACACACACACACGTGTATTTGTGAATCAGCCCTATGATACTCTGTGGCAGTCAACATGCAGCATATTCTGGGATAGAGCTCTGCAGTGTTGATGAGTATTCAAAGGAATTGAATATCGAGGCTTTGGTTCTTACAGTGTGCTAGAATGTCTAGTCTTTCCTTCAGGAAAAATAGTGAAGTAAGAACCAAGACTGTGCCTGGGTCCTAAACTCTTACTAAACTAAAGTAATGCAAATGCTGTTATTTGTTGTGCATTTTGCAAAGCAGTTTGCAAGGTCTGCATACTCATAGCATTCCCGTGAGCTAGGCTGTCAATCCTATTTTACAGAAGAAATATTGAGGCTGCATGTTTTGTCCAAGGTCACATAGTAGATTCCCAGACCCATAGCTAGTTTGTACTGTTTCTCCCATTTGTCTTACCCACATAATTTACCTAATACATAAAATTCCAAAACATTTTTTTAAAAATCATTTGCCTTGGGCAACCACAATTTGGCAACCACCATAATCTAAAGCTCTTCATAATGCATTGCTGTCTGTCTTCCGATTCATTGCGTTAGTAGATAATTGATGTTTGAAGCCTGAGCTAATTAGTCATAGCTGGGAGAGAAAACACCATGCCTACCCCAACTTGGCAATAGTTAATACTTAGAATGGCACCAAGCAAGTGATATGCCATTTTAATGTTTCTAAGATGCCCTAGGGGATATTGTCATGTCTTTCAAACTTCAGTCTTTTGCTCCTACCAGTTGCCCAGTCCTCAAAGCATGGATGTTGTGGCTCCTTAACCCTTCCCCCCAATGTTTCTGTGATTGGGGCAGCTTGGAATAGTTGAGGAATAAAGCAAATTTTGCAAGGACTATTTGACCTACAGCTTACTTCTTGATTTTGATTCTATCTTGGTTCTTGCTTCTTCTTGACTTCTTCTAATACTCCTGGGTGCACAGATGTCTGACTGCATCCTTTCTATCTAAAGCAGTTGGTAACAACATGTGATTTATCTAAAACATAATTCCTGTATTGTGCCTGCTTCTCTCTTTCTAGGTTTGTTTGCAAAAATAATGGAGTCTTATTTGAGAATCAGTTGCTACAGATTGGTTTGAAATCTGAATTTCGGCAGAACCTGGGTAAGAACAACACAGTTTATGATAAGCTGCATTCTACAGTATTACCTGAGGTCCTATTTTTGTAAGAAGTGTCATGTTTGGGCCTCTAACGAAATATTGCTGGGCCTTTGTAAGAATTTCAGAAAAGCCCTGCATATTATAATTAATTCCTTTTCAAGCTTAAGTAGGCTTGGGTGGTGGTTTAAATCAAACGCTCATAAGTGTTGCCTTGTTTCTTTGCAGGTCGGATGTTCATATTTTATGGGAACAAGACTTCAACACAATTTTTGAATTTTACTCCAGCGCTAATCTGTTCAGATGAACTCCAGGCTAATATCCTTTTGTTACCTGATATCGCTAACAAGAGAAATTGTTCTTAAGCGCAGGAATCAGCCTGTATGCTGCAGGGACTGCAGTTCAGTAGGAAGAATTGGAGAACATTGGGCAAAAGTGTTCATTGCATTTCTTGGGGAACCACAATATAGAGAAAGGTGATTTAAGGATAATCATGTCAGGAAGGTAGACTGGCTCTGTGTTTGACCTAGAAAAGTGTGTCCCTTCTCTCTACAGTGGTACCTCGGGTTACAAACACCTCGGGTTACAAACACTTCAGGTGACAGACTCCGCTAACCTGGAAGTAGTACCTCGGGTTAAGAACTTTACCTCAGGATGAGAACAGAAATCGTGTGGCGGCAGTGGGAGGCCCCATTAGCAAAAGTGGTACCTCAGTTAACGGTTTCAGGTTAAGAACGGACCTCCGGAACGAATTAAGTTCGTAACCAGAGGTACCACTGTACTAGGCATTATGCAGGCAGAGTTCCTTGGTTTTAAATTATTTGTTTAAATGACAATGTTTATGGAGTGTGGCTGCCCCTCTAGTGTCAAGGGATCCCTCAAAATGTTCTGCCTCTCAAATATTGTCAGGTTACTCTTGAAGATAGCTGTCATGCAAACCTGACTTTTTTTTAGATTCTAAAATACCTGTCTGTTATGATTATTATTATGAATGCAATTTAATATGCATTTTGGGGAAAAATATTAAATAGCTGCTGCAGGGGATCGTGAGCACCATGGGGAGTTCAGGAGATAGAGATGATGTTTCCTATCTGCTGCTGTGATTCTGGCAAAATGCACCCCTCAAACTGTTGTTTGTGTCAGGGGGCTTCCCTCTTGGTGCAAAGAGCAGGGTGCGTGAGTAGGTGCATGCCTGATTTTCCATTTGAAAAGGAGGTGCTTCCTCTTGGTTCATGTGGGAACCAATGATACTGCAAGCAATAGCCTCCAGAAGATCAAAAGAGACTACGAGGCTCTGGGCAGGAAATTGAAGCAATTAAATACACAAATTGTCATCTCATCTGTCCTCCCAGTTGAACGACGTGGCCCAGGGAGAGAGGGAAAAATAGTGGAAGTGAACAGCTGGCTTCGCAAATGGTGTAAACAGGAACGGTTTGGATTCGTAGATCACGGACTGCAGTTTCTTGAAGATGGACTTCTGGCAAGCGATGGGCTGCACCTCACAACAGTTGGGAGGAATGTTTTTGCCAAAAATCTCAGAAACCTCATCAGGAGGGCTTTAAACTGACTAATTTGGGGGAGGGAGACAGTGCTCCTGAAGGTAGGAGTCTATCAATTGATGAAGATGATCATCCAAATGTCATAGACCAAATGGAGCAAACAGCACGCAGACCTAGTGGTGGAAGGAAAAAATCCTTAAATAAGAGTCACGGGGGAATGATTAATGGACTTCAATGTCTGTACACTAATGCGCAAAGCATGGGAAATAAACAAGATGAGCTTGAGCTCTTGGTACAGCAAACTAAATATGACATAATAGGCATCACTGAAACCTGGTGGGATAAGTCCCACGATTGGAATGTAATAATGGAGGGATACAATCTGTTTCAGAGAAACAGACCAGACAAGAAAGGAGGAGGAGTGGCGTTATATGTCAGGGATGTGTATACCTGTGAAGAGATCCAAGATTTAGAACCTCAAAGCCAAAGTGAGAGCATTTGGGTCAAAATTAAGGGAGAGAAGAATAACAGTGACCTCATTGTGGGAGTTTACTATAGATCCCCAAGCCAAACGGAGGACATAGATGATGCCTTCCTGGAACAGATGGCCAAGCATGCAAAAGGAAGGGAGATAGTAGTAATGGGGACTTCAGTTACCCAGATATTTGTTGGATGTCAAACTCAGCCAAGAGCATAAGGTCAAACAGATTCCTCACTGGCCTTGCAGACAACTTCATTGTCCAGAAAGTGGGAGAAGCAACAAGAGGAACAGCCATTTTAGATCTGGTCCTAACCAATGTTGATGACCTGGTTAGTGGGGTAGAAGTGGAAGGATCATTAGGCGCGAGTGATCATGCTCTTCTGAAGTTTACTATACAGCGTAAAGGAGCAGCCAAGCATACTAGGACTCAATTTCTTGACTTTAAGAAAGCCGACTTCATAAAACTTAGGGAAGTGCTGGGTGAGATCCCATGGACAGTAATACTAAAAGGAAAGGGAGTTCATGATGGCTGGGAGTTTGTTAAGAGGGAGATAGTAAAAGCACAACTTCAGGCAATACCAATGAGACGGAAACATGGAAGGTGCCTAAAGAAGCCAGGGTGGCTATCTAAAGAACTTTTAACTGAGTTAAGATTAAAAAGGATGTGTACAAAAATGGAAAAGGGGGAAACCACCAAAGAGGAATTCAAACAAATAGCCAGCACGTGTAGACACAAAGTCAGAAAAGCTAAAGCACAGAATGAACTCAGGCTTGCTAGAGAGGTTAAAAGCAACAAAAAGGCTTTTATGGGTATGTTCGTAGCAAAAGGAAGAACAAAGAAACAGTGGGGTCACTCAGAGGAGAAGATGGTGAAATGCAAACAGGGGACACAGAAAGGGCTGAACTCCTCAATGCCTTATTTGCCTCAGTCTTCTCCGATAAAGAAAACAATGCCCGACCTGAAGAATTTGGAGCAAATGATTCAGCAGAGGAAGCACAGCCCAGAATAACTAAGGAGATAGTACAAGAATACTTGGCTAGTTTAGATGTATTCAAGTCTCCAGGGCCAGATGAACTGCATCCAAGAGTATTAAAAGAACTGGCAGATGTGATCTCAGAACCACTGGCAGTCATCTTTGAGAATTCCTGGAGAACAGGCAAAGTCCCGGCAGACTGGAGGAGGGCAAATGTTGTCCCTATTTTCAAAAAGGGGAAAAGAGAGGACCCAAATAATTACCGCCCAGTCAGTCTGACATCAATACCAGGGAAGATTCTGGAGCAGATCATTAAGCAAACAGTCTGTGAGCACCTAGAAAGGAATGCTGTGATCACCAATAGTCAGCATGGATTTCTGAAAAATAAGTCATGTCAGACTAACCTGATCTCGTTTTTGACAGAATTACAAGCCTGGTAGATGAAGGGAACGCAGTGGATGTAGCCTACCTTGATTTCAGCAAGGCATTTGACAAGGTGCCCCATGATATTCTTGTAAAGAAGCTGATAAAATGCGGTCTTGACTATGCTACCACTCAGTGGATTTGTAACTGGCTGACTGACCGAACCCAAAGGGTGCTCATCAATGGTTCCTCTTCATCCTGGAGAAGAGTGACTAGTGGGGTGCCACAGGGTTCTGTCTTGGGCCCGGTCTTATTCAACATCTTTATCAACGACTTGGATGATGGACTCAAGGGCATCCTGATCAAATTTGCAGATGACACCAAACTGGGAGGGGTGGCTAACACCCCAGAGGACAGGATCACACTTTAAAACGACCTTGACAGATTAGAGAACTGGGCCAAAACAAACAAGATGAATTTTAACAGGGAGAAATGTAAAGTATTGCACTTGGGCAAAAAAAATGAGAGGCACAAATGCAAGATGGGTGACACCTGGCTTGAGAGCAGTACATGTGAAAAGGATCTAGGAGTCTTGGTTGACCACAAACTTGACATGAGCCAACAGTGTGACGCGGCAGCTAAAAAGCCAATGCAATTCTGGGCTGCATCAATAGGAGTATAGCATCTAGATCAAGGGAAGTAATAGTGCCACTGTATTCTGCTCTGGTCAGACCTCACCTGGAGTACTGTGTCCAGTTCTGGGCCCCACAGTTCAAGAAGGACACTGACAAACTGGAACGTGTCCAGAGGAGGGCAACCAAAATGGTCAAAGGCCTGGAAACGATGCCTTATGAGAAACGGCTAAGGGAGCTGGGCATGTTTAGCCTGGAGAAGAGGAGGTTAAGGGGTGATATGATAGCCATGTTCAAATATATAAAAGGATGTCACATAGAGGAGGGAGAAAGGTTGTTTTCTGCTGCTCCAGAGAAGCGGACACGGAGCAATGGATCCAAACTACAAGAAAGAAGATTCCACCTAAACATTAGGAAGAACTTCCTGACAGTAAGAGCTGTTCGACAGTGGAATTTGCTGCCAAGAAGTGTGGTGGAGTCTCCTTCTTTGGAGGTCTTTAAGCAGAGGCTTGACAACCATATGTCAGGAGTGCTCTGATGGTGTTTCCTGCTTGGCAGGGGGTTGGACTCGATGGCCCTTGTGGTCTCTTCCAACTCTATGATTCTATGATTCAAATACCTGACGGGCTGTTGCACCAAAGATGGAGCAGGCTTGCTTTCTGCTGCTCTGGAGAGCCGGTCTAGAACCAATGATTGGAAATGGCAGGGAAGCAGATTTTGGCTAAACCATTTAAAGAGAAACTTCCTAATGCCAAGAACTATATATCCAACAGTACAGAAGGCTTCCCTGGGAGGTGATGGGATTTCCTCCTCTGGAGCTGTTTAAACAATGGCTTAATGGTCATCTGTCTGGGTCCTGAGATGCTGTGGTTGCATCCTGGAAGGAGCAGGTGGTTGGGCTTAGATGACTCCCATGTCCCTTTCTACTCCACGAACCTATGAAAATGCACCCCTGCCACCCCCTGCAGTCCTGGTGCTGCTCAGGCTCCCTTGCGGCTGTTATTTATTTGCACCCCCCCCCCCCAGCACTTAAATCACATTTTTGTAATCAATGTCTCATGTTTTAGTTTGGTTATTTGTGACTTTTATGGCAGCACTTTCCCAATATTAAGTTAGCCAAATAGCCTGTTTCCTTAACCTGCCACGCCTGAATTTGCAGACGAAACCAGTTGATCCCACTGTGGAGGGAGGTGCTCAGGTGCAGCAGATAGTAAACATTGAGTGCATATCGGACTTCATGGAAGCACCAGCCCTAAATATTCAGTTCAGGTACAACTCTTAATTTGGGTCTATATGTGTTGGGTTTAAGTAAGGACTGTCTTCTAAACAAATGAAACCGAACGATTGGGGCGCGGAACCACATTTTGGGGTGGAGTTTTAATTCAACAGACACCTGTGTCTATATCCTTTGAAGACTTTTTTTTTTAAAAAAAGAAAAACCTGTGGCAACTGTTTCCTAATGTTCAAAGGTCCTCAAAGGTTTAAATTGTTGCTGTTTGAATGTTTCAGATATGGAGGAACGTTGCAAAACATTTCTGTAAAGCTTCCCATCACACTGAACAAATTTTTCCAGCCTACAGAAATGGCCGCTCAAGACTTCTTCCAAAGGTGGAAGCAGCTAAGCAGGTAAGATGGTTCAGATCCTGCACAGCCATTAATGGCACATGCTGTGTTGCTTTAGTCTGGTGGTGCCTACCCATTAACTTGAGCCCTTCCAGGGGTGTATGAAGGTGTAAATTATTTCATCAGTCAAGCTGATGTAGAAGAACATTGACCTCCTTTGTACTAACGTCTCTGCAGGATTGAACTGGAGAAGGACAAGTCCTGCATTTTTCCACAGCTAGCTGTGCACAGTACATTTCTTTTATTTATTTTTTTAACCCTACTGTTCTTTATAAATAAATCCAAAGCAACTTATAAAATTACTAAACATTAATAAAAGCATTTCCAGAATCACTAAAAAATAGTATATAGATAAGATGAGTTTTTAAATCAGAGAGAGAGAGAGAAACATTAAATGAAATCAAAAGTTCAGCATACTAACGCGCCTGAAGCTTATAAGGATGAGAGTTCCATGATCTGGGTGCTGCAGTAGAAAAGTATCCCAACCAACTGTGCTCCAGAAAATGTTGGAACATATAGCAGGACCTCCCGTGTTGAATTCAGCAGGTGATCAGGATTATATGGGAGGAGGCAGACCTTCAGATATCCTGTTCCCAAACAGTTTAGGGCTGAGGTGGTGGGTGGGGGTTGTGGTCCTCTAGATGTTGTTGGACTCCCAGTTTCCTTTGGACCACCCAGAATGGCCAGTGGTCAGGAATGGCAGGAGTCTACAACATCTGGAGGGCCACAGCTTCCTCTTCAATGGTTTAGGGCTTTGTGGGCAAGAACCAGCAGCCTGAATTGTGCTTGGGGAAACACTGGGAGCCACTGCAACAAAACTGGAGTGAGGTGATCAGTAAAGTAGACTCCCAAAACCATTTTGCACCAGTTTAAATTTCCAAAAGGGTTTCAGAGGACACTGTATGCAGAGCGTGTTCCAGTTTTCCAGTTTGGGTGTCACCAGGGCATGTGTGTCAATTACCAGATCTGCTGAATGTTCCTGTCAGTAATTGATAATGATCCATATCTTTCCCTCTCCCCAATCCCCTGGGGTAATTTTGCAGTGTTTTAAAAATTGGTCCTGCTTGATAAGTTTACATGTAAATTTAACATTTTAGTTGATTTTTTAAAAGTGGGCAGCCTACCTGAATTGTGGGTGGGTTGTTGGGTGGAAGGAGGGAGGGAGGCAAAACAGACTGCTGAATCAATATTTGGTTCATTGACTGAATGATGTCCTTTTTGTGAAGGCAGGAGGAAGCTGATGTAACCCTGCAGCGAAAAACTGCTTCAAGCCTCAATTTTTATAGGTTCAGTTTTAACCACCCCTAATTTGCTGGTTCTATATGAAATGCTGCCTAACTCTCTCATGTTTGTACTGTAAAACCAAAGCAAATGTTAACTACTTTAACCTTGGTGTTACTTTGCAGCCCTCAACAGGAAGTGCAGAACATCTTTAAAGCAAACCATCCAATGGATACCGAAATTACAAAGGCAAAGGTGGGTAGCAGGTGGCTGTTATCCTCCTCCTCCTCCTCCTCCTTCTTCTTTGGCTATCACTCATAGCCGAGTAAGATTACTCACCATCACAAGGTGATGATCCCACGATTGAGATCGTTATCACCATTGCTACTTGGGCATTTATAACCTGCACACTTCATTGCTGTTGCTCCCAGAGTGCTTTGCCAGAAAATAAAAATCATCTGCAATAAAATAAAATGTGTCAAGCAATGTTAAAACAAAAATGTAAATACATGTAAAAACACACACACTGCAGCAGAATCAAACCCAGTTTAAACTGTATTTTTTAAAGTTCTGGGCAAATAAGAATAAAAAAGCTCTTTTCCTAGCCCCTCCAAAGGACATGAGCTTTGACTTCGGGATATCATTCCATGGACAACTGTGAGCCTTTTCTCTGACTACTGCTCACTTCTGACAAAAGAGAATCTGGAGAAGCATACAGGAAATTTTATCTACATACAAGCCCACTTACACACACAACTGAGGTATGGATATTTGCAGTGGAGATGCCTATGTGCAGTTGGGGTGCTAAGTTCTGGGGAAGGTTCTGCACATAGAGACCTGCACATAATAAATAGGCTTTCTTCCTGCAGGTATCTATGCCTAATGTGAGAAAAGCATGTGGTAGGGGGAAGTACATGAAATGTAAACTGCCAAATGTTACCAGTTCCTTTCAGAGCACAAAGGCTTGTTTGTGCCTAGACCAGGCTTCCTCAACCTTGGCCTGCCAGATGTTTTGAGACTACAATTCCCATCATCCCTGACCACTGGTCCTGCTAGCTAGGGATCATGGGAGTTGTAGGCCAAAACATCTGGAGGGCTGAGGTTGAGGAAGCCTGGCCTAGACTTTGTAGGGTGGTTCTTCCAGATATCTGTCTATTGTCTGCTTCTTGTAGGTAGGAGCCTCATGAGTTGTAGCCAGCAATCAAAGCATCTGAGCTCTTGAAACTTAAATAACCCATTCTGAAAGCATGCAAGGAGTCCAATACAAGGCATTTTGGGGGAAATCTAGTGCAAGAACCACTGCTCCACAGATATGCTCCCACTACAATTGGAGACATTCCTGCAAGAATGTATCTGTGGAGTCTCAGTTCAAACACTGTAGTCCTGTAACGCAGGAGTCTGGTTGTGAGAGGCTGCATGGAGGTTGTTGACCACCATTTGACCTGCTGTGTGTTCAGCATGTCGATCAAGCCCATCTTTTGTAAGGCCCCTTTCCTTCCTTTCTCACCACCTGCTCTTTCTTTTTCCTGGTCTCTGGTTCAAATCCCCTTTTTGGCTTTCCTTTGGCAGATTATTGGCTTTGGCACAGCTTTACTGGAAGAAGTAGATCCCAATCCTGCTAACTTTGTCGGAGCCGGCATAATCCACACAAAATCATTCCAGATTGGATGTTTGATGCGTCTTGAACCCAACCTGCAGGCACAGGTAATGGCTTCTTGTTTACTTGCTGAATGTTTTGAAAGTGTGGAAGAGCAAAACGGAAGAGATTTTTTTAAATATACCACATAGTTTTACTATGCCCACTTCTGTGACTCTAGCGTGCATCAGCCAATATTATGTATGAGGTTGTTTTCTAGGAACAATCAGCTAAGACAGAGTGAAATATCTTGCGGCTGTTCTATGGTTCCAGCAGCTATGCAATTATTCTGCTTCCTTCCTAAGACATAATGCATTCTTTTGAGACCCTGCTTTGGAAATAATACCTGCCAGACAAGTGGTAAAAACTGCTTCACTGTGACTAATTTGCCTGTGTGCAATGCCACATGCAGGTCTGCGCCTCTGCTGAACTAGACTGGAACATTCTAGAGCATGGGTAGGCAAACTAAGGCCTGGGGGCCAGATCCAGCCCAATCACCTTCTCAATCTGGCCCGTGGATGGTCCGGGAATCAGTGTGTTTTTACATGAGTAGGGTATGTGCTTTTATTTAAAATGCATCTCTGGGTTATTTGTGGGGCATAGGAATTCGTTCATTCCCCCCACCCCATATAGTCCGGCCCCCCACAAGGTCTGAGGGACAGTGGACTGGCCCTCTGCTGAAAAAATTTGCTGACCCCTGCTCTAGAGCACTAAAAGTAAAGGGCTATAGAACACATGCCTCATAGGCAGAAGATGCCTGGTTCAATCGCTGGCATCTCCAGGTAGTGGAACACTTGTCAGAAATCCTGGTGAGTGGTTGCTACTCAGTGTAGGCAGTACTGAGCTAGTTAGACAATGATCTGTTTATGATTCAGCTTCCCATGTCACCATGTTTCTCAGGTTCATTTACCTCAAGTGGATGAGCACCCTTCTGCCAGCTTCTCTCAGTAGCAGCAGCTGGTAGGACGTTCTCTGTATGCTCATACATCTTTAGCACTTTCTTCTTGCCCCTACGTAGGGAGCTTATTTGCTTGTGTGATACCTTTGTGGAAGTTGTTTCTTATCCCCCCTCCCCTTTTATGCTTATGTGCAGCCCAAAGTATACTTCATTTTCATTCTAAATGATAACTGGATTATTTTAAAATGCTGTTGTACTAAAACGTACAGCACTGCTTTTCCAAAAAGCTCTACTTTTTTCATGGTCATTGTCTTCTTCTTTGGCGATCATTCGTAGCCGAGTCAGATTGTCTTCCATAAACACGGTTTTAACAATGAGTCCATGACAATGGGTCCATGTCATTTTGTGAGCGGTGGGAACTAAGCCAGGTGGTAATGATACACCAGTTTATACTTGTCATGGAAGATTTTGGAGACACACCAGCTATGAAGCCAGACAATTTTTTTTATTGTCTGTCCGTCTCTCTTAAACAAGGAAACTCCTTAATTCCACACAGATACATCTCAGTCCACTGCCACCTGGTGACTAAACTATGTAATGACACTATTGGTGTTTATACCCAACCCTCCAGCCTAAAAAAGTTCCCAGAGCAGCTTACAAAGATTATTCATGGAACAGTCTTTGTCCTAAGGCTTGCAATACCAAGTACATGATGCAAAAGAGGGGGGGGGGTAGAAGGGGCAATAGGCAAATTCTGGCACTGGTTCTTAGCTACATCTTTGGTTATCTCTCAGTGAGTGAAACACCATCATCAGATGTGACTGCAATATTACTGGATGTTGCATTCATGGGATCAGCCCTCTTGGGCACCAAAAATATCCTGGCATCTCATTTGGGCCTCGCTGGAAAGTGAGGCTTTGGGGGGGGGGGGAGGTCCTAGATGACAGCCCTGCTGAGAACCCAAGGAGAGCCCCGTTTGCCCAGCCAGCCTGTGGTCCAAAACTGTCTTTAGAAAGTTGATGAGGAAAAGGCCACAAATAGGATACAAATAATTAAATGTTGCAAAGATTTTGTGTTTTTAAATGTACACCATCAGCCACTGTTAACTTCCATTCAGATCTTACCTGTATAAATGTGTTGGGGGTGGGGTTTTTTGGGGGGCAGCCACTGAAAATTGTTCTTCTGTTCTTTTCCAGATGTACAGATTAACACTACGGACAAGTAAAGAAACGGTGTCCCGAAGGTTATGTGAATTACTTTCGGAACAGTTCTGAGCCATAATGTGCAAACCCTTCTGATTCTCCATTTCTGCCATTGTCCATGTCCTGCTCCAAAAATGTTTTGTACACCAGTGTCTGCAAAAATAATTGCCACCCCATTCACATCCCTGCCTTAAAGGACCTGTCCCTTTTTATGTGAAACAAATGATATGTGCAACATAAAATTACTTAAATGTGAAAAAAAAAAAAAATGACTCTTAGATTTTTGGTGCAAAGAAGCTGGGAGGTCTTGTATGTGTGTGGGAGGTCTTGTGTGTCTCAATTCAACTGTGCTTCATATATTTTTGGCAGGAGTTGTTTTATTAAAATTCACTTCAGGTATGGTTAATCCCAACTAAATAAAACAGTTTCGCTGGAAATGCCACTGTAAATTGCTAGAGGCATGCTAGAAGAAGAAGAAAAAAGTATGAAAGAGAAGTTGGTGTTCAGAGAGGGCTAGATTCTATTCCTGCTCTATTGAATGTTACCCCATGTCCTTTTTAAAGGATCTAGATACATCTGAAGATGGCTGTAAGTATTTGCTTTGTAAAGAACATTTGGAGGCATAAGCACATATTCTGATTCATATTTTAATATCCTCAAATGACTTCCTTTAAATCCCAGCCCTCCACTTTTCTCCAAGTTCTGAACTACCAAAGAGTTATCGTCATGATAAATGCTTAAGTAAGAAAACCACATTGGGTTCTTGGGTACAACATGTTGTTGTTGTTTTTTCCAAAGCTCTGGTTGATCATCTAAACATCAGTACACTTTGACTTTAAATTAAGAAATCACTTGAAGTATTCTTTTACCTAAGACTTTCCAAGCAACCCAAGGCATTGGTATTCCTGCCCCCCCCCCCGGCACTTTCCAGTTTAACAACAACAACAAAAGTATTTTTTTACCCATTTAACATCTTCTGAATCATAGGGATAGCCACTAGCTCTGATCAGGGAGAGTTTAGTCTATTCAGATTTGAAATACACTGTGGGCTTCTGCAAGTATGATGGGTAGGAAGCTGATTGCTTTGAAATGCTTGTCATGTCACCAGAACACTTTTGGTCTAGAACTTGACAGTCCTGTTTTCAAAAAGTGTAGTAATGGCACCTGTAGTTTGGTAAGATCTATGCATTTGTGGAACATGCTGTGGAACTGGCATCTTCTTTGACAGAAGTAGAATGATCGTTAAACTGACTACCGTTACACACCTCTGAAGAGCTCCTTAAGAAGTAATTTATGACTACATTATATACGAAGGCAATGCAAAAATTAAAAAAGTAAAATAAGCTACAATGTTGTCTGATGACAAGTGATAGTTGCTGCTTGAGTTATGAGGCTTTTTAACAAACAACAACGTGGCTTATTCTGTCCCAGTGTCTGGAATTAACTAATTAAAAACTGAAAATCCACTTTCCTTCTTAATGTGGCTATTGGATCAGAATCATATTGACCAACTTCTCCAATCAAATTTGATGAGTTATATTGAAGCACATTGTATGGAACTACCTGGTGTGTAACCTGGTAAAATAATAAAACAATAACTCTTACATTCTCCTATCACTGTGGAAATTTTTAGGAATTGTCATTATGACAGGCCCATTGCATTACTGTGATTACACTACTGTAAATGGTATTAAGCATTCAGAGGTGTTCTGAAGTGTGTCTTATCGCAGATGCTGGGAAGAACAGCCATCTCATTTTTAACATAGATCCGTCCCACTGGAAGCATAGTTTGTCTCCTTTTTAATTCCACCTTAATACACTCTTTTTGTGTACTGTTCACTTGTGTAATTTTTGCAAATAAATGTGGTTTTATCCACAAAGGGTGATATTTAACTAAATTATACTCAGGGTAGGCCATGTGAAATTAATGGACTTCACTTAGTTAAGTCCATTGACTTCAGTGGATTTTCTCAGAGTATGACTAACATTGGATATCATTCATAGAGAAAAAGGACTCTAAATATAGGTGGCTCAATGACCAACTGTATATATGAGTAATCAAACTTTATGCAAGACTTCACCTCTGATATGAGCCATATAGGCATTGTTTTGAAGAAAACTTTTTTTTTAAAAAAAGTTTTCTTTATTGGGATAAATGACCTTGATTTACCAAAGTTGTGTGTCCTCCTCCATCTCAAGCAGAAGTTAACAGTTTCTGTGGCTAAAGCAGTATTAGTAATTAAGGTACAGTATTTGTTTTGTTGACATGTGAAAATACCTGAACAGGAAGACAAAATATTGTGCACTTTTAGGCCTACACTCCAATATGTAATGTGTAGTCATCTCACTTGTAAAAAAAAAAAAAATCACAAGCTTCTATGGTGGGCTTTGATTATTATGACTGTAAAAAAAATGAAAATATAAAAAAACTAATCATGTTATCTTTAATGGAAAAAAATAAATGGCTAGAAGAGTAAAAAGTCCTTTCCTTTTTTCATTCCCAGAGCATGACTTATTTTCCTACCTAGTAGGGCTAACAAATGTGAAAATTTCATTTTATAGTCAGCATTCAGAATTACGATTTAGATAAATACAAAACATCACCACCTACTGTGCAGAGGAAGCGAAAGCCTGATTGCATAGGACAAAGACTTTGGCCCTGATTTATTTATTGCAACTCTCCAGTCCTCTTGACCATTGAAGCAGAGTACTTTTGAGTGTTTCCCAGCCAGCAAACTCATAACTCAGCGCCTTCCAGCTAAATATGCGATATATTATTATTTTATCACTCATTTCCCCCCAAGCTATTCCCTTTTTATTTTATGTTTTCTTCTCCTGGTCTTAGGGATCTGCTTAGAGTGAGGTTGGATGAAGACATTAGCCTCTTGAGCTCCCTGCATTAGTGCTTCCTGGCTCACATTTTCTCTGATCTAATGACAGAAATGAAGCTCACATGGATTAAGAGGGGGGGGCAGGGCACATGCAAATCTCAAGACCACTCCTTGGCTTGTCAGAAGTAGAACTGCAGGACATGTAATGTAATGAATGAGTAGCTGTTAGGCTTTTGTGGAGCACCTCTGCTATAATAAAAATAAATAATTGTGTCCCATGGCAAAATGAGAGCATCCAAAAATAAGGTGGTAGTTTACTAGAGAGGCTGCCTGGGTATAGAAGTTTGAATTAGGAGAGAAGCCCACAACCTGACAAGGATTTGCAAGCTTCCAGGAGTGATTGAATGCTGATGGCAGATGAGGCTAATATAAGCCATAATGTTCTGTCTGAGGTCAGAAGCATCTAGGATTTAGAAAATAGTGATTTGACAATTAGCAGATACACATGGCTGTTTAAAGAAGAAAATATTGCAACTATAAAATAATTTGCAAGTGGAAGCGAAGGCACAGAAAAAACTCAACATGGAGGCCAAATGGCCGAAATATTGGGAAATTCTGGAACAAGATGGAGACAGATTAAAGCTGCAGAGCTTTGAAAAATTGAAAAACAGAGTGCGAGATTGGCTCCATTATTATCAAATAATGGAGGCATACAATCTGGACAAAAAAGTTGGTTTCCAGGTGGAAAAATCAAAATTGGAAACAGAATTGTTAGATCCAAAAATTAAGAATTTGTCAAGAATGTATAACTTGCTGTTGAAATGGAACACTCAGGATGAAATGGTGAAATCAGCTATGATTAAATGGGCACAAGATGTTGGACACAACATAATGATGACTGACTGGGAACAGTTATGGACCACAGGTATAAAATTCACTGCATGTAATGTCCTAAGAGAAAATTTAATGAAAATGATTTATAGGTGGTACATGACACCAGTCAAGCTTGCAAAAATTTATCATTTGCCCGACAATAAATGTTGGAAATGTAATGAGACTGAAGGTACATTCTTTCACCTTTGGTGGACATGCCCAAGGATTAAGACATTCTGGGAGATGATCTATAATGAAATGAAAAAGGTATTTAAATATACCTTTCTGAAGAAACCAGAGGCCTTTCTTCTGGGCATGGTTGGCCAATTGGTGTCAAAGAAGGATAGCGGCAGCTAAAAAAGCCAATGCAATTCTGGGCTGCATCAATAGGAGTATAGCATCTAGATCAAGGGAAGTAATAGTGCCACTGTATTCTGCTCTGGTCAGACCTCACCTGGAGTACTGTGTCCAGTTCTGGGCACCACAGTTCAAGAAGGACACTGACAAACTGGAACGTGTCCAGAGGAGGGCAACCAAAATGGTCAAAGGCCTGGAAACGATGCCTTATGAGGAACGGCTAAGGGAGCTGGGCATGTTTAGCCTGGAGAAGAGGAGGTTAAGGGGTGATATGATAGCCATGTTCAAATATAAAAAAGGATGTCACATAGAGGAGGGAGAAAGGTGGTTTTCTGCTGCTCCAGAGAAGCGGACACGGAGCAATGGATCCAAACTACAAGAAAGAAGATTCCACCTAAACATTAGGAAGAACTTCCTGACAGTAAGAGCTGTTCGACAGTGGAATTTGCTGCCAAGAAGTGTGGTGGAGTCTCCTTCTTTGGAGGTCTTTAAGCAGAGGCTTGACAACCATATGTCAGGAGTGCTCTGATGGTGTTTCCTGCTTGGCAGGGGGTTGGACTCGATGGCCCTTGTGGTCTCTTCCAACTCTATGATTCTATGATTCTAACTTTTTTTATGTATGCAAGAACAGCAGCAAGAATACTCATCGCGAAGTATTGGAAGACACAAGATTTACCCACTCGGGAAGAATGGCAGATGAAGTTGATGGACTATATGGAATTGGTGGAAATGACTGGCAGAATCCGAGACCAGGGAGAAGAGTCGGTGGAAGAAGACTGGAAAAGTTTAAAGACTATTTACAGAAATACTGTAAAATTAATGAATGTTAGAAAAATGTTGGAATGAAGTTATATGGCTTTAGTAGAAATGTTATAAGGAATTAAGTATAAATAGATTAATAGAGTATTAAAGGGAAAAATAAGGCTAGAATCTGTTAAGATAATTAAAGGATAGAAAGCAGAGGAAGATGGAAAGGAATTGCTGAAACAATTAACAGAAGTGGAATACAAAAAGGGAGGTGTGAGGAGGTCACTGAAATAAGTGAATGAAAGATAAGATATTGAAATTGTTTGATTTTTTTTAAACTGTTTTTGTTTTGTTTTGTTAGTTTAATGTGTTGTGTAGTGTTTTTGTTTTGTATTGTATTGTATTGTTCTTTTTTCTTTTTCTTTTTGTGTGTGTTCAAATTGTTGGAAAAGTAATAAATATTATTATTATATATATATATATATATATATATATATATATATATATATAAAATAACTTGCAAGGTCCCCAAACGGCAAGCTGTGTTTTACAGTGGTACCTCGGGTTACAGAAGCTTCAGGTTACAGACGCTTCACGTTACAGACTCCGCAAACCCAGAAATAGTACCTCGGGTTAAGAACTTTGCTTCAGGATGAGAACAGAAATCACATGGTGGCAGTGCAGCGGCAGCAGGAGGCCCCATTAGCTAAAGTGGTACCTCAGGTTAGGAACAGTTTCAGATTAAGAACGGACCTCCAGAACAAATTAAGTTCTTAACCCGAGGTGCCACTGTACTGAACGGACGGCCAAACAGGAAGTAGGAAGTGAAGCTGAAAAGTAGGTTTAAGAATTAAAGGAGCAGCAGTGCTATTTTTCTAGAAAAAGGTGCCAGAACTCACCATGAATGCCTCCTTCATTCCCTTAGAATAGCAATGGCGTCCACCTGAGAGGTGTCAGAACTGATTTCCAGAGAGTTCCGGCTGAAAAAAGGCCCTCGGGAGCAGTATAATTTCAGGCCTTACTGAGGACTTTCAAGCAGCCTTGGTTAGGAGTAGTTCCCTTGGAATAAGGTTTGTCACCTGAAGATGTTTGTTTATAATTACTTTCTCAGCATAGAAAATTGATTCCATAGCCAATCCGAACTGATCTTCCTTCCCCTTGTCCTGTTCTAGCCAAAGTATGTGTCACATGTCCTGTCCTCCTCACACAAGCTTAAGATGCCCCTTTTGCTTTGTTATGGGTAGTGGCATTGCCTATAGGCTTTAAAGTGTGTCATAGTGGAGTTGGCTTTTAAAATGAAGGAGCGTCTCCACCTCCATCGTTCAGCCCGAACACTGAGGTCCAGCGCCGAGGGCCTTCTGGCGGTTCCCTCACTGCAAGAAGCGAAGTTACAGGGAACCAGGCAGAGGGCATTCTTGGTAGTGGCGCCCGCCCTGTGGAACGCCCTCCCACCAGATGTCAAGGAAATAAACAACTATCTTACATTTAGAAGACATCTGAAGGCAGCCCTGTTTAGGGAAGTTTTTAATGTTTGATGTTTTACCGTGTTTTTAATATTCTGTTGGGAGCCGCCCAGAGTGGCTGGGGAAGCCCAGCCAGATGGGTGGGGTATAAATAATAAATTATTTATTATTAAAATGAGAAAAGGTAAGATGCATGAAGCATTTTAAGGAAAGATGGATGTTAACACACTGCAGGTGATCTCAGCCCTCTCTGTATCAACCAAATACTGTACAGTGGTACCTTGGGTTAAGTACTTAATTCGTTCCAGAGGTCCGTTCTTAACCTGAAACTGTTCTTAACCTGAAGCATCACTTTAGCTAATGGGGCCTCCTGCTGCTGCCGCACCGCTGGAACACGATTTCTCTTCTCATCCTGAAGCAAAGTTCTTAACTTGAGGTAATATTTCTGGGTTAGCAGAGTCTGTAACCTGAAGCGTATGTAACCTGAAGCATATGTAACCCAAGGTACCACTGTATACAGATTTTCTTGGATCAATAGTACACTGTGTGCATTCATTAGCCATGTGTAAACGTATGTGATTTGGAAGAGGTCATTGCCCATAACAGTACAGCTCTTGTGTCTCACTGCTAAGATTGCAAAACATTTGCCTTGTTCAATACGAGCATAGGAAGCTGCCTTATCAGAGTCCAACCATTGCTTTATCTAGCTGATTGGTCTTGCTGTCCACACTACCTGGCAGGTGCTCTCCAGGGTTTCAGAGAGGCCTCTCTCCCACCCTTACATGGAGAGGCCATGCATTGAAACTGGGAACTTCCACAGATACAGCCGTTAATGTCACAACTTGCCCATGAGCTGGTTCTCGTTTTATGAGGGGTCTTTTGTGGCACGTTTTCTTTCACCGGTCATTTTGAAGGCAACTTCAGGCAATCCCACCCCAAATCCACAGGTATGCTGGGCAGCTTCCAATTTTGTAAAGGTGGTAATATTATTGCTCTTTGTTAAGATTAGTTTATTCTGCTTTCACCCCTAACTTCCTGAAACTTTCACTTAGGTTTAGGTTAACACAGTGAAATAAACACAGCATGGAATCAGCCCCGGCGTGGACCTCTATGGAAGATATTGAGAGGTAGGCTGCTTTCAGCTTGCCAAACAATCACTCTGTATGCGTGACTTGGAATATTGGTCCTTGATCAAGAAAGCACAACTTTAGAGTTGCTCCTCTATCCCCACCTCTATAAAATAATATGGGGACACCATTCGTGTTTTGATGCATCCTGACTTTATTGGCAATCTATTGAACACTTTTTATGGCTAATTCATCTAACACACGGAAAACTGTGAGGGAGAAATATATGCCTTTAAGCAAATGTAAGCATGAAACCATTTCTTATAAAGTGCTGAAACCTTATACACAACTTCATCTAAACCAATCTGCACTTAAGGCCAAAGCCCCTTAAAATCTAGGACAAGCATCTTACCCTAATCTGTTTATCTGTTGTGATAAGGTATGAGCCAAGTGCCTCCACTTAATTCATGACCTGCATGAATTGCTATCCTAACATTACACACTTCCACAATATCCCATAGGAGTGCATTCATATGTAATCATTCATACCTGGATAGTTGTTTCCAGAGGGTGATGCTTAGGGAGTGCTCTTTGGCCCCATGGAGCCTTCAACGTGGGGTTCCTCAGGGTTTGGTTTTATCCCCTATGCTGTTTAACATCTACATGAAACTGCTGAGTGTGGTTATCTGGAGTTTGGGAGTATGTTGTCAGTAATATGCTGATGACACACAGCTCTCTACTCCTTTACATCTGCAGGTGAGGCAGTGGATGTGCTGGACTGCTGTCTTGCCTCAGTAATGGACTGGATGAGAGCCAAAAACTGAAGCAAATTATACGCAGGGGTGCCTCTGAAGAGAGTTCAGAAACTTCAGCTGGTGCAGAATTCAGTGGCCAGGTTGTTCACTGGAGCTAGACGGTTTGAGAATATTACACCAATCCTGGCCCAACTGCACTGGCTACCAATTAGTTTCCAGGCCCAATTCAAAGTGCTGGTTTTGACCTATAAAGCACCTTCATTATATATCTTTCAGTACTGGGTGTTCAGCTGATTAACAGTCTATGGATTTTTAATTGTGTTTGTGTGAAGGGGAGTTATTGGTTATGTATTTTGTATTCTCATTTTGTAATTTTATGTTGTGAACCGCCATGGGATCTTGGGAGGAGGGGTGGTTAAATAAATAAATAATCCAATCAATCAATCAATCAATCAATCCATCTCCCCACCCACTTTGCATGCCCTTTCTCCATCGGCATGCATCTTCATGTTGTCTTCGAAGCCATACTTGTTCTCCTCCTCTGAACCTGACTGCTTTTTCTATTTTTGCCACTTAATAGTGTCTATTGAGTGTTTGTTAGAGAAACTGGCATTATGGCAGAGATGAACATTCCAAGATTCAGTAGCACCTTCAGAAAAATGGTGCAGTGTGGCATGCTCCTGTTCAGGATTCCAGCCAACCAGACGCTGTGCCCTTTTCTAGGATAGTTTGTTCCATTACTCGCTCCCCTCCAGATTTATGCACAACCCATCAGTCAGCATTCCATGTTGACTGAACATGCTCAGTTTTTACGGAGGTATTTTTAAGGTCTCCTCAGCACCACCTACATTTTTTCTATAGCTGCTTTGTACTTCCCTGAACCTGGTACCTCTCTCTCTTGTGTAGGGATGGTGCTGTTTTGGCAATGTGAGGATCCATGCTCAAAGAATGAGTTTGCTTAGTAGCACACAGCAGCTTGATACCACCCAGCTGTTTTAGACTACAACTCCCAACATCCCTGACTTTTGGCCATCAGATTAGGGAATGCCGATATACAGGAGTATGCTCATTAATTACTCGCCACTGAAAATGAGAATGACCAACTAAACTCTTTATTAAACCTATTTAACTATTTTACAATACATAGTCCGGTAGACGTTGCTTGGTGGAAAGTTTCTGAGCAAGGCAGATATTTATTCCATCTGAAATGATGAATAAATTAGCCAAGGATGTTATCAGTACCAGTCTTCTTGGAAGTATACTCTGCCTGCCTTCCCAAAGCTTGGATAAATCCATATGAACGAAGGGATTTTGAGTGTAAAATGTCTTTTTGCAAAGTAAGTAATAACCGATCATTATTTTCTAAACAATCCCTGTACGGTTGAGGAAGCCGAGTCTGCCTCATGTGTACATCCATTGTAGTTGCATACGCAGCCACCAAATAGGATGATTTCTGTAACAAGTGGCATATGTGGGTTCTCTGGGTCTGGACAAGGCATCGTCAGCTCCTTCTTGTAGAGTGTGAGTGGCATGCAGCACCCACACTCTGTGTGTACCATCATCTTGGCAACATTTAGCCTGTAAAAGAGAGGAATAATAATAATAATAATAATAATAATAATACCCTGCCCATCTGGCTGGATGGCCTCCAGCAAAATATAAAAACATAATAAAACATCTAAAAATGTGCAATTGGCTCATATGACACCCCGATAAACCTGCAAGAACTGCCAACTGTTTTTAATGTTTGATGTTTTATTATGTGAGGGGGTTGCACAAGTTAGCCTCGCTCCCTGCCATTCTCAGGAGTAGCCAATGAGGAGGGGGGAACGCCATGTTCCTCACCTCCCAACAGCAGCAGCATTTCCACTTGCCAGGTGGGTGAGGGGCAGGGCAGTGGAGCGGTTGGGGATAAAAATACCCTTCATCTGGGAGAAGGTCCTAGGCGTGTGTATGTATGGATTTCTGTGTTTGTGTGTGTGGCTTTGAAGCTGCCCATTTTGGGCCTTGGCCCCACCTATCATCCACATGTGGCTCCCCAGAAGTTCACCCATGAGGGTATGTCACCCCACCCCTGTTCAGCAGCAAAACCCTGAAGATACAAAGCTATAGATCTGGAGTATCTCAGAAATTACCAAGAGCAAGAGATGTTGAACAGAATACTATTGCCCTCCATCCTGCTATTGCAAGCACCATTGTACTGCTTTGTGGTTTTTATAATACTTATTGATACCAGATTGTTTTAACAAGTTGTAAATTATGCTGGGATTTGTTGATGAAAGGTGGTACAGTGGTACCTTGGTTTACGAACTGTTCCGGAAGTCCATGTTTAAACCGAAACCATTCTTAAACTGAGGCGCGCTTTCCCTAATGAGGCCTCCTGCCACCAGTGCCCTTCTACCATTCAGCTTCCGTTCACAGACTAAGGTAAAGTTCGCAAACTGGAACATTACTTCCGGTTTTGTGGAGTTCATAAACCGAATCGTTCACAAACAGGACTTCTTAAATGGAGGTCCCACATCTTTTAAATCAATAAACAATAATGTGAACTGTACCTCTGTAGGATTTGATTTTGGGACAGGAATGGCAGAACCATAACTGGGAATATTAGTACCAGAACCGATCATTCACTAGGTTAAAGCAAGTTATATACTATATCTTAAAAAAGAAATGCAATATAGGATAATGAAATGCAATGTACTATATAATATCTAGCTGCTGTACAGCAATGGAAATAATTGACTTTGGTAATATTTACAGATTATTACTTTTGATTATGTAATAAGACAAAAGTCATAGTGGCTGGCCAAATTGACACCGATTCATACTCACCTTGATGATGTTGGACACATTCCTTCGCAGCGAGTCAAAGTGACATTTGCAACACAACCCTTGTAAACCACTTGATCTTCATATTCAACAGATTCACACTTCCCTGAAAGACATGAAATAAAACAGTTAATATACAAGCAGCACTGTAAATGTGGTGAATCATCTTATGGCAATATAGATGATTGGTATTTTTTGTCATCTGGAAACTGCTGATATTGAATCCAGTGAAAAGGGATAATACATTTCTTTATCAGTTGTATCCCCTGTTCAGTCTCAGCTGAGTGCTATGGTTCTTTTAGAGTCTGTACTACTTTAGGTTTTCATGCTTATGGGAGCAGGTATATGGCCTTCCTTAATGCTGTTTGTAAATCCATGTATGGTGACAATTTTGTGAAATCAGTTATTTTAACCATTATAAATGAATTAATTTGATTTTTATTGTTAAAGAACATTTAAAACATTTTGACATATGTGAAAGGGTAGCTCGCAAGTCGAAGAACTTATCTGTACTTCAACCCATGTCTAAGCATACTTTTCTTGGAACAAGGTGCCAATGGTTTCAATGGGCTTATTCCCATTGAAACGTATGCAGGTGACTATAGCCTTAGGAAGGCAACCACTTTCACTTAGACCATTTATTTAGGTAGGTAGCTGTGTTGGTCTGACGCAGTCGAAATGTATTAAAAATTTTAAAAATTCTCCAGTAGCACCTTAGAGACCAACTAAGTTTGTTCTTGGTATAAGCTTTTGTGTGCATGCACGAAATCTGAAGAAGTGTGCATGCACACGAAAGCTTATAGCAAGAACAAACTTAGTTGGTCTCTAAGGTGCTACTGGAGATTTTTTTTTATACATTTTGACCATTTATTTAGTTTAAGTAACCTATGATTTGAAGTTGTGGTGGTAGTTGTTATTTTAGGGGTGCTGCCTGTAACTGAAAAAATAAAAGCAAAATATCTGAACACAAACACATGCATAAACAAAATAATATGGGTAAAATCCTGAGTCCATTTAAAGAAAATAAGTTGTTCATTCTGCGAATTCAGGATTGCATCCAAAGTCACCAACCATCAAATATCTTGAGACCAAAGTTTTCCTTCTTTTAATATATGAGTTTGAAAATCAAGTGATCTGGCTGTTGGATGGGGACAGAGCCGTTCAAATGCTTTCCCCCACAAGGATCTTTAGGCTGCAGTTCTACACAGATACAGGGGAATAAGGCCCATTTAATTTATATCTCTGTGTTGATTCATATAAGATGACAGTTCTAGTGTACATAATGGAGAACAAATATTGCTTTGCACTTTCCTGTTCCAGGAACATATTGTGTTAGATTGTGCCCTCTAAAAAGATGTAGAACTAAACAGGCAGCTACCTAGGTATTTGTAAAAATTAACAAAAAAGGGAACAAACTGGATCAAAAGGAAAAATAAAATAGAAATGAACTAAAAAGAAAGGATAGCATTAATCCTAAAAGAAGAAACTATAAACATTGTTGAATGAAGAGTACCACAGAATACTGTGAAAAGTGTGACCTGTGAAAAGATATTTATCCTGTATGATACTAAAAGTTTAAAAAATGGGGTGGATCTGCACAGATGGTAAAGAAGCGGAGGGAATCTAGAACAAAATTCCAAAATGATGATGCAGTGACTAAAGTCAACGTAAATGTTCGAGAAATACAAAAACCACAATTCAACCAAAAAACATTTCCTCGAAATAGAAGCTCACCAGGAGATACAGTTGAGGTATATGATGTGGAGGTTGTCTTCAAAGACTGAGTACTACTACTCAAAGTACTAGTTCGGGTAGTTACTGGAATGCTAATGATATTAGTACTGGATGACAATGGAGTACTGCTTGTGACCGGAATAATGGGAGTAGTAGAAATAGTAGATGTAAATGGAATTGAAGTAGAGGATGTTTGTATGGGAGAATGTGTTGTCATGCTTGAGGCCGTAGAAATCAAACTAGTTGGAGAGGTTTTTGGTGTGTTAGTTGTGGAGGTTTGTGTTGATACAGTGGTTCTGGATGTGGTGGAAGGAGACGTGGTTGGCGTGGTTTTCGGCATGCTGCTTGGCGGTCTGGTTGTCGAAGGTGTGGTGACTGCAAAGAAGAAAGAAAGCAAGTGAAAGGGGGGCGACCACACGTGGGAACGGGGGAAGGAGATGACTGAGCCAGACGAGTCTCGCCCTTTTTGGAGGGCAGGCTTACGTGGGACCTGGAGGTGGCAATCCCTCTGCCCCTTTGGCAAGAGAGGGCTCCTGAAAGACTTGTAAGCTGCTGCTGCTGCTGCAGAGCGACCAAGGAGACTTACCCGTGGTAACTGGGACGGTGGTGGTTGCAGGAGTTGTGGTGGCCGGAGTGCTGGGCGTTTCTGTGCTGGTAGGGGAGCAGTCGTGAGAGTTGTGGCAGTGGGTACTGGAGTGCTGGTGGAAGTGGAGGTAACGGTTGTGGGCGAGGTGGTGGTGGGGGGGCACGGGTGCTGTTGTGGTTGTCGGGGTTGGTGTGCTAGTCGCAGTGGATTCTGTGGTGGTGGAGGGGTTGTGGTGGTTAGGATTTTGGGGTGATGCGTAGAGGTGGATGGTGTGGAGGCTGTTGCAGTGGTCTTTGGCGTGTTGGTGGGTGCCGTCTGAGTTGATGCAGTGGTTCTGGATGTGGTGGAGGGAGAGGTGGTTGGCGTGGTTTTCGGCGTGCTGCTTGGCGGTCTGGTTGTCGAAGGTGTGGTGACTGCAAAGGAGAAAGAAAGCAAGTGAAAGGGGGGCGACCACACGTGGGAACGGGGGAAGGAGAGAAGGAGAGAAGCAGAGCTCCTTCGGCAGGCTCAGCGCCCTTACCTGTAGGCACCGGTGGTGGAACAGAAGTGGTGGTTTTTGGTGTTTCTGGAACACAAAAGAGCAAAGTCACATAGGTGGCGGTGGGAGAGGGAAAAGGCGGGCTCCCGTCACGGCTGGGATTTTGGGTTGCCCAGGGCGCCACACGAGGACATGAGGAACAGGTTCCCGGATGACTGAGCCAGACGAGTCGCGCCCTTTTTGGAGGGCAGGCTTACGTGGGACCTGGAGGTGGCAATCCCTCTGCCCCTTTGGCAAGAGAGGGCTCCTGAAAGACTTGTAAGCTGCTGCTGCTGCAGAGCGACCAAGGAGACTTACCCGTGGTAACTGGGACGGTGGTGGTTGCAGGAGTTGTGGTGGCCGGAGTGCTGGGCGTTTCTGTGCTGGTAGGGGAGCAGTCGTGAGAGTTGTGGCAGTGGGTACTGGAGTGCTGGTGGAAGTGGAGGTAACGGTTGTGGGCGAGGTGGTGGTGGTTGTGGTGGACGGCGCCGGAGGAGACGGTGTGGAGGGGGGCACGGGTGCTGTTGTGGTTGTCGGGGTTGGTGTGCTAGTCGCAGTGGATTCTGTGGTGGTGGAGGGGGTTGTGGTGGTTAGGATTTTGGGGTGATGCGTAGAGGTGGATGGTGTGGAGGCTGTTGCAGTGGTCTTTGGCGTGTTGGTGGTTGCCGTCTGAGTTGATGCAGTGGTTCTGGATGTGGTGGAGGGAGAGGTGGTTGGCGTGGTTTTCGGCGTGCTGCTTGGCGGTCTGGTTGTCGAAGGTGTGGTGACTGCAAAGGAGAAAGAAAGCAAGTGAAAGGGGGGCGACCACACGTGGGAACGGGGGAAGGAGAGAAGGAGAGAAGCAGAGCTCCTTCGGCAGGCTCAGCGCCCTTACCTGTAGGCACCGGTGGTGGAACAGAAGTGGTGGTTTTTGGTGTTTCTGGAACACAAAAGAGCAAAGTCACATAGGTGGCGGTGGGAGAGGGAAAAGGCGGGCTCCCGTCACGGCTGGGATTTTGGGTTGCCCAGGGCGCCACACGAGGACATGAGGAACAGGTTCCCGGATGACTGAGCCAGACGAGTCTCGCCCTTTTTGGAGGGCAGGCTTACGTGGGACCTGGAGGTGGCAATCCCTCTGCCCCTTTGGCAAGAGAGGGCTCCTGAAAGACTTGTAAGCTGCTGCTGCTGCTGCAGAGCGACCAAGGAGACTTACCCGTGGTAACTGGGACGGTGGTGGTTGCAGGAGTTGTGGTGGCCGGAGTGCTGGGGTGGAAGTGGAGGTAACGGTTGTGGGCGAGGTGGTGGTGGTTGTGGTGGACGGCTACAGAGGAGACGGTGAGGAGGGGGGCACGGGTGCTGTTGTGGTTGTCGGGGTTGGTGTGCTAGTCGCAGTGGATTCTGTGGTGGGGGAGGGGTTGTGGTGGTTAGGATTTTGGGGTGATGCGTAGAGGTGGATGGTGTGGAGGCTGTTGCAGTGGTCTTTGGCGTGTTGGTGGTTGCCGTCTGAGTTGATGCAGTGGTTCTGGATGTGGTGGAGGGAGAGGTGGTTGGCGTGGTTTTCGGCGTGCTGCTTGGCGGTCTGGTTGTCGAAGGTGTGGTGACTGCAAAGGAGAAAGAAAGCAAGTGAAAGGGGGGCGACCACACGTGGGAACGGGGGAAGGAGAGAAGGAGAGAAGCAGAGCTCCTTCGGCAGGCTCAGCGCCCTTACCTGTAGGCACCGGTGGTGGAACAGAAGTGGTGGTTTTTGGTGTTTCTGGAACACAAAAGAGCAAAGTCACATAGGTGGCGGTGGGAGAGGGAAAAGGCGGGCTCCCGTCACGGCTGGGATTTTGGGTTGCCCAGGGCGCCACACGAGGACATGAGGAACAGGTTCCCGGATGACTGAGCCAGACGAGTCGCGCCCTTTTTGGAGGGCAGGCTTACGTGGGACCTGGAGGTGGCAATCCCTCTGCCCCTTTGGCAAGAGAGGGCTCCTGAAAGACTTGTAAGCTGCTGCTGCTGCAGAGCGACCAAGGAGACTTACCCGTGGTAACTGGGACGGTGGTGGTTGCAGGAGTTGTGGTGGCCGGAGTGCTGGGCGTTTCTGTGCTGGTAGGGGAGCAGTCGTGAGAGTTGTGGCAGTGGGTACTGGAGTGCTGGTGGAAGTGGAGGTAACGGTTGTGGGCGAGGTGGTGGTGGTTGTGGTGGACGGCCTCGGAGGAGACGGAGTTGAGGGGGGCACGGGTGCTGTTGTGGTTGTCAGGGTTGGTGTGCTAGTCGCAGTGGATTCTGTGGTGGTGGAGGGGGTTGTGGTGGTTAGGATTTTGGGGTGATGCGTAGAGGTGGATGGTGTGGAGGCTGTTGCAGTGGTCTTTGGCGTGTTGGTGGTTGCCGTCTGAGTTGATGCAGTGGTTCTGGATGTGGTGGAGGGAGAGGTGGTTGGCGTGGTTTTCGGCGTGCTGCTTGGCGGTCTGGTTGTCGAAGGTGTGGTGACTGCAAAGGAGAAAGAAAGCAAGTGAAAGGGGGGCGACCACACGTGGGAACGGGGGAAGGAGAGAAGGAGAGAAGCAGAGCTCCTTCGGCAGGCTCAGCGCCCTTACCTGTAGGCACCGGTGGTGGAACAGAAGTGGTGGTTTTTGGTGTTTCTGGAACACAAAAGAGCAAAGTCACATAGGTGGCGGTGGGAGAGGGAAAAGGCGGGCTCCCGTCACGGCTGGGATTTTGGGTTGCCCAGGGCGCCACACGAGGACATGAGGAACAGGTTCCCGGATGACTGAGCCAGACGAGTCGCGCCCTTTTTGGAGGGCAGGCTTACGTGGGACCTGGAGGTGGCAATCCCTCTGCCCCTTTGGCAAGAGAGGGCTCCTGAAAGACTTGTAAGCTGCTGCTGCTGCTGCAGAGCGACCAAGGAGACTTACCCGTGGTAACTGGGACGGTGGTGGTTGCAGGAGTTGTGGTGGCCGGAGTGCTGGGCGTTTCTGTGCTGGTAGGGGGAGCAGTCGTGAGAGTTGTGGCAGTGGGTACTGGAGTGCTGGTGGAAGTGGAGGTAACGGTTGTGGGCGAGGTGGTGGTGGTTGTGGTGGACGGCGGCGGAGGAGACGGTGTGGAGGGGGGCACGGGTGCTGTTGTGGTTGTCGGGGTTGGTGTGCTAGTCGCAGTGGATTCTGTGGTGGTGGAGGGGGTTGTGGTGGTTAGGATTTTGGGGTGATGCGTAGAGGTGGATGGTGTGGAGGCTGTTGCAGTGGTCTTTGGCGTGTTGGTGGTTGCCGTCTGAGTTGATGCAGTGGTTCTGGATGTGGTGGAGGGAGAGGTGGTTGGCGTGGTTTTCGGCGTGCTGCTTGGCGGTCTGGTTGTCGAAGGTGTGGTGACTGCAAAGGAGAAAGAAAGCAAGTGAAAGGGGGGCGACCACACGTGGGAACGGGGGAAGGAGAGAAGCAGAGAAGCAGAGCTCCGTCGGCTGGCGCAGCGCCCGTACCTGTAGGCCCCGGTGGTGGACCAGTTGTGGGGGATTGTGGTGTTTCTGGAACACAAAAGAGCAAAGTCACATAGGTGGCGGTGGGAGAGGGAAAAGGCGGGCTCCCGTCACGGCTGGGATTTTGGGTTGCCCAGGGCGCCACACGAGGACATGAGGAACAGGTTCCCGGATGACTGAGCCAGACGAGTCGCGCCCTTTTTGGAGGGCTGGCTTACGTGGGACCTGGAGGTGGCAATCCCTCTGCCCCTTTGGCAAGAGAGGGCTCCTGAAAGACTTGTAAGCTGCTGCTGCTGCAGAGCGACCAAGGAGACTTACCCGTGGTAACTGGGACGGTGGTGGTTGCAGGAGTTGTGGTGGCCGGAGTGCTGGGCGTTTCTGTGCTGGTAGGGGAGCAGTCGTGAGAGTTGTGGCAGTGGGTACTGGAGTGCTGGTGGAAGTGGAGGTAACGGTTGTGGGCGAGGTGGTGGTGGTTGTGGTGGACGGCGACGGAGGAGACGGTGTGGAGGGGGGCACGGGTGCTGTTGTGGTTGTCGGGGTTGGTGTGCTAGTCGCAGTGGATTCTGTGGTGGTGGAGGGGGTTGTGGTGGTTAGGATTTTGGGGTGATGCGTAGAGGTGGATGGTGTGGAGGCTGTTGCAGTGGTCTTTGGCGTGTTGGTGGTTGCCGTCTGAGTTGATGCAGTGGTTCTGGATGTGGTGGAGGGAGAGGTGGTTGGCGTGGTTTTCGGCGTGCTGCTTGGCGGTCTGGTTGTCGAAGGTGTGGTGACTGCAAAGGAGAAAGAAAGCAAGTGAAAGGGGGGCGACCACACGTGGGAACGGGGGAAGGAGAGAAGGAGAGAAGCAGAGCTCCTTCCGGCAGGCTCAGCGCCCTTACCTGTAGGCACCGGTGGTGGAACAGAAGTGGTGGTTTTTGGTGTTTCTGGAACACAAAAGAGCAAAGTCACATAGGTGGCGGTGGGAGAGGGAAAAGGCGGGCTCCCGTCACGGCTGGGATTTTGGGTTGCCCAGGGCGCCACACGAGGACATGAGGAACAGGTTCCCGGATGACTGAGCCAGACGAGTCGCGCCCTTTTTGGAGGGCAGGCTTACGTGGGACCTGGAGGTGGCAATCCCTCTGCCCCTTTGGCAAGAGAGGGCTCCTGAAAGACTTGTAAGCTGCTGCTGCTGCAGAGCGACCAAGGAGACTTACCCGTGGTAACTGGGACGGTGGTGGTTGCAGGAGTTGTGGTGGCCGGAGTGCTGGGCGTTTCTGTGCTGGTAGGGGAGCAGTCGTGAGAGTTGTGGCAGTGGGTACTGGAGTGCTGGTGGAAGTGGAGGTAACGGTTGTGGGCGTGGTGGTGGTGGTTGTGGTGGACGGCGCCGGAGGAGACGGTGTGGAGGGGGGCACGGGTGCTGTTGTGGTTGTCGGGGTTGGTGTGCTAGTCGCAGTGGATTCTGTGGTGGTGGAGGGGGTTGTGGTGGTTAGGATTTTGGGGTGATGCGTAGAGGTGGATGGTGTGGAGGCTGTTGCAGTGGTCTTTGGCGTGTTGGTGGTTGCCGTCTGAGTTGATGCAGTGGTTCTGGATGTGGTGGAGGGAGAGGTGGTTGGCGTGGTTTTCGGCGTGCTGCTTGGCGGTCTGGTTGTCGAAGGTGTGGTGACTGCAAAGGAGAAAGAAAGCAAGTGAAAGGGGGGCGACCACACGTGGGAACGGGGGAAGGAGAGAAGGAGAGAAGCAGAGCTCCTTCGGCAGGCTCAGCGCCCTTACCTGTAGGCACCGGTGGTGGAACAGAAGTGGTGGTTTTTGGTGTTTCTGGAACACAAAAGAGCAAAGTCACATAGGTGGCGGTGGGAGAGGGAAAAGGCGGGCTCCCGTCACGGCTGGGATTTTGGGTTGCCCAGGGCGCCACACGAGGACATGAGGAACAGGTTCCCGGATGACTGAGCCAGACGAGTCGCGCCCTTTTTGGAGGGCTGGCTTACGTGGGACCTGGAGGTGGCAATCCCTCTGCCCCTTTGGCAAGAGAGGGCTCCTGAAAGACTTGTAAGCTGCTGCTGCTGCTGCAGAGCGACCAAGGAGACTTACCCGTGGTAACTGGGACGGTGGTGGTTGCAGGAGTTGTGGTGGCCGGAGTGCTGGGCGTTTCTGTGCTGGTAGGGGAGCAGTCGTGAGAGTTGTGGCAGTGGGTACTGGAGTGCTGGTGGAAGTGGAGGTAACGGTTGTGGGCGAGGTGGTGGTGGTTGTGGTGGACGGCGCCGGAGGAGACGGTGTGGAGGGGGCACGGGTGCTGTTGTGGTTGTCGGGGTTGGTGTGCTAGTCGCAGTGGATTCTGTGGTGGTGGAGGGGGTTGTGGTGGTTAGGATTTTGGGGTGATGCGTAGAGGTGGATGGTGTGGAGGCTGTTGCAGTGGTCTTTGGCGTGTTGGTGGTTGCCGTCTGAGTTGATGCAGTGGTTCTGGATGTGGTGGAGGGAGAGGTGGTTGGCGTGGTTTTCGGCGTGCTGCTTGGCGGTCTGGTTGTCGAAGGTGTGGTGACTGCAAAGGAGAAAGAAAGCAAGTGAAAGGGGGGCGACCACACGTGGGAACGGGGGAAGGAGAGAAGGAGAGAAGCAGAGCTCCTTCCGGCAGGCTCAGCGCCCTTACCTGTAGGCACCGGTGGTGGAACAGAAGTGGTGGTTTTTGGTGTTTCTGGAACACAAAAGAGCAAAGTCACATAGGTGGCGGTGGGAGAGGGAAAAGGCGGGCTCCCGTCACGGCTGGGATTTTGGGTTGCCCAGGGCGCCACACGAGGACATGAGGAACAGGTTCCCGGATGACTGAGCCAGACGAGTCGCGCCCTTTTTGGAGGGCTGGCTTACGTGGGACCTGGAGGTGGCAATCCCTCTGCCCCTTTGGCAAGAGAGGGCTCCTGAAAGACTTGTAAGCTGCTGCTGCTGCAGAGCGACCAAGGAGACTTACCCGTGGTAACTGGGACGGTGGTGGTTGCAGGAGTTGTGGTGGCCGGAGTGCTGGGCGTTTCTGTGCTGGTAGGGGAGCAGTCGTGAGAGTTGTGGCAGTGGGTACTGGAGTGCTGGTGGAAGTGGAGGTAACGGTTGTGGGCGAGGTGGTGGTGGTTGTGGTGGACTGCGTCGGAGGAGACGGTGTGGAGGGGGGCACGGGTGCTGTTGTGGTTGTCGGGGTTGGTGTGCTAGTCGCAGTGGATTCTGTGGTGGTGGAGGGGGTTGTGGTGGTTAGGATTTTGGGGTGATGCGTAGAGGTGGATGGTGTGGAGGCTGTTGCAGTGGTCTTTGGCGTGTTGGTGGTTGCCGTCTGAGTTGATGCAGTGGTTCTGGATGTGGTGGAGGGAGAGGTGGTTGGCGTGGTTTTCGGCGTGCTGCTTGGCGGTCTGGTTGTCGAAGGTGTGGTGACTGCAAAGGAGAAAGAAAGCAAGTGAAAGGGGGGCGACCACACGTGGGAACGGGGGAAGGAGAGAAGGAGAGAAGCAGAGCTCCTTCCGGCAGGCTCAGCGCCCTTACCTGTAGGCACCGGTGGTGGAACAGAAGTGGTGGTTTTGGTGTTTCTGGAACACAAAAGAGCAAAGTCACATAGGTGGCGGTGGGAGAGGGAAAAGGCGGGCTCCCGTCACGGCTGGGATTTTGGGTTGCCCAGGGCGCCACACGAGGACATGAGGAACAGGTTCCCGGATGACTGAGCCAGACGAGTCGCGCCCTTTTTGGAGGGCAGGCTTACGTGGGACCTGGAGGTGGCAATCCCTCTGCCCCTTTGGCAAGAGAGGGCTCCTGAAAGACTTGTAAGCTGCTGCTGCTGCAGAGCGACCAAGGAGACTTACCCGTGGTAACTGGGACGGTGGTGGTTGCAGGAGTTGTGGTGGCCGGAGTGCTGGGCGTTTCTGTGCTGGTAGGGGAGCAGTCGTGAGAGTTGTGGCAGTGGGTACTGCAGTGCTGGTGGAAGTGGAGGTAACGGTTGTGGGCGAGGTGGTGGTGGTTGTGGTGGACGGCGACGGAGGAGACGGTGTGGAGGGGGGCACGGGTGCTGTTGTGGTTGTCGGGGTTGGTGTGCTAGTCGCAGTGGATTCTGTGGTGGTGGAGGGGGTTGTGGTGGTTAGGATTTTGGGGTGATGCGTAGAGGTGGATGGTGTGGAGGCTGTTGCAGTGGTCTTTGGCGTGTTGGTGGTTGCCGTCTGAGTTGATGCAGTGGTTCTGGATGTGGTGGAGGGAGAGGTGGTTGGCGTGGTTTTCGGCGTGCTGCTTGGCGGTCTGGTTGTCGAAGGTGTGGTGACTGCAAAGGAGAAAGAAAGCAAGTGAAAGGGGGGCGACCACACGTGGGAACGGGGGAAGGAGAGAAGGAGAGAAGCAGAGCTCCTTCCGGCAGGCTCAGCGCCCTTACCTGTAGGCACCGGTGGTGGAACAGAAGTGGTGGTTTTTGGTGTTTCTGGAACACAAAAGAGCAAAGTCACATAGGTGGCGGTGGGAGAGGGAAAAGGCGGGCTCCCGTCACGGCTGGGATTTTGGGTTGCCCAGGGCGCCACACGAGGACATGAGGAACAGGTTCCCGGATGACTGAGCCAGACGAGTCGCGCCCTTTTTGGAGGGCTGGCTTACGTGGGACCTGGAGGTGGCAATCCCTCTGCCCCTTTGGCAAGAGAGGGCTCCTGAAAGACTTGTAAGCTGCTGCTGCTGCAGAGCGACCAAGGAGACTTACCCGTGGTAACTGGGACGGTGGTGGTTGCAGGAGTTGTGGTGGCCGGAGTGCTGGGCGTTTCTGTGCTGGTAGGGGGAGCAGTCGTGAGAGTTGTGGCAGTGGGTACTGGAGTGCTGGTGGAAGTGGAGGTAACGGTTGTGGGCGAGGTGGTGGTGGTTGTGGTGGACGGCGTCGGAGGAGACGGTGTGGAGGGGGCACGGGTGCTGTTGTGGTTGTCGGGGTTGGTGTGCTAGTCGCAGTGGATTCTGTGGTGGTGGAGGGGTTGTGGTGGTTAGGATTTTGGGGTGATGCGTAGAGGTGGATGGTGTGGAGGCTGTTGCAGTGGTCTTTGGCGTGTTGGTGGTTGCCGTCTGAGTTGATGCAGTGGTTCTGGATGTGGTGGAGGGAGAGGTGGTTGGCGTGGTTTTCGGCGTGCTGCTTGGCGGTCTGGTTGTCGAAGGTGTGGTGACTGCAAAGGAGAAAGAAAGCAAGTGAAAGGGGGGCGACCACACGTGGGAACGGGGGAAGGAGAGAAGGAGAGAAGCAGAGCTCCTTCGGCAGGCTCAGCGCCCTTACCTGTAGGCACCGGTGGTGGAACAGAAGTGGTGGTTTTGGTGTTTCTGGAACACAAAAGAGCAAAGTCACATAGGTGGCGGTGGGAGAGGGAAAAGGCGGGCTCCCGTCACGGCTGGGATTTTGGGTTGCCCAGGGCGCCACACGAGGACATGAGGAACAGGTTCCCGGATGACTGAGCCAGACGAGTCGCGCCCTTTTTGGAGGGCTGGCTTACGTGGGACCTGGAGGTGGCAATCCCTCTGCCCCTTTGGCAAGAGAGGGCTCCTGAAAGACTTGTAAGCTGCTGCTGCTGCAGAGCGACCAAGGAGACTTACCCGTGGTAACTGGGACGGTGGTGGTTGCAGGAGTTGTGGTGGCCGGAGTGCTGGGCGTTTCTGTGCTGGTAGGGGGAGCAGTCGTGAGAGTTGTGGCAGTGGGTACTGGAGTGCTGGTGGAAGTGGAGGTAACGGTTGTGGGCGAGGTGGTGGTGGTTGTGGTGGACGGCGGCGGTGGAGACGGTGTGGGAGGGGGCACGGGTGCTGTTGTGGTTGTCGGGGTTGGTGTGCTAGTCGCAGTGGATTCTGTGGTGGTGGAGGGGGTTGTGGTGGTTAGGATTTTGGGGTGATGCGTAGAGGTGGATGGTGTGGAGGCTGTTGCAGTGGTCTTTGGCGTGTTGGTGGTTGCCGTCTGAGTTGATGCAGTGGTTCTGGATGTGGTGGAGGGAGAGGTGGTTGGCGTGGTTTTCGGCGTGCTGCTTGGCGGTCTGGTTGTCGAAGGTGTGGTGACTGCAAAGGAGAAAGAAAGCAAGTGAAAGGGGGGCGACCACACGTGGGAACGGGGGAAGGAGAGAAGGAGAGAAGCAGAGCTCCTTCGGCAGGCTCAGCGCCCTTACCTGTAGGCACCGGTGGTGGAACAGAAGTGGTGGTTTTTGGTGTTTCTGGAACACAAAAGAGCAAAGTCACATAGGTGGCGGTGGGAGAGGGAAAAGGCGGGCTCCCGTCACGGCTGGGATTTTGGGTTGCCCAGGGCGCCACACGAGGACATGAGGAACAGGTTCCCGGATGACTGAGCCAGACGAGTCGCGCCCTTTTTGGAGGGCTGGCTTACGTGGGACCTGGAGGTGGCAATCCCTCTGCCCCTTTGGCAAGAGAGGGCTCCTGAAAGACTTGTAAGCTGCTGCTGCTGCAGAGCGACCAAGGAGACTTACCCGTGGTAACTGGGACGGTGGTGGTTGCAGGAGTTGTGGTGGCCGGAGTGCTGGGCGTTTCTGTGCTGGTAGGGGGAGCAGTCGTGAGAGTTGTGGCAGTGGGTACTGGAGTGCTGGTGGAAGTGGAGGTAACGGTTGTGGGCGAGGTGGTGGTGGTTGTGGTGGACGGCGTCGGAGGAGACGGTGTGGAGGGGGCACGGGTGCTGTTGTGGTTGTCGGGGTTGGTGTGCTAGTCGCAGTGGATTCTGTGGTGGTGGAGGGGGTTGTGGTGGTTAGGATTTTGGGGTGATGCGTAGAGGTGGATGGTGTGGAGGCTGTTGCAGTGGTCTTTGGCGTGTTGGTGGTTGCCGTCTGAGTTGATGCAGTGGTTCTGGATGTGGTGGAGGGAGAGGTGGTTGGCGTGGTTTTCGGCGTGCTGCTTGGCGGTCTGGTTGTCGAAGGTGTGGTGACTGCAAAGGAGAAAGAAAGCAAGTGAAAGGGGGGCGACCACACGTGGGAACGGGGGACGGCGAGAAGGAGAGAAGCAGAGCTCCGTCGGCAGGCACAGCGCCCTTACCAGTAGGCACCGGTGGTGGAACAGACGTGGTGGGTTTTGGTGTTTCTGGAACACAAAAGAGCAAAGTCACATAGGTGGCGGTGGGAGAGGGAAAAGGCGGGCTCCCGTCACGGCTGGGATTTTGGGTTGCCCAGGGCGCCACACGAGGACATGAGGAACAGGTTCCCGGATGACTGAGCCAGACGAGTCGCGCCCTTTTTGGAGGGCTGGCTTACGTGGGACCTGGAGGTGGCAATCCCTCTGCCCCTTTGGCAAGAGAGGGCTCCTGAAAGACTTGTAAGCTGCTGCTGCTGCTGCAGAGCGACCAAGGAGACTTACCCGTGGTAACTGGGACGGTGGTGGTTGCAGGAGTTGTGGTGGCCGGAGTGCTGGGCGTTTCTGTGCTGGTAGGGGAGCAGTCGTGAGAGTTGTGGCAGTGGGTACTGGAGTGCTGGTGGAAGTGGAGGTAACGGTTGTGGGCGAGGTGGTGGTGGTTGTGGTGGACGGCGTCGGAGGAGACGGTGTGGAGGGGGCACGGGTGCTGTTGTGGTTGTCGGGGTTGGTGTGCTAGTCGCAGTGGATTCTGTGGTGGTGGAGGGGGTTGTGGTGGTTAGGATTTTGGGGTGATGCGTAGAGGTGGATGGTGTGGAGGCTGTTGCAGTGGTCTTTGGCGTGTTGGTGGTTGCCGTCTGAGTTGATGCAGTGGTTCTGGATGTGGTGGAGGGAGAGGTGGTTGGCGTGGTTTTCGGCGTGCTGCTTGGCGGTCTGGTTGTCGAAGGTGTGGTGACTGCAAAGGAGAAAGAAAGCAAGTGAAAGGGGGGCGACCACACGTGGGAACGGGGGAAGGAGAGAAGGAGAGAAGCAGAGCTCCTTCGGCAGGCTCAGCGCCCTTACCTGTAGGCACCGGTGGTGGAACAGAAGTGGTGGTTTTGGTGTTTCTGGAACACAAAAGAGCAAAGTCACATAGGTGGCGGTGGGAGAGGGAAAAGGCGGGCTCCCGTCACGGCTGGGATTTTGGGTTGCCCAGGGCGCCACACGAGGACATGAGGAACAGGTTCCCGGATGACTGAGCCAGACGAGTCGCGCCCTTTTTGGAGGGCTGGCTTACGTGGGACCTGGAGGTGGCAATCCCTCTGCCCCTTTGGCAAGAGAGGGCTCCTGAAAGACTTGTAAGCTGCTGCTGCTGCTGCAGAGCGACCAAGGAGACTTACCCGTGGTAACTGGGACGGTGGTGGTTGCAGGAGTTGTGGTGGCCGGAGTGCTGGGCGTTTCTGTGCTGGTAGGGGAGCAGTCGTGAGAGTTGTGGCAGTGGGTACTGGAGTGCTGGTGGAAGTGGAGGTAACGGTTGTGGGCGAGGTGGTGGTGGTTGTGGTGGACGGCGTCGGAGGAGACGGTGTGGAGGGGGGGGCCCGGGGGCTGCTGTGGTTGTCGGGGTTGGTGTGCTAGTCGCAGTGGATTCTGTGGTGGTGGAGGGGGTTGTGGTGGTTAGGATTTTGGGGTGATGCGTAGAGGTGGATGGTGTGGAGGCTGTTGCAGTGGTCTTTGGCGTGTTGGTGGTTGCCGTCTGAGTTGATGCAGTGGTTCTGGATGTGGTGGAGGGAGAGGTGGTTGGCGTGGTTTTCGGCGTGCTGCTTGGCGGTCTGGTTGTCGAAGGTGTGGTGACTGCAAAGGAGAAAGAAAGCAAGTGAAAGGGGGGCGACCACACGTGGGAACGCGGGAAGGAGAGAAGGAGAGAAGCAGAGCTCCTTCGGCAGGCTCAGCGCCCTTACCTGTAGGCACCGGTGGTGGAACAGAAGTGGTGGTTTTTGGTGTTTCTGGAACACAAAAGAGCAAAGTCACATAGGTGGCGGTGGGAGAGGGAAAAGGCGGGCTCCCGTCACGGCTGGGATTTTGGGTTGCCCAGGGCGCCACACGAGGACATGAGGAACAGGTTCCCGGATGACTGAGCCAGACGAGTCGCGCCCTTTTTGGAGGGCTGGCTTACGTGGGACCTGGAGGTGGCAATCCCTCTGCCCCTTTGGCAAGAGAGGGCTCCTGAAAGACTTGTAAGCTGCTGCTGCTGCTGCAGAGCGACCAAGGAGACTTACCCGTGGTAACTGGGACGGTGGTGGTTGCAGGAGTTGTGGTGGCCGGAGTGCTGGGCGTTTCTGTGCTGGTAGGGGGAGCAGTCGTGAGAGTTGTGGCAGTGGGTACTGGAGTGCTGGTGGAAGTGGAGGTAACGGTTGTGGGCGAGGTGGTGGTGGTTGTGGTGGACGGCGTCGGAGGAGACGGTGTGGAGGGGGCACGGGTGCTGCTGTGGTTGTCGGGGTTGGTGTGCTAGTCGCAGTGGATTCTGTGGTGGTGGAGGGGGTTGTGGTGGTTAGGATTTTGGGGTGATGCGTAGAGGTGGATGGTGTGGAGGCTGTTGCAGTGGTCTTTGGCGTGTTGGTGGTTGCCGTCTGAGTTGATGCAGTGGTTCTGGATGTGGTGGAGGGAGAGGTGGTTGGCGTGGTTTTCGGCGTGCTGCTTGGCGGTCTGGTTGTCGAAGGTGTGGTGACTGCAAAGGAGAAAGAAAGCAAGTGAAAGGGGGGCGACCACACGTGGGAACGGGGGAGGAGAGAAGGAGAGAAGCAGAGCTCCTTCGGCAGGCTCAGCGCCCTTACCTGTAGGCACCGGTGGTGGAACAGAAGTGGTGGTTTTTGGTGTTTCTGGAACACAAAAGAGCAAAGTCACATAGGTGGCGGTGGGAGAGGGAAAAGGCGGGCTCCCGTCACGGCTGGGATTTTGGGTTGCCCAGGGCGCCACACGAGGACATGAGGAACAGGTTCCCGGATGACTGAGCCAGACGAGTCGCGCCCTTTTTGGAGGGCTGGCTTACGTGGGACCTGGAGGTGGCAATCCCTCTGCCCCTTTGGCAAGAGAGGGCTCCTGAAAGACTTGTAAGCTGCTGCTGCTGCTGCAGAGCGACCAAGGAGACTTACCCGTGGTAACTGGGACGGTGGTGGTTGCAGGAGTTGTGGTGGCCGGAGTGCTGGGCGTTTCTGTGCTGGTAGGGGGAGCAGTCGTGAGAGTTGTGGCAGTGGGTACTGGAGTGCTGGTGGAAGTGGAGGTAACGGTTGTGGGCGAGGTGGTGGTGGTTGTGGTGGACGGCGTCGGAGGAGACGGTGTGGAGGGGGGCACGGGTGCTGGTGTGGTTGTCGGGGTTGGTGTGCTAGTCGCAGTGGATTCTGTGGTGGTGGAGGGGGTTGTGGTGGTTAGGATTTTGGGGTGATGCGTAGAGGTGGATGGTGTGGAGGCTGTTGCAGTGGTCTTTGGCGTGTTGGTGGTTGCCGTCTGAGTTGATGCAGTGGTTCTGGATGTGGTGGAGGGAGAGGTGGTTGGCGTGGTTTTCGGCGTGCTGCTTGGCGGTCTGGTTGTCGAAGGTGTGGTGACTGCAAAGGAGAAAGAAAGCAAGTGAAAGGGGGGCGACCACACGTGGGAACGGGGAAGGAGAGAAGGAGAGAAGCAGAGCTCCTTCCGGCAGGCTCAGCGCCCTTACCTGTAGGCACCGGTGGTGGAACAGAAGTGGTGGTTTTTGGTGTTTCTGGAACACAAAAGAGCAAAGTCACATAGGTGGCGGTGGGAGAGGGAAAAGGCGGGCTCCCGTCACGGCTGGGATTTTGGGTTGCCCAGGGCGCCACACGAGGACATGAGGAACAGGTTCCCGGATGACTGAGCCAGACGAGTCGCGCCCTTTTTGGAGGGCTGGCTTACGTGGGACCTGGAGGTGGCAATCCCTCTGCCCCTTTGGCAAGAGAGGGCTCCTGAAAGACTTGTAAGCTTGCTGCTGCTGCAGAGCGACCAAGGAGACTTACCCGTGGTAACTGGGACGGTGGTGGTTGCAGGAGTTGTGGTGGCCGGAGTGCTGGGCGTTTCTGTGCTGGTAGGGGAGCAGTCGTGAGAGTTGTGGCAGTGGGTACTGGAGTGCTGGTGGAAGTGGAGGTAACGGTTGTGGGCGAGGTGGTGGTGGTTGTGGTGGACGGCGTCGGAGGAGACGGTGTGGAGGGGGGCACGGGTGCTGGTGTGGTTGTCGGGGTTGGTGTGCTAGTCGCAGTGGATTCTGTGGTGGTGGAGGGGGTTGTGGTGGTTAGGATTTTGGGGTGATGCGTAGAGGTGGATGGTGTGGAGGCTGTTGCAGTGGTCTTTGGCGTGTTGGTGGTTGCCGTCTGAGTTGATGCAGTGGTTCTGGATGTGGTGGAGGGAGAGGTGGTTGGCGTGGTTTTCGGCGTGCTGCTTGGCGGTCTGGTTGTCGAAGGTGTGGTGACTGCAAAGGAGAAAGAAAGCAAGTGAAAGGGGGGCGACCACACGTGGGAACGGGGGAAGGAGAGAAGGAGAGAAGCAGAGCTCCTTCCGGCCGGCTCAGCGCCCTTACCTGTAGGCACCGGTGGTGGAACAGAAGTGGTGGTTTTTGGTGTTTCTGGAACACAAAAGAGCAAAGTCACATAGGTGGCGGTGGGAGAGGGAAAAGGCGGGCTCCCGTCACGGCTGGGATTTTGGGTTGCCCAGGGCGCCACACGAGGACATGAGGAACAGGTTCCCGGATGACTGAGCCAGACGAGTCGCGCCCTTTTTGGAGGGCTGGCTTACGTGGGACCTGGAGGTGGCAATCCCTCTGCCCCTTTGGCAAGAGAGGGCTCCTGAAAGACTTGTAAGCTGCTGCTGCTGCTGCAGAGCGACCAAGGAGACTTACCCGTGGTAACTGGGACGGTGGTGGTTGCAGGAGTTGTGGTGGCCGGAGTGCTGGGCGTTTCTGTGCTGGTAGGGGGAGCAGTCGTGAGAGTTGTGGCAGTGGGTACTGGAGTGCTGGTGGAAGTGGAGGTAACGGTTGTGGGCGAGGTGGTGGTGGTTGTGGTGGACGGCGTCGGAGGAGACGGTGTGGAGGGGGGCACGGGTGCTGTTGTGGTTGTCGGGGTTGGTGTGCTAGTCGCAGTGGATTCTGTGGTGGTGGAGGGGGTTGTGGTGGTTAGGATTTTGGGGTGATGCGTAGAGGTGGATGGTGTGGAGGCTGTTGCAGTGGTCTTTGGCGTGTTGGTGGTTGCCGTCTGAGTTGATGCAGTGGTTCTGGATGTGGTGGAGGGAGAGGTGGTTGGCGTGGTTTTCGGCGTGCTGCTTGGCGGTCTGGTTGTCGAAGGTGTGGTGACTGCAAAGGAGAAAGAAAGCAAGTGAAAGGGGGGCGACCACACGTGGGAACGGGGAAGGAGAGAAGGAGAGAAGCAGAGCTCCTTCGGCAGGCTCAGCGCCCTTACCTGTAGGCACCGGTGGTGGAACAGAAGTGGTGGTTTTTGGTGTTTCTGGAACACAAAAGAGCAAAGTCACATAGGTGGCGGTGGGAGAGGGAAAAGGCGGGCTCCCGTCACGGCTGGGATTTTGGGTTGCCCAGGGCGCCACACGAGGACATGAGGAACAGGTTCCCGGATGACTGAGCCAGACGAGTCGCGCCCTTTTTGGAGGGCTGGCTTACGTGGGACCTGGAGGTGGCAATCCCTCTGCCCCTTTGGCAAGAGAGGGCTCCTGAAAGACTTGTAAGCTGCTGCTGCTGCTGCAGAGCGACCAAGGAGACTTACCCGTGGTAACTGGGACGGTGGTGGTTGCAGGAGTTGTGGTGGCCGGAGTGCTGGGCGTTTCTGTGCTGGTAGGGGAGCAGTCGTGAGAGTTGTGGCAGTGGGTACTGGAGTGCTGGTGGAAGTGGAGGTAACGGTTGTGGGCGAGGTGGTGGTGGTTGTGGTGGACGGCGTCGGAGGAGACGGTGTGGAGGGGGCACGGGTGCTGTTGTGGTTGTCGGGGTTGGTGTGCTAGTCGCAGTGGATTCTGTGGTGGTGGAGGGGGTTGTGGTGGTTAGGATTTTGGGGTGATGCGTAGAGGTGGATGGTGTGGAGGCTGTTGCAGTGGTCTTTGGCGTGTTGGTGGTTGCCGTCTGAGTTGATGCAGTGGTTCTGGATGTGGTGGAGGGAGAGGTGGTTGGCGTGGTTTTCGGCGTGCTGCTTGGCGGTCTGGTTGTCGAAGGTGTGGTGACTGCAAAGGAGAAAGAAAGCAAGTGAAAGGGGGGCGACCACACGTGGGAACGGGGGAAGGAGAGAAGCAGAGCTCCTTCGGCAGGCTCAGCGCCCTTACCTGTAGGCACCGGTGGTGGAACAGAAGTGGTGGTTTTTGGTGTTTCTGGAACACAAAAGAGCAAAGTCACATAGGTGGCGGTGGGAGAGGGAAAAGGCGGGCTCCCGTCACGGCTGGGATTTTGGGTTGCCCAGGGCGCCACACGAGGACATGAGGAACAGGTTCCCGGATGACTGAGCCAGACGAGTCTCGCCCTTTTTGGAGGGCAGGCTTACGTGGGACCTGGAGGTGGCAATCCCTCTGCCCCTTTGGCAAGAGAGGGCTCCTGAAAGACTTGTAAGCTGCTGCTGCTGCAGAGCGACCAAGGAGACTTACCCGTGGTAACTGGGACGGTGGTGGTTGCAGGAGTTGTGGTGGCCGGAGTGCTGGGCGTTTCTGTGCTGGTAGTGGGAGCAGTCGTGAGAGTTGTGGCAGTGGGTACTGGAGTGCTGGTGGAAGTGGAGGTAACGGTTGTGGGCGAGGTGGTGGTGGTTGTGGTGGACGGCGTCGGAGGAGACGGTGTGGAGGGGGGCACGGGTGCTGGTGTGGTTGTCGGGGTTGGTGTGCTAGTCGCAGTGGATTAGGTGGTGGTGGAGGGGTTGTGGTGGTTAGGATTTTGGGGTGATGCGTAGAGGTGGATGGTGTGGAGGCTGTTGCAGTGGTCTTTGGCGTGTTGGTGGTTGCCGTCTGAGTTGATGCAGTGGTTCTGGATGTGGTGGAGGGAGAGGTGGTTGGCGTGGTTTTCGGCGTGCTGCTTGGCGGTCTGGTTGTCGAAGGTGTGGTGACTGCAAAGGAGAAAGAAAGCAAGTGAAAGGGGGGCGACCACACGTGGGAACGGGGGAAGGAGAGAAGGAGAGAAGCAGAGCTCCTTCCGGCAGGCTCAGCGCCCTTACCTGTAGGCACCGGTGGTGGAACAGAAGTGGTGGTTTTTGGTGTTTCTGGAACACAAAAGAGCAAAGTCACATAGGTGGCGGTGGGAGAGGGAAAAGGCGGGCTCCCGTCACGGCTGGGATTTTGGGTTGCCCAGGGCGCCACACGAGGACATGAGGAACAGGTTCCCGGATGACTGAGCCAGACGAGTCTCGCCCTTTTTGGAGGGCTGGCTTACGTGGGACCTGGAGGTGGCAATCCCTCTGCCCCTTTGGCAAGAGAGGGCTCCTGAAAGACTTGTAAGCTGCTGCTGCTGCAGAGCGACCAAGGAGACTTACCCGTGGTAACTGGGACGGTGGTGGTTGCAGGAGTTGTGGTGGCCGGAGTGCTGGGCGTTTCTGTGCTGGTAGGGGGAGCAGTCGTGAGAGTTGTGGCAGTGGGTACTGGAGTGCTGGTGGAAGTGGAGGTAACGGTTGTGGGCGAGGTGGTGGTGGTTGTGGTGGACGGCGTCGGAGGAGACGGTGTGGCACGGGTGCTGTTGTGGTTGTCGGGGTTGGTGTGCTAGTCGCAGTGGATTCTGTGGTGGTGGAGGGGGTTGTGGTGGTTAGGATTTTGGGGTGATGCGTAGAGGTGGATGGTGTGGAGGCTGTTGCAGTGGTCTTTGGCGTGTTGGTGGTTGCCGTCTGAGTTGATGCAGTGGTTCTGGATGTGGTGGAGGGAGAGGTGGTTGGCGTGGTTTTCGGCGTGCTGCTTGGCGGTCTGGTTGTCGAAGGTGTGGTGACTGCAAAGGAGAAAGAAAGCAAGTGAAAGGGGGGCGACCACACGTGGGAACGGGGGAAGGAGAGAAGCAGAGCTCCTTCGGCAGGCTCAGCGCCCTTACCTGTAGGCACCGGTGGTGGAACAGAAGTGGTGGTTTTTGGTGTTTCTGGAACACAAAAGAGCAAAGTCACATAGGTGGCGGTGGGAGAGGGAAAAGGCGGGCTCCCGTCACGGCTGGGATTTTGGGTTGCCCAGGGCGCCACACGAGGACATGAGGAACAGGTTCCCGGATGACTGAGCCAGACGAGTCTCGCCCTTTTTGGAGGGCAGGCTTACGTGGGACCTGGAGGTGGCAATCCCTCTGCCCCTTTGGCAAGAGAGGGCTCCTGAAAGACTTGTAAGCTGCTGCTGCTGCAGAGCGACCAAGGAGACTTACCCGTGGTAACTGGGACGGTGGTGGTTGCAGGAGTTGTGGTGGCCGGAGTGCTGGGCGTTTCTGTGCTTGGATGGTGAGCAGGCGTGAGAGTTGTGGCAGTGGGTACTGGAGTGCTGGTGGAAGTGGAGGTAACGGTTGTGGGCGAGGTGGTGGTGGTTGTGGTGGACGGCGTCGGCGGAGACGGTGTGGAGGGGGGCACGGGTGCTGTTGTGGTTGTCGGGGTTGGTGTGCTAGTCGCAGTGGATTCTGTGGTGGTGGAGGGGGTTGTGGTGGTTAGGATTTTGGGGTGATGCGTAGAGGTGGATGGTGTGGAGGCTGTTGCAGTGGTCTTTGGCGTGTTGGTGGTTGCCGTCTGAGTTGATGCAGTGGTTCTGGATGTGGTGGAGGGAGAGGTGGTTGGCGTGGTTTTCGGCGTGCTGCTTGGCGGTCTGGTTGTCGAAGGTGTGGTGACTGCAAAGGAGAAAGAAAGCAAGTGAAAGGGGGGCGACCACACGTGGGAACGGGGGAGGAGAGAAGGAGAGAAGCAGAGCTCCTTCGGCAGGCTCAGCGCCCTTACCTGTAGGCACCGGTGGTGGAACAGAAGTGGTGGTTTTGGTGTTTCTGGAACACAAAAGAGCAAAGTCACATAGGTGGCGGTGGGAGAGGGAAAAGGCGGGCTCCCGTCACGGCTGGGATTTTGGGTTGCCCAGGGCGCCACACGAGGACATGAGGAACAGGTTCCCGGATGACTGAGCCAGACGAGTCTCGCCCTTTTTGGAGGGCAGGCTTACGTGGGACCTGGAGGTGGCAATCCCTCTGCCCCTTTGGCAAGAGAGGGCTCCTGAAAGACTTGTAAGCTGCTGCTGCTGCAGAGCGACCAAGGAGACTTACCCGTGGTAACTGGGACGGTGGTGGTTGCAGGAGTTGTGGTGGCCGGAGTGCTGGGCGTTTCTGTGCTGGTAGGGGAGCAGTCGTGAGAGTTGTGGCAGTGGGTACTGGAGTGCTGGTGGAAGTGGAGGTAACGGTTGTGGGCGAGGTGGTGGTGGTTGTGGTGGACGGCGTCGGAGGAGACGGTGTGGAGGGGGCACGGGTGCTGTTGTGGTTGTCGGGGTTGGTGTGCTAGTCGCAGTGGATTCTGTGGTGGTGGAGGGGGTTGTGGTGGTTAGGATTTTGGGGTGATGCGTAGAGGTGGATGGTGTGGAGGCTGTTGCAGTGGTCTTTGGCGTGTTGGTGGTTGCCGTCTGAGGTGATGCAGTGGTTCTGGATGTGGTGGAGGGAGAGGTGGTTGGCGTGGTTTTCGGCGTGCTGCTTGGCGGTCTGGTTGTCGAAGGTGTGGTGACTGCAAAGGAGAAAGAAAGCAAGTGAAAGGGGGGCGACCACACGTGGGAACGGGGAAGGAGAGAAGGAGAGAAGCAGAGCTCCTTCCGGCAGGCTCAGCGCCCTTACCTGTAGGCACCGGTGGTGGAACAGAAGTGGTGGTTTTGGTGTTTCTGGAACACAAAAGAGCAAAGTCACATAGGTGGCGGTGGGAGAGGGAAAAGGCGGGCTCCCGTCACGGCTGGGATTTTGGGTTGCCCAGGGCGCCACACGAGGACATGAGGAACAGGTTCCCGGATGACTGAGCCAGACGAGTCTCGCCCTTTTTGGAGGGCTGGCTTACGTGGGACCTGGAGGTGGCAATCCCTCTGCCCCTTTGGCAAGAGAGGGCTCCTGAAAGACTTGTAAGCTGCTGCTGCTGCAGAGCGACCAAGGAGACTTACCCGTGGTAACTGGGACGGTGGTGGTTGCAGGAGTTGTGGTGGCCGGAGTGCTGGGCGTTTCTGTGCTGGTAGGGGGAGCAGTCGTGAGAGTTGTGGCAGTGGGTACTGGAGTGCTGGTGGAAGTGGAGGTAACGGTTGTGGGCGAGGTGGTGGTGGTTGTGGTGGACGGCGTCGGAGGAGACGGTGTGGAGGGGGGGCACGGGTGCTGTTGTGGTTGTCGGGGTTGGTGTGCTAGTCGCAGTGGATTCTGTGGTGGTGGAGGGGGTTGTGGTGGTTAGGATTTTGGGGTGATGCGTAGAGGTGGATGGTGTGGAGGCTGTTGCAGTGGTCTTTGGCGTGTTGGTGGTTGCCGTCTGAGTTGATGCAGTGGTTCTGGATGTGGTGGAGGGAGAGGTGGTTGGCGTGGTTTTCGGCGTGCTGCTTGGCGGTCTGGTTGTCGAAGGTGTGGTGACTGCAAAGGAGAAAGAAAGCAAGTGAAAGGGGGGCGACCACACGTGGGAACGGGGGAAGGAGAGAAGGAGAGAAGCAGAGCTCCTTCCGGCAGGCTCAGCGCCCTTACCTGTAGGCACCGGTGGTGGAACAGAAGTGGTGGTTTTTGGTGTTTCTGGAACACAAAAGAGCAAAGTCACATAGGTGGCGGTGGGAGAGGGAAAAGGCGGGCTCCCGTCACGGCTGGGATTTTGGGTTGCCCAGGGCGCCACACGAGGACATGAGGAACAGGTTCCCGGATGACTGAGCCAGACGAGTCGCGCCCTTTTTGGAGGGCAGGCTTACGTGGGACCTGGAGGTGGCAATCCCTCTGCCCCTTTGGCAAGAGAGGGCTCCTGAAAGACTTGTAAGCTGCTGCTGCTGCAGAGCGACCAAGGAGACTTACCCGTGGTAACTGGGACGGTGGTGGTTGCAGGAGTTGTGGTGGCCGGAGTGCTGGGCGTTTCTGTGCTGGTAGGGGGAGCAGTCGTGAGAGTTGTGGCAGTGGGTACTGGAGTGCTGGTGGAAGTGGAGGTAACGGTTGTGGGCGAGGTGGTGGTGGTTGTGGTGGACGGCGTCGGAGGAGACGGTGTGGAGGGGGCACGGGTGCTGTTGTGGTTGTCGGGGTTGGTGTGCTAGTCGCAGTGGATTCTGTGGTGGTGGAGGGGGTTGTGGTGGTTAGGATTTTGGGGTGATGCGTAGAGGTGGATGGTGTGGAGGCTGTTGCAGTGGTCTTTGGCGTGTTGGTGGGTGCCGTCTGAGTTGATGCAGTGGTTCTGGATGTGGTGGAGGGAGAGGTGGTTGGCGTGGTTTTCGGCGTGCTGCTTGGCGGTCTGGTTGTCGAAGGTGTGGTGACTGCAAAGGAGAAAGAAAGCAAGTGAAAGGGGGGCGACCACACGTGGGAACGGGGGAAGGAGAGAAGGAGAGAAGCAGAGCTCCTTCGGCAGGCTCAGCGCCCTTACCTGTAGGCACCGGTGGTGGAACAGAAGTGGTGGTTTTGGTGTTTCTGGAACACAAAAGAGCAAAGTCACATAGGTGGCGGTGGGAGAGGGAAAAGGCGGGCTCCCGTCACGGCTGGGATTTTGGGTTGCCCAGGGCGCCACACGAGGACATGAGGAACAGGTTCCCGGATGACTGAGCCAGACGAGTCTCGCCCTTTTTGGAGGGCTGGCTTACGTGGGACCTGGAGGTGGCAATCCCTCTGCCCCTTTGGCAAGAGAGGGCTCCTGAAAGACTTGTAAGCTGCTGCTGCTGCAGAGCGACCAAGGAGACTTACCCGTGGTAACTGGGACGGTGGTGGTTGCAGGAGTTGTGGTGGCCGGAGTGCTGGGCGTTTCTGTGCTGGTAGGGGAGCAGTCGTGAGAGTTGTGGCAGTGGGTACTGGAGTGCTGGTGGAAGTGGAGGTAACGGTTGTGGGCGAGGTGGTGGTGGTTGTGGTGGACGGCGTCGGAGGAGACGGTGGGAGGGGGCACGGGTGCTGTTGTGGTTGTCGGGGTTGGTGTGCTAGTCGCAGTGGATTCTGTGGTGGTGGAGGGGGTTGTGGTGGTTAGGATTTTGGGGTGATGCGTAGAGGTGGATGGTGTGGAGGCTGTTGCAGTGGTCTTTGGCGTGTTGGTGGCTGCCGCCTGAGCTGATGCAGTGGTTCTGGATGTGGTGGAGGGAGAGGTGGTTGGCGTGGTTTTCGGCGTGCTGCTTGGCGGTCTGGTTGTCGAAGGTGTGGTGACTGCAAAGGAGAAAGAAAGCAAGTGAAAGGGGGGCGACCACACGTGGGAACGGGGGAAGGAGAGAAGCAGAGCTCCTTCGGCAGGCTCAGCGCCCTTACCTGTAGGCACCGGTGGTGGAACAGAAGTGGTGGTTTTGGTGTTTCTGGAACACAAAAGAGCAAAGTCACATAGGTGGCGGTGGGAGAGGGAAAAGGCGGGCTCCCGTCACGGCTGGGATTTTGGGTTGCCCAGGGCGCCACACGAGGACATGAGGAACAGGTTCCCGGATGACTGAGCCAGACGAGTCTCGCCCTTTTTGGAGGGCAGGCTTACGTGGGACCTGGAGGTGGCAATCCCTCTGCCCCTTTGGCAAGAGAGGGCTCCTGAAAGACTTGTAAGCTGCTGCTGCTGCTGCAGAGCGACCAAGGAGACTTACCCGTGGTAACTGGGACGGTGGTGGTTGCAGGAGTTGTGGTGGCCGGAGTGCTGGGCGTTTCTGTGCTGGTAGGGGAGCAGTGGTGAGAGTTGTGGCAGTGGGTACTGGAGTGCTGGTGGAAGTGGAGGTAACGGTTGTGGGCGAGGTGGTGGTGGTTGTGGCGGTCGGCGTCGGAGGAGTCGGTGTGGTGGGTTGGCACGGGTGCTGTTGTGGTTGTCGGGGTTGGTGTGCTAGTCGCAGTGGATTCTGTGGTGGTGGAGGGGGTTGTGGTGGTTAGGATTTTGGGGTGATGCGTAGAGGTGGATGGTGTGGAGGCTGTTGCAGTGGTCTTTGGCGTGTTGGTGGGTGCCGTCTGAGTTGATGCAGTGGTTCTGGATGTGGTGGAGGGAGAGGTGGTTGGCGTGGTTTTCGGCGTGCTGCTTGGCGGTCTGGTTGTCGAAGGTGTGGTGACTGCAAAGGAGAAAGAAAGCAAGTGAAAGGGGGGCGACCACACGTGGGAACGGGGGAAGGAGAGAAGGAGAGAAGCAGAGCTCCTTCCGGCAGGCTCAGCGCCCTTACCTGTAGGCACCGGTGGTGGAACAGAAGTGGTGGTTTTGGTGTTTCTGGAACACAAAAGAGCAAAGTCACATAGGTGGCGGTGGGAGAGGGAAAAGGCGGGCTCCCGTCACGGCTGGGATTTTGGGTTGCCCAGGGCGCCACACGAGGACATGAGGAACAGGTTCCCGGATGACTGAGCCAGACGAGTCTCGCCCTTTTTGGAGGGCTGGCTTACGTGGGACCTGGAGGTGGCAATCCCTCTGCCCCTTTGGCAAGAGAGGGCTCCTGAAAGACTTGTAAGCTGCTGCTGCTGCAGAGCGACCAAGGAGACTTACCCGTGGTAACTGGGACGGTGGTGGTTGCAGGAGTTGTGGTGGCCGGAGTGCTGGGCGTTTCTGTGCTGGTAGGGGGGCAGTCGTGAGAGTTGTGGCAGTGGGTACTGGAGTGCTGGTGGAAGTGGAGGTAACGGTTGTGGGCGAGGTGGTGGTGGTTGTGGTGGACGGCGTCGGAGGAGACGGTGTGGAGGGGGCACGGGTGCTGTTGTGGTTGTCGGGGTTGGTGTGCTAGTCGCAGTGGATTCTGTGGCGGTGGAGGGGTTGTGGTGGTTAGGATTTTGGGGTGATGCGTAGAGGTGGATGGTGTGGAGGCTGTTGCAGTGGTCTTTGGCGTGTTGGTGGGTGCCGTCTGAGTTGATGCAGTGGTTCTGGATGTGGTGGAGGGAGAGGTGGTTGGCGTGGTTTTCGGCGTGCTGCTTGGCGGTCTGGTTGTCGAAGGTGTGGTGACTGCAAAGGAGAAAGAAAGCAAGTGAAAGGGGGGCAACCACACTTGGTAACTCTGCAAGGAGAGAAGGAGAGAAGCAGAGCTCCTTCGGCAGGCTCAGCGCCCTTACCTGTAGGCACCGGTGGTGGAACAGAAGTGGTGGTTTTTGGTGTTTCTGGAACACAAAAGAGCAAAGTCACATAGGTGGCGGTGGGAGAGGGAAAAGGCGGGCTCCCGTCACGGCTGGGATTTTGGGTTGCCCAGGGCGCCACACGAGGACATGAGGAACAGGTTCCCGGATGACTGAGCCAGACGAGTCTCGCCCTTTTTGGAGGGCAGGCTTACGTGGGACCTGGAGGTGGCAATCCCTCTGCCCCTTTGGCAAGAGAGGGCTCCTGAAAGACTTGTAAGCTGCTGCTGCTGCAGAGCGACCAAGGAGACTTACCCGTGGTAACTGGGACGGTGGTGGTTGCAGGAGTTGTGGTGGCCGGAGTGCTGGGCGTTTCTGTGCTGGTAGGGGAGCAGTCGTGAGAGTTGTGGCAGTGGGTACTGGAGTGCTGGTGGAAGTGGAGGTAACGGTTGTGGGCGAGGTGGTGGTGGTTGTGGTGGACGGCGTCGGAGGAGACGGTGTGGAGGGGGCACGGGTGCTGTTGTGGTTGTCGGGGTTGGTGTGCTAGTCGCAGTGGATTCTGTGGTGGTGGAGGGGTTGTGGTGGTTAGGATTTTGGGGTGATGCGTAGAGGTGGATGGTGTGGAGGCTGTTGCAGTGGTCTTTGGCGTGTTGGTGGTTGCCGCCTGAGTTGATGCAGTGGTTCTGGATGTGGTGGAGGGAGAGGTGGTTGGCGTGGTTTTCGGCGTGCTGCTTGGCGGTCTGGTTGTCGAAGGTGTGGTGACTGCAAAGGAGAAAGAAAGCAAGTGAAAGGGGGGCGACCACACGTGGGAACGGGGGACGGAGAGAAGGAGAGAAGCAGAGCTCCTTCGGCAGGCTCAGCGCCCTTACCTGTAGGCACCGCTGGTGGAACAGAAGTGGTGGTTTTTGGTGTTTCTGGAACACAAAAGAGCAAAGTCACATAGGTGGCGGTGGGCGAGGGAAAGGCGGGCTCCCGTCACGGCTGGGATTTTGGGTTGCCCAGGGCGCCACACGAGGACATGAGGAACAGGTTCCCGGATGACTGAGCCAGACGAGTCGCGCCCTTTTTGGAGGGCAGGCTTACGTGGGACCTGGAGGTGGCAATCCCTCTGCCCCTTTGGCAAGAGAGGGCTCCTGAAAGACTTGTAAGCTGCTGCTGCTGCAGAGCGACCAAGGAGACTTACCCGTGGTAACTGGGACGGTGGTGGTTGCAGGAGTTGTGGTGGCCGGAGTGCTGGGCGTTTCTGTGCTGGTAGGGGAGCAGTCGTGAGAGTTGTGGCAGTGGGTACTGGAGTGCTGGTGGAAGTGGAGGTAACGGTTGTGGGCGAGGTGGTGGTGGTTGTGGTGGACGGCGTCGGAGGAGACGGTGTGGAGGGGGCACGGGTGCTGTTGTGGTTGTCGGGGTTGGTGTGCTAGTCGCAGTGGATTCTGTGGTGGTGGAGGGGGTTGTGGTGGTTAGGATTTTGGGGTGATGCGTAGAGGTGGATGGTGTGGAGGCTGTTGCAGTGGTCTTTGGCGTGTTGGTGGTTGCCGTCTGAGTTGATGCAGTGGTTCTGGATGTGGTGGAGGGAGAGGTGGTTGGCGTGGTTTTCGGCGTGCTGCTTGGCGGTCTGGTTGTCGAAGGTGTGGTGACTGCAAAGGAGAAAGAAAGCAAGTGAAAGGGGGGCGACCACACGTGGGAACGGGGGAAGGAGAGAAGCAGAGCTCCTTCGGCAGGCTCAGCGCCCTTACCTGTAGGCACCGGTGGTGGAACAGAAGTGGTGGTTTTTGGTGTTTCTGGAACACAAAAGAGCAAAGTCACATAGGTGGCGGTGGGAGAGGGAAAAGGCGGGCTCCCGTCACGGCTGGGATTTTGGGTTGCCCAGGGCGCCACACGAGGACATGAGGAACAGGTTCCCGGATGACTGAGCCAGACGAGTCGCGCCCTTTTTGGAGGGCTGGCTTACGTGGGACCTGGAGGTGGCAATCCCTCTGCCCCTTTGGCAAGAGAGGGCTCCTGAAAGACTTGTAAGCTGCTGCTGCTGCAGAGCGACCAAGGAGACTTACCCGTGGTAACTGGGACGGTGGTGGTTGCAGGAGTTGTGGTGGCCGGAGTGCTGGGCGTTTCTGTGCTGGTAGGGGAGCAGTCGTGAGAGTTGTGGCAGTGGGTACTGGAGTGCTGGTGGAAGTGGAGGTAACGGTTGTGGGCGAGGTGGTGGTGGTTGTGGTGGACGGCGTCGGAGGAGACGGTGTGGAGGGGGGCACGGGTGCTGTTGTGGTTGTCGGGGTTGGTGTGCTAGTCGCAGTGGATTCTGTGGTGGTGGAGGGGGTGATGCGTAGAGGTGGATGGTGTGGAGGCTGTTGCAGTGGTCTTTGGCGTGTTGGTGGTTGCCGTCTGAGTTGATGCAGTGGTTCTGGATGTGGTGGAGGGAGAGGTGGTTGGCGTGGTTTTCGGCGTGCTGCTTGGCGGTCTGGTTGTCGAAGGTGTGGTGACTGCAAAGGAGAAAGAAAGCAAGTGAAAGGGGGGCGACCACACGTGGGAACGGGGGAAGGAGAGAAGCAGAGCTCCTTCGGCAGGCTCAGCGCCCTTACCTGTAGGCACCGGTGGTGGAACAGAAGTGGTGGTTTTTGGTGTTTCTGGAACACAAAGAGCAAAGTCACATAGGTGGCAGTGGGAGAGGGAAAAGGCGGGCTCCCGTCACGGCTGGGATTTTGGGTTGCCCAGGGCGCCACACGAGGACATGAGGAACAGGTTCCCGGATGACTGAGCCAGACGAGTCGCGCCCTTTTTGGAGGGCTGGCTTACGTGGGACCTGGAGGTGGCAATCCCTCTGCCCCTTTGGCAAGAGAGGGCTCCTGAAAGACTTGTAAGCTGCTGCTGCTGCTGCAGAGCGACCAAGGAGACTTACCCGTGGTAACTGGGACGGTGGTGGTTGCAGGAGTTGTGGTGGCCGGAGTGCTGGGCGTTTCTGTGCTGGTCGGGGGGAGCAGTCGTGAGAGTTGTGGCAGTGGGTACTGGAGTGCTGGTGGAAGTGGAGGTAACGGTTGTGGGCGAGGTGGTGGTGGTTGTGGTGGACGGCGTCGGAGGAGACGGTGTGGAGGGGGCACGGGTGCTGTTGTGGTTGTCGGGGTTGGTGTGCTAGTCGCAGTGGATTCTGTGGTGGTGGAGGGGGTTGTGGTGGTTAGGATTTTGGGGTGATGCGTAGAGGTGGATGGTGTGGAGGCTGTTGCAGTGGTCTTTGGCGTGTTGGTGGTTGCCGTCTGAGTTGATGCAGTGGTTCTGGATGTGGTGGAGGGAGAGGTGGTTGGCGTGGTTTTCGGCGTGCTGCTTGGCGGTCTGGTTGTCGAAGGTGTGGTGACTGCAAAGGAGAAAGAAAGCAAGTGAAAGGGGGGCGACCACACGTGGGAACGGGGGCAGGAGAGAAGGAGAGAAGCAGAGCTCCTTCGGCAGGCTCAGCGCCCTTACCTGTAGGCACCGCTGGTGGAACAGAAGTGGTGGTTTTTGGTGTTTCTGGAACACAAAATAGCAAAGTCACATAGGTGGCGGTGGGAGAGGGAAAGGCGGGCTCCCGTCACGGCTGGGATTTTGGGTTGCCCAGGGCGCCACACGAGGACATGAGGAACAGGTTCCCGGATGACTGAGCCAGACGAGTCGCGCCCTTTTTGGAGGGCTGGCTTACGTGGGACCTGGAGGTGGCAATCCCTCTGCCCCTTTGGCAAGAGAGGGCTCCTGAAAGACTTGTAAGCTGCTGCTGCTGCAGAGCGACCAAGGAGACTTACCCGTGGTAACTGGGACGGTGGTGGTTGCAGGAGTTGTGGTGGCCGGAGTGCTGGGCGTTTCTGTGCTGGTAGGGGGAGCAGTCGTGAGAGTTGTGGCAGTGGGTACTGGAGTGCTCGTTTTCGTTAAGGGGATTGAAGTAACCTGTGTTGTGGAAGGCATGGGTCCTGTCGTGGTTGTTGGGGTGTGTTTGCTTGTTATAGTGGATTCAGTAATCGCTGTGGAGATTGTGGTCTTTGGCCTTCTTGTTGTTGCCGTTTGTGTTAATGATGTAGTTCTGGAAGTTGTTGGTATAGAAGTGCTTGCTGTTGACATAGTTTTCTGTGGAGTCGTAATCATTGTTGTATGTGTTGTATGTCTTAGCGTCGTTGATTCTGTGCTCTTTGTATTTATGGGCGATGTTGCCTTTGGCGAAGTTAATGTTGTGCTGCTGGTGCTTGTTGCTTTTGTTGGCGCAGTCTCTGCAGGATAAGAGATTCCATGAAATAATGTGGTAACCTGATCAACCCAGGTTCATTTACTTAACTGTGTCTACTCTGAGAAAACTTAGTTGAATCCATCTTATACAGCATTCTAACGCGACATTATTTTCAAAGCAATTTCTCTTAATTCCTCTAATAACCTATTTCCTTTGAGGATATGCTCCTGAAAGTGAAAGCACTACAGCTCAGTGAGTATTGGTAAACTTTATTGTTATTTTTTCTTTTTGATGTTTCATGTATTCAGTTTTTCTGTATTGTTTCTATTTGTAATTTGGATTATTCTGTGCTGGCATTCATTATTTTAAGGTATATTGTTTCAACTGTTTGTTTTTGCTTTGCCTTGGTAACAGACATACTGGATAAGTTTCGCTTTCTCTGCTTATGTTAATAACAAAATAATAATTTTATTGTTTATACCCTGCCCACTGGGCTGGGTTTCTCCATCTACTCTGGATGGCTTGAAGCACATAAAAAATGTTAAAACATTAGACATTAAAAACCCGGCAGCCACTCCCAGTCACCAGTCTAGCTGTCACATTTTGGATTAGTTTAGTTTCCGAGTCACCTTCAAAGGTAGCACCACATAGAGCTCATCATTGCAGTAGTCCAAGTGGGAGATAACCAGAGCATGTGCCACTCTGGCAAGACAGTCTGCAGGCAGGTAGGATCCCAGCCTGCTTCCTAGATGGAGCTGTTGTTGTTTTATGTTGCAGAGAACCAGCAGGTTTTAATTAGGGTTATGAGGCTTATATAGTGTTTCTTTGTGACCATGTTTTAATTAATTATTTAAATTTATACACCTTTAAATCAATAAAAACCTCCATCCAGTTTATATTGAACAATGTAAAATACTGCTTTTAATACTAATAGAATCAAACATTAAAAACAAATGGTCATATATATTCTCAAAATATAAAATCAGCTGGCTTAAATGAATATATGAAATAAAGTTACAAGTTAATTTTGGGGGGGGGTGTTATTCAACTAAGGTTTACTCAGAGCAGACTTACTGCAATTAATAAGCATGGCTACGTTAGGTCTGTAAATTTCTTTTTGTCCCCTTCTTAGCTGATTACCTTATCTGATTATCATCCTGTATGTCTTTTTAGGCTTTCCTAAACAAATATATTTTAAACAGGCACTGAAAACAGTACAGCACAATAATATTAGTGGGCAGGGAGTTCCAGAGAATATGTGCTACCACAATGCAGGATTGATTCATCGCAAGCTGAAAGGAAGTGTTAGGTGGCACTTGTAAAACCATCATTTTGACAGATCAAATTCGTCAAATGGGCCACATGTGCTAAGGCAATCCTTTAAATAAACTAGTCTAGTCCAAAGTTCCTGAGGTTTTTATACACTACAGTAGTACCTCGGGTTACATACGCTTCAGGTTACATACGCTTCAGGTTACAGACTCTGCTAACCCAGAAATAGTACCTCAGGTTAAGAACTTTCTTCAGGATGAGAACAGAAATCGTGCTCCGGCGGTGCGGCGGCAGCATGAGGCCCCATTAGCTAAAGTGGTGCTTCAGGTTAAGAACAGTTTCAGGTTAAGAAAGGACTTCTGGAACAAATTAAGTACTTAACCCGAGGTACCACTGTATTAATAATATCTTGACCTGGTAGCAAATCAACAGCCTGTGCTGATCTCTTCATAGGAGCATAATATGGTGACAGGGTCTCACTCCTGACAGCTATCAAGCTTCACCATTCAGCACCAGCTGTGCTTTCTGGATCAAGTACAAGGGAAGCCCCTAGGGAAGTAACCCTATCTCAAATGCATCCATTCCTGAGATGCTGTGGTCCATCTATCCAGGTTCAGAAAGGGTTGTAGCCATCTGAAGCTGATAAAAGGCACTCACAGCCACCTAGGCCACCAGTGACAAAGTTGGATCCAGAAGCACCCCTAAAATTGTATACTTGCTCCTCCTGAGGGAGTACAGTCCCATCCAGGGCAGGCATTTGGACTATTTTTCAGACATGGGGAACACTCACCTGCAGAGACTCCATCTTGTCAGTTCAACTTTGGGAGCAAATTGTTAATAGCTAGACAAGGAAACCAATTACAGGTGGTGGGGGAGAGGATAAGCCCTCGCTTCCCAGATGTCTTCCAGCAGTGCCTGGATAGCCATCTGTTGGAGGTAATCAGCAAGAAACCAAAACGGATAATAGAACTGACCTGTTGTTGTTACTTTGACTTGCGGTACTGTAACAGGAGGGTGAGGGTGAGCTACAAAGCAGAAGTGGGAAAATACATTTCAATTAAGGAGTGCAAACAATCCACACAGCATTCATATTTTAATGAGACTAAAATACATGATTAATCGAGGTCTCATTGAATAATTATTATTCACAGAGACAGCACTGAAACCATTTCTTTATTGTGCGGTTAATGGAATCTAAATGTGTGAGATTGGGATTCTGAGTAACATATTGGTAACATTTATTATTGATAGCATACCATGAGGCATCTTGGCTATTTAATTGTACAACCCCTCAAAAGTGGCTCATTGGTTTAAATATCATCTTGTTTTCCACAACTAATTTCAGAAACCTCTTCAAGAGGAAGGTAATGTCAAAGTATTTTAAGATTTCCCTTTGGCAACTATGCAAAGACGGACAGATGTGATCCATTTATTTATTTTGATTTAGTATCACTTTTCTATAAACATAGGGTTGTTGAGATGTAACATGACATGTTATGTGAACGGGCCTTGAGCTCATATGCTCCACCCTCCTCTTGTGCCTTCTTTCATGGAAAAAACATAGTTTGCAATTCCACTTCAAACTAGAATTATAAAACAGCTATCAACAGTCCTGGACATGTCTAAAGGTAAAGGTAAAGGGACCCCTGACCATTAGGTCCAGTCATGACCGACTCTGGGGTTGCGGCGCTCATCTCGCTTTACTGGCTGAGGGAACCGGCGTACAGCTTCTGGGTCATGTGGCCAGCATGACAAAGCTGCTTCTGACGAACCAGAGCAGCGCACGGAAACGCCGTTTACCTTCCCGCCGGAGCGGTACCTATTTATCTACTTGCACTTTGACGTGCTTTTGAACTGCTAGGTTGGCAGGAGCAGGGACCGAGCAACGGGAGCTCACCCCATCATGGGGATTCGAACCACCGAGCTTCTGATCAGCAAGTCCTAGGCTCTGTGGTTTAACCCACAGCGCCACCTGCGTCCCTTCCTGAACATGTCTACACAGAAGTACGGTAAATCCTACTGAATTCATTGGGAATTGCTCCATGGTACATGAGGATATGACTGTGGCCTCAGTTACTATCTCATGTAAAGAAAATATAGATGGCAAGTGTGATTCTTGTGACTATAATGACTGCTGAATCTAAACAAAATAAAAAAATTCCTTCCAGTAGCACCTTAGAGACCAACTAAGTTTGTTATTGGTATGAGCTTTCGTGTGCATGCACACTTCTGACTACGGCAGACCAACACGGCTACCTACCTGTATGCTGAATCTAAATGTAAGATGCTTCTGGCACCTTGGAAACAGTAGCATATAACAATATGTTGGGACATACTGAATTATGCACAACTTGTTACACAAACTCATTTCCCCCCATCCTGATTGCAGGATGGATGATAACATACATAGCTATCCAAACTGTGCAGGAATAACAAGGACTGCATGTGGCGAATGTTCATTCACATCCAAAATAGACCCAGGAGTGAAAGTCTCATTCCCCTCACAGATCACACTTGTGGGATCAGCATACCTGTGTTTTATGTTCTTTGTTATCATTGGGCAATACTGGAAAATGGACTTGTTGCTTTCAGTGCACAAGAGTGTAACTTATATACCTGTAAGTAGCATGTGTTAAACTCTTATATTCACCTGTTTTCGGAGATGCTGTGGTCCGTGTTGGAGCTATGGAAAAGAGAAGAAGTGTGAGCATAATGTAGAATATAAAATTGAGGAGCTTCTGAGTTTTGAGAGCACCAGTATATTTCATTCATATAGTCAAGTATTATTATTTTTTTAATCAAAGGGTTCAGTGTTCTGGAAACATCAGAATTCTTGCTTGTTCAATTCACACACACCATTCCCAAGTGGTAAACTGCTGAGCAGGGGGAGGAAACATTCCAACCATTTTCAGGGAGGAAGTAAAACAGCTCACTTTGGTTTTAGGAGTGGAGGAAGGGGGGTACTTAGGGCCATTTATTGTGGAGCAATGGCAACTCCTTTCTCTTGACACCCCAACTTTCAACACTATTGCTTGTTGTGCCTGAATCAGAGCTTTTGGGTACCATTTTCCCCAGAATGCATCTGAAATAAAACTGGCAGTGTGAAACTAGTGTCACAAGAAACACAAAGAAGCAGGAAATAGGGATGTAAGAAGAGGAGGAGAGAAGTGGTCAAACACTGGGTTCATTTTTTAAAAAAAAGCAAATGGAAGGGCGGAAGCACAATTTGGCCTTGGGATTGCCTAACATATAAAATCTGGGTGTCTGCAGCCCTGTCTCTCCTCCATGATTACATGCTAAATAGGCAACAACATGCAAAATCACTTTATTCACAAATTTTCTGCAGTGCGCAGCTTTTGATTTTTATTTTTTTTGCACAAAGTGCACATAACCCTGTGTGTGTTTGGCTCAGTACTCTATATATCTGTGAATTATTTTGCCCATATGAATATATCACATTTCTATTCTTTCTTTGAGAAACATTTAAAAAAATAAACATTACAACTGCCAAAGGCTGTAAATTAATTCACTATGAAAGGTGCCAGACTGAATCAATACTTCATATGAGAACATGTAGATGATGTCTGGCTCTTTGGGCTGTGGTCTCTGCAGAGTCTAAATAACAAAATTCTTAGTTCCATACATATTTGCAAATGACAAGGTGTTAACATATGATGAGTAACACACAACTAATGATTTGAGGATCACAATCATGTGCCTATAGTAGATGGGGATAAGCATCCTCGTCCATGTAACAGGATTGATATGAGCATGCATCTCCATCCATATTGTGAAGTATTGATGAGGACTGCATGTGTGAGATGTTCATTCTCATACACTATGCACTGATCACCTGCTGATTCTAACCATAGCTGGCAAATTTTCCTTTTTTTTAAGGGAAAATCCTATTGGGAATTAGGGAATTTCCCTTAAAAAAAGGGAAACGTTGACAGCTATGATTCTAACCTAGGAAAGGGTGGTTCCTGTAAATAAACCCGATTTCCCCAAAATGGATTTTATTTGATGGATCAACATATCTCTGTCTTCTGTTCACCATCATAATCATCCCCACTATTATTACGATGCAATACAGGCAAATTGATTGTTTCCTACCACTATGCAGACTTTACATTAAACTCAGTGTCATATATTTTAAAATACACATTTTAAAATCTTATACTCACTTGTTGTTGGTGATGGGGTAGTTGGAGAAAGTGAACCTGGTGGAAATAATTTTTTTTAATTTTTTTTATTTGTTTCCTACAATTTATATATAGTCAATTCAACTTATGTGGGGGTTACGTTCCAGCAATAGTGTGTAAAAGCCAAAGTTGTGTATAGCAAAAAATAAAATAAAAACCCTCCAAATGTTCTTCTAAGGCCTCTCACACAGTCTCCAATGATCACTGCACCTCCAAATTGGGTGGGGTGGGGTGGTGGTATTGCCAATGTCCTCCCCTCCAAATGCCTGCCCTGCCCCTTTTTTCAGTGATGCGTATTCACACACGTTAAATTTGTGCAGGTTGCAAGTCGACTGTACTGCTTGAATTAATTGAATTAATTTTATAATGAAATGATTTTAGAATGTTGTATTATTTTACTGTTGTTAGCCGCTCTGAGCCCGGCTTCGACTGGGGAGGGCGGGATATAAATAAAATTTTATTATTATTATTATTGATTGTAAGGAGGGTGGGGGACTAAACCATTTAAAAGAAGAATAAAACCATAAAATTATCAATAAAACCAGTTTTTAAAAGCTAAAATAGTAAGTATAAAACTGTGAGTGCAATGTAGCAGTGAGTATAAAATGGAATATGCAATGTTTTATAAAATCAAAGGGGTCGAGTGTTTTAGGAGTGTTTTTCATTTTGATCCTCTATATGCAAATAACTTTAGTGGCAGGAGACCATGTGGACACATCACATACAGTAAACACTTGTTTCACCAAGTCGCATGTTGCACATGTCAGTTACAATTGTGCAACAAAAAACCCATATAGATACAGAGTTCACATGGAAGTTACATCTGTGTAGAAAATTCATTGAATGTGAACCAACTCTTACATTTGTTGATGGTGTTGTGATGGGAACCTCTGTAGTAGTAGTAGTAGTAGTAAATTATACTAGCTATACTTTTCTATGATGAAGATTTCTTACTCGTCCATACCACAGAATTGACAAGAGCATGCAAAAGTACGGATGAAGTATTGAAGAGGACTGCATGTGCAATATGCTCTGATCATCTGCTTAATCCAATCTAATTCATGTAAATAATTCTGATTCCCCCCAGTGGATTTTATTTGATAGATCATCATATCTGTGTCTTCTCTTCATCATCATAATCACCATTATTGCTATGCAATATTGGCAAATGGATCATTTCTCATCCCTATACAAAATAGACATTACATTCAGTGTTACATAGTTTGAAATATACATTTCAAAATCTTATACTCACTTGTTGTTGGTAATGGAGGAGTTGGGGAAACTGGACCTGGTGAAAAGACAAATGTGAGTTGTGCAACAGAAAAACGTATATATAAATATAGACTTTTACATATTTAGTTTTCTTGCATGGAAGCAACATTTGTGTAGAAAAATTACTGAATGTTAAGTGAATTTGTTGATGGTATTGTGATGCTAACCACTGCTATATTATTATTATTATTATTATTATTATTATTATTATTATTATTTCAGCTATATACTTTTTCCATAATGAGGATTTCTGCAAATAATATATTTTTCCTCCTATTTCAATAGTAAAAGTACAACTTTGCATATGAAGAAGTAATCTAGAATTCCAGGATTTAAGTAATTTGAGAAGTTTTAATTTATTGTGGTATAGTGGTTAGAGTTTGGGACTAGGGTATGCAATATCAGGATGTTCTAATCCTAGCTAATTATAATTTTACTACTTTTTCATCAACCACTGTATACACATCATTCCTGAATCACCTAAACTTTAGACTCTAGTAGACATAGTACAGTACATTTCTTAAAGTTAAGAACAAACAAATGAATAAGTGAAGATAATGCAATGGCAGCTTTAAGAGGCCCTCTGGTTAAATAAGAGTCTTAAATAAGACGGTTAAATAAGAGTGTCATCCTATGTATATTATCCACATTAGGGAAAAAGTCCCAATGAAATCAGTAAACATGCAAAGGATTTCACTATAAATGATGCTTCTTAAAATAGGAAATGTTGGAAGCAAGGAATTTGAAAGTGGACTTTTTAACCTACCGCTACAAGGCACACATTTTTTCTCCTTAGGATTATAGTAGTCATGCTCTGAACAGTTGTAACAGCCTAGGAGCAAAGAAGAAATATTGTTCATCATGCATATAGCAAAAGTTTTAGGTAAACACTAGTCTCAGAAGAAGGTTTCAGAAAGAAGAATTCCTGTAATGTATAAGTCAGTCTTAGAGAACCAGCTATAAACCCACATTTCCAACCATGAATTCAGGCCTATTATTTCCTACAAATTGTTTTGTAAAAGATTTACAAAAGCATTTTGCCTACTTACTACTAGTTTCCTATCAATAATATCTAGCACACACTGGCGGAGGAAGAGGAGTGCACTGCCCCCGGCAGCGCGATCCCAGTAGGGTGCCATCGTGGCTAGCCCCCCCTGCGCTGGGCGCTACGCCCCTGCAGGAGGTGTGCCCTGCCCCCAGGACGTGCGCCATGCCCCTGCAGGCAGTGCGTCATGCCCCCCGAGACGCACGCCACCCCCGACCCTGCCTGATCTCCACCCCCCGGTGCTGAAGCATGAAGCTCCGCCACTGCTAGCACGGTTTCTGTTTTTTAAAAGTAGGGGGGGAAATACCTTCGATGTTTATTTCTCTGAAGGTTAGTAGCTGGTATGGACATTTACAAGGACGATAATGCCAGGTGCAATTCAGTTCATTAACAAAGTTATGATAGGTGCCATCCATGGCATTCTTCTTATGGCTGTTGAAATAGTCACAGTAGACAGCTAAAGAGATGAGAAAGTGATTGTTATTCAATCTATCCACTTACATTTCCTAAATGAAAAAATAGCACACTGGAGAAACATTGCATTGTTTTCCCCTGTGGCAAACTCATTTAAAGATGGAAGCATCTAGTGAAAGATCTTCATTATCTGTTTCTTATGTTATACTTGATTTCATCCTTGAAGGTTTTGGCCATATTCTCACTCTGGCTCAGTTTGCATGCAACAGTCACAACACTAAGCCAAACCATAGTTTAGCACAAATGTGCAAGGGTGCAGTTTCCTGAAGAGGAGATCACTACTGTTTTTTTTTTTCTTCTGTCCTGCTGCTGCTGTCAAGCCAGCCATGCTCTGGCTTAGGATGTTGTCTGAGCCCAGGCTTGTGGTCTCCAGACAAACCCTGAGTTGTAAACCAAGGACAAAAATCCTTGGTTACAACATGGTGAAACAAACTGTGAGCCTGGATTCTGATGGCATGCAAAGCCACACCATGGCTTACCTCGCAGCAGCACTGGAGGAAGGCCTAACCAGCTGTGAATTCCTTTCCAGAAATCTGCATGCTCACACATTTGCATTAAGCCATGATCTGGCTTAGGTTTACATGCAAACTGGGTCACTGAATGCTTCCATAATCCATCCTGGGGTATATTGGTGCTGCAGTGTTGAAGAAATCTAGAAGAGCAAGGCTTCTTTACATAAATGAAGAATGTCTTGGCCATGTCTTTGGCAGTGGACCAGATGGTTTTGGCTGTACTTTGACTTGAGATGTAAAGAAATCTCTGTGGAATCCAGTTTTTTGTCATGTGCCAAGACTGGATTTAAAACTTCCTAGCTCCAGGGATTCTGTCCCAAATCAGATTGTCCACTGATAAATTTCTGCATGTGAAATGCTGCACTGAGAAACTGGCATGATTGAAGGGGTAGGCTTCATATGCTTCATTGTTGCACAACTGCGCAAAAAATGTGCTAATAATTTACCTGTGGCTGCAGCTGCACCTAGAAAACATTAAAGGCACTCCTACATCTGCACTGTGCAAGAGAGGCTTGACAGAGAGGACAAGCTGCTTGTAGTGATGGCAGCTGGCCACAATTATTTATCTTCTCATTGAATCGACTTCAGAGGGTTGATACGCTTTATGAAAACACTGCTCTAAAAATATAATGCTTCCTGCTCCATAGTTTTAGCAGTCAGCAAACTTAATAGGTATTATCCAGTTCTGAATATTATTAACATATAGAAGTATCAATGCATTTTAAGAAACCCAGCACACTTTAAAAGAGGCATTGTTAAGAAACTTACGGCAGAAGTCTGGGGTTCTCCAGTCAACACAGACGCCAGCTTCTAAGCATGCTTTTGCATACACTGCAACAGCATCACACATGCACTCACAGTCCCCTCCTGTGTCACAGCCACATGAATCCCGGACACAAGCTTCATAATAAGGCCTGCGGTACACCTGGGGCAGGGAAAGAACAATGAAGCCAAACCAGAAAGTTGGTGTTAATTAAAAGTTCATCCTTACATTTTCAGTGGGACCAAACAAGCAATATCCGCTAATCAAACCACACATCCGCTTTACAGTATCATCTGCTGTATGGACAGAGAATGATATTTGGCCTAGCAAATTTCCCTTCCAGAGGAACCAATGGGAGGAAAATGTAAAACAAACAAAGATGAGAACACTGGCATTGCTGGGGAAGAACAGCGCCCCCACCCCAGATCCACCATAGCCAATACAAGACTGAGAGGGCTTGGCTATGGTGCTTCCTAGGCTACAAATTCTCCTCTCCCACCACAGTTGGTTTGCTCTACCAGGCTGCAATCCTATGCACACTTACCAGGGAATAAGGCTCATTGAACTCATTGGTGCTTACTTCTATATGGAGACATGTATAAGACTGCACTGTTAATTTCAATCACTTCATGAAAGCACTGCTGGATTTTTCTCTGTGATTCTCTGTGTTGTTTTAACTGCCGATCTTTTATTATTGTAATATTTTAACGGTTTAGGCTGCAATTCAAACCCCCACCTTATGCTGGGTTCAGGGCTGGTGATGGATTGAGTGGAAGCATCTCTCTGTGGGCTTCCACTGGCTCAGCCAGACTTCTCCCACCTGATGCCAATAGAGTGACACTCATGTCACTCCATTGATGGAGACCTCCTTCTTCCACTGCCTGCATTGGGGTGGGCTGGGGAGGCCCACCAGTAGTATCTCTGCTGGCCAAGCCAAAATGGGGCGTTCTGAGGGTGGGGCTCATGGTCAGCATTAGGCCTGATCTGTGCACAATCACGCTGGTGATTCGTCCCAATCTACCTCCCCACCTCCACTGTAAAGGAAGGATTTTTTTTTGAAAGAAGTAGATAAATACATAATTAAATACATCAATTCAAAACAATAAAAAGGCATCTGGCATTTGGAAGCATGCATAGGTGGAAATGTTAGCACTTGAAGAGGCAATGTTACTATCTTAAAGCATAGGATAAACTTTTACCTTGCTGTGGCAGGAAGCAAATACTTGACTGTTGATAATGGAGCACTTCTTTTCTGCCCATGCTTTGCGATAGGGGTTGTTACTGCATGGATCCGCCACAAAGAACACATCCCCACAAAGGGGATTCTCTTTCCAGGAATTCACAAACTCCAGTTCATTGGATGCCACATATTTGCTTCGAGTTTCAAAGTCATCTCTTATATTCCCATTGTAATTACCACATAAACCACAGAGGTGATCCTAGGTTCGAGTAAAATAAAAATAAAAGTTATGGACGTCAGAACAAAACATAAAAAGGGAACCTTTTAAAATGTAAATGAGCCATGTGAGTAACTTGATATTGAGTGGATGACCAGTGATGGTGGAGCCGAGTGGAGAGAGAGGATCTGTTTAGTCCTTTCTTTGACAACTCTTCTGTTTAAAATTATCCCCTGCATTGCTTTCCGATTTGGAGGGGAGATATATGTATACGAGTTCCCCCACATCTCTTTCTTCCCTTAGAAAAGCAGCTGGAGTATGATTCTGAGCAGAGAAACACCTGACAAAGAAATAGTCCCACCTCCAGTTTCCTGCTCAATCTGACATGACCCACAGTCACTTTGCCTTGTAAAAAAACATATGAAAAATGGAACTGCAAAGAGTGTCTGTTTTATCACTTCTCTGCGGAGACTAGCCTGTGATAAATCTTCCTCAGAAATTTCTGCTTAAAACAAATTTTGGCACTGCAACTTCCCATTCAGCTTTATTCGCCTTTCCCAAGAAAGGCAAAGAAACAACGGATTAGGAATTGGCTACACATTGCATGCCCAGTTGTGTGGAGTGTGCTGCCCAGTGTTGGGGGCAGCCATGTTAAATAAGACACAGGACATTGGCATTGGGTTGAAATAGGCCACAGCTTTACTGATTATAGATGTAAGCAAGTTTTGGTGAAGGCACTGAGATCAACCATCCAATTGGTTGATAATGAAGTGGGTTGACCCTAAAAAGAAGGTTGCCCCCTGGCGTACATTAGAGTGTGATGCTCCCTCCAGGGCTGCCCCTGTGTGGGCTCCTGGGCAGCAATACTTCTTCCTACACCCTTTTAGCAGGGTACCCAAATGCTAAAGAGCCAAACTCAATGACTTATCTGCCCAAGTTGTTTCATTTGCTATGAGACAGGTGAAAAACCGGCAGGCAGACCAATTAGCCAGCAGGGAAAAATTCCTCCCTGGCCCCAAATAGGGTAACCGAGCATTCCATAGCAAGCTGCTCACACAATCCAACCCACTCACCTTTGGGCAGAACCACCATGTAATAGGGTGGGAGGGTGGGAAATCCAGTATCATCAAAAGAGCCGGAGTCCAAGCACCATTCCCTTTTATAGGGAAAAGGTAGAGCTGGTTTGGGCCAGGTCACTGCCTCTACCTGACTTACAAGCCTTGACATGATTGACTCACATCACGGGCCTCTTTCACATCATGTGACAGTAGAAGTTCTAATGTCCCCTTCTGGCTGCAAGGATGAACAATTCTCCTAGCTCCCCACTGTCTGTGCTGCAGCTGCGCTGGTCAGCAAAGGGCCACCCCTGAAGCCCCATGGTAAGAGGTTATTTATTACCTTTGCTCCTCTGAATATTTTGATGAATATGTTCATGTGCCTGTTCCAGACAAGGGACATGTCATATTTGCCAGGGATTGCAATCTCAATAATCAAGTGGAGGGCATTCTCTTCTATAAAGAACTCTGTCATAGGATTCCAACCAGAGACAGTGTATGTTCTGTCTGCCAAAGTGATTGTCAGATTCTGCAAGGAAAATAACATGTGACTAGAAAAGCTATCTAACAGAATTTCTGTAGACTTTTGCAAAAATGAGTCATTTACTTGTGTGCAATGTAATTTGGTCTGTGTTTTAGCAGCTCTATGGGAGGAGCCTAATCAATCTTTTTTTAACAAAAGAGACTTGCAGACAATTCAAGACTGCTATACAGTACACACAGACACTTCTAGGGTGCTGTCTACAACTTTGCTGCTCTTCCTTTAGAAAGGTAATCACCCAAAACTCATTAAACATCTCCATTCCTCACCCCCTTCGGTTTAGCCTTTGGCTACAAAAGAGTGAACAGTTCACAATATTATTTTTATTAATTTATTCTTTTTTAATTTGCATACCGGCCTCCATCTGTAGATCTCAGGGTGGCTCACAGCAGAAAATTTACCAACAAGGTGTGAGGAGATCCTAGTGAACACCTGCTGTATAACAATCTATCCCTCTTCTCTCTTCTCCAGAGCCCAACCCAGTCAAGCCCTTAACTGAAATGATATTATCTTGCAAAGATATTTAATGTTTTTAGTGGAAAGAGTTTGTAAACTTTTATTTATTTAGAAAAATTATAAACCTCTTCCCCTAAAAGATACGCCAAGCAGTGCACAAGTACAAGCAGTGTACAAGGCGAATGGTCATATCTGCCTTTGAGGAATTTACCCACAATTCCCTATTACACATAGGGAATGAGTATAAAACTAGAATGATTCTGTTATAAGATAGTTCTCTCTGGGTCTTTGCAATCTATAGTTTAATACACATAGGATAAAATCCCACCTATAATGAAGTATCCAGTTAGTGTCTCCATAACTTAGGTGTACACAGGGCTGGCCCAATATATTTTGCCATCTGAAACAAAAGACAAAATGTATCCCTGCCCTCCCAGGTAGCTGCATTGGCAGTTGAATTTTACTTTAAATCTGGAGATGGAACATGGTTCTATATTACACCCCGAAGCAACCAAAATCTGCTGCCTTAGGTGGCTGCCACACTCTGCCTAATGATAGAGTTGGCCAGGCTCTGCTTCTTCAGACTGGAAAATTTGAATCTCAGGCCCAACAGCTGTATGTTAGTTTATAGTGCCTTGATACTAGAGGATGGCAGAGTGCTGGGATGACAAGAGTGATCAATCAGTTTCCTTGAAGGGTGTTAGGAAATTATTTCCAGTGTGGTACAGATGAGTAAATATCACATAACAACAACGTTTCATCCTTACCCCAAGGTGGATCTTGATTGCTCTGGAACATGTGATCCCTGTATTTCCACAGACAACGTTTTCAGTCACTATTTTGAAATGATGGGGAGAGCCACCCATGCCACAACCGTCCTAGGTAGAGAAGTACAGTCTAAGTACCATTAGATAGCAACATGTATGTAAGGATTTAAAATGCAGAGCATGGGTAGGATTATTGGATAACTCAGAATCAGAAACCCTTGCTGATCTACTGCAAACTACCCAGAGATCTACCAGTAGATTCTGATCTACTTTTTGCAGAGAAGATCTGGTTACACTTCAAACCCTGAAGCTGAATTTAGGGAACAAAGGCCATATGAGTTCATCTACTTCCTATTTTTAAGATTATAGTTGTAAAATATTTGAGACCAATTTTGTTCTACCTTAAGACACTCTTTGAACTGCAAGCCTTGATTTGAAGTGCCATATTGATTCAAATCTGCTTATACTGATCATTAGCATCATGGCATGTAAGTGCAGTCAAAGTGATATTACCATAGCTAGTATGTATTCACAGTTGCCATCAAACACAAAACGTTGTCCATCAAACGTGGTGATATGGCCTTCCCCATAGAGACTGCATGTTGAAGAGCATCTGGAATTTTGGATGCATTTCCATTTTCCTCTTGTGCAGGTGCTGATGAGGAACAAGAAACTTGTCATAAAGCCTTCAAATGCAATTAAAGGTAGCACAATATTGGGTAAGCATTATTCCTTGATGCCTTCATGTGATGTTACCTTAGATTTCCCAAAGTCCCATATTTAGTTTAACTATGTTTCAGGGCAGCTGGCACAAGCAATATATGTAATAGAATTATGTGGATGCTCAGATATGATGTTTTCTAAGCTTGTTAACTATCATTTGAATAGCATACTTGCATGGTATAGCCAAAGGGATGAAAGCAAAAAAAAAAAATCTTACCAGGACTTGCATTCAGTGTGAATCTCCTCTCCTTTTGCATATGAGATGCCACCATATTCACAGGGACACTCATCAGGTGGCACACATGTACCATCTAGCTTTTCATATAGTCCAGCAGCACAAACACAGCCTGATTCACACTTGCTGGGGACCTGGAAAACATCAGCCAATCTCAAACTCAGACTTTGAGATATGCAAAGTCCAGCCCAACACCAGCCAACCATAAGGTTGCTCTTAGCCTGTGGCCCTTCAGATGTTGCTGGACACCCATCTCCCAACAGCACCTGCAAGCATAGCCACGAGCCAAATATGATGGGATCTGTAGTCCAGCAAACTCTGGAGGGCACCAGGTTCTCCTGCTCAATGCTGTTATGCAGCAACCATAAATAAGTATGTGAGTGATGGGGTGAGAATAGAAAGGTGAGAACAAAATTGTGGGCATACTCAGACCTGGTGTTTTCTAAGTCATTGCCTTATGACTGGGAGAACATTTAAAGGAAATCTGCATGTATATAAAGTATTTAGGATAAAGTTGTGATTTTTATTATACAGATATTGTGAAGGATCCCAGCTAAGTCTAAAAGTGAGGTACATATTGGGAGCTGGCCTAATGAGGTCAACAGTGCAATCATATGTATGCCTACTCAGGCATATGTCTGATTGAATTTATTGGCACTTACTCTGAGATCAGTAGGTATGGGGTTGCATTCTAAGAGCCTGAGCCAGAATTTTCCTGCCCATGTTTGAGTTCTACAAGTGGACTATGGTGGCCCTCAGGTTCCAGGTCTGCCTTTCACTCACTGAGCTTCTACTGCAGTGTGTGCCCAAAAGGAGGTGGGAAAGTTCTTCCCATCTTCCTTACTTATGGTGAGAAGCTTGCAGTCCCCAAAGTGAGAGATTGCACAGCCCCAACACCAATTCAAGTTATCAACTGGGGGGAAATTCTGGTCTCCCACACTTCTGGAAACATCATTGTAATAACCCTTAAGGAGCCACCAGATTGTGGAGGCTGGAATTCAAACTAGCACTAAGCCTGGAGTGATGTCTCCCTGCCTCCCGGAATGGCATAAAGGTAGTTGTGAAATTCCTGCTATTTTTTTCTATTTATGCCTATTATCTCATAAAAAAAAATCGGTTATACACTGTTTTCACTGCTCTGTGTTAGTTTTGTTACACTACGAGTGTTTCAATACATGGTTTTAATTTCATAGCAAAGAATGAGAGCATTTGGCAAATTAAGTACTACAAATTATTGCATGCTGATGATAATCACAATGATTATATATATATTTTAATTTTGATTTTATTCTGTGAACCGCCCTAAGACCTCTTGGTATAGGGCGGTATATAAATTCAATAAATAATAATAATGATGGTAGCAAAAGTATTGAACTTACACATGCAATTCCAGTAGCCAGCATTTGGCAGGTTGGTGCACAGGCAGCTCCATATTTGCTTTCTGAAGGTGCTGAGCATGAAATATATTTTTTGGGAGGCTTGCAGTTTTCTAGGAAAAAGGAAATAAGATGCTTGTGAAATGATGTTTCTGCAACATTTGGAAAGCATGCTTTTCAAAAGAAAGGGTAAAGAGATCCATACCTGCAGGGTCAGCAGGTTTGCCAGTACAACTCAGATTCCCATTAATGCAATAGCTAGAATAGAAAAATGAACATAAGAATACACTAAGGGAATGTTTGAGATCAAGTATGTCTGAGCTGGAATACCTTCCAAAAGAGCTTATCAGGTTTTCTCTTTGGGCTGGCATTCAGTAATTAGGAGTTCAACAGATGTGGAATAAAACAGATTTAATACTGGCTATTATTGATTTATTATTAACAATCGTTATCTGGCCCAAATCCTTGGGAAGAAGCAGGATAAAACTTAAGTAAGCAAGCAAGTAAAGAAAACATCAGTTATATGGTAAATGCTATACAGAATGTAGAAGTGACATGACAATGACAGTTAGATGGAAATAACAAAGATGGCAATGGAGTGGATGGGGATCAGTAAAGGGTTAATAAAAGGTAAGAGGTAAGATATTTCAGTCTACCTCCTTAATTGGTTCCACAAGTGTGCTCCAAATACCTCCCATGCTAATAGCAGTATTATTTTATTCGTTACATTTATAACCCACCATGATGGAACTTGAGGGTGCAGTCTCCCATAAAGACACTAAAGAGGCCTAGCCCGACTTAGATTCAGCAAGGTAGTTCTGCCATGTACCTTTAGACCAGAGATCAAAGACTATACCTTTGGACTTCGTTGTGCTTTTCATATTTCAGATATGTAGGCCTATGCCTACAACATACCTCTTCAAAGTGGGACAAGAATGGGACACAATTAAGCGGATTTTAGTTATTTTACATTTCCTTTTTCTCTTAAAGCTCAGAAATATCTTTGATGAAATTTGTTTTATTTTCAACAGGATATTGAGGGTTCCTTTCTCAACTCCATAAACATTAGGTGTCTGTTTAATTTATGTTGCCTCACTCCCCTATAATGCTATTTGTTGAAGAGATTTTGCCTCCCGCACCCACTTGCCATACTTTTATAATGCCCTTTAATACTTTTAATTCCTTTCAGGGTGTTTGACATACACAAACAACACTGCAACCATAACATTTCTGAACTACCGCCCCACCACCACCATTGCCAGTGTTTACTTTTCCTGTAAGACCATGCCTTTGAGGAAACACCAATGTGCTAACAGAGCCAATGCAAAATCCTCATTTGCTGTAGCCCATGCTTACCAGGTAATTCCACCAATTATGGTCGACTGATCAGCATGAATGAACTTCCTGTCTTTCAAGTAGCAAGGGCACTGGGATTTACGGACACACTCATTTTTGTGATTGAGATAGGTGCCTTTTGGACAATTGCAGCCGTCAATAGGGATGTCAGTGGGGTGGCACTCTAGGCCTCGATGGGAGAGGGACAGGCATGTCCGGTCACAGGCTTGAGTGTTGTAGCTGAATGTCTGATTTCCAGTACAAGAAATGGCTGTCAGTAGAAAAAAAGTATAATACAATTAGGTTTTTGCTTTCAGCTGGTGAGATATTCTTCCCCCATCATACTTCTGTCTCATGCAGGGAACAGTTGGCAGTTCAGTGAAGCAAGTCGGAAGTCTCTGGGAGAGACAAAATCTTACTCCTCTTTTACTAGTTAGACTGCTGATGGTGCAGTAGCTAGAAGGTCTGCAGAAAGTTCTCAGAGGACAACAAAACATGCTTAACCCTGTATTGGTTCCAACGATCAGCCAGGCACTCTCTTCCTTAAATAGTGCTTACGTGAGCAGCGTAATGAGGGGAAATTTCACAGTTCGCTAGAGTAGACCACCTGCGTGCTTGACTTTAAGCATATGGAATTAAATGTCCCTGTTTCTTGTTTTATGAGTGGGGACTATATCTATTATATGGGTTAGGTCAGACACAAGGTTCCTAAGTGAATGCTTCCTTCCCTAAGCGCAGTAAGTAAGGATGTATGTTATATGCAGGATCATTTGTGTGCATGTGCTCTCAGTTATCTAAATGTAATCACTTAAAAAATAGTCCTGCCATTTATCATGGAGCAGGGTTTAAGGCAGGGCTGCAGCCAGCTCTAGTTTGCTGGGGCTAGATCTCAAATCCCTATAAGTATCAGTTGGAGACTACTTACTGCAGTTGTCTACTGTACTCCGCCAGTTCCCAAGAAACAGTCCCATTGAAGCACACACACGGGCGTATGATCCCAGAGCGGAGCAAATATAGGGAAAGGTTTCCTCATAGTTGCAGGCTTGGTATATACATCTCTGAAAACAAAGAGGCAGGATATGTTTTGTTAATAAGCAATCAGAACTGCTGACTGTAGATCATGAAATGGTTTGTCAGTGCGTGTACATCACTTGATTGTATTGAAAAGTATTGCAACTGAGATTATATAAAAGTGCTATCTTTGGTGATCTGGGTCAGCTCTTTCACACAGCCCTATTCTGAGTCCCTCCAGACTGGTGTTCCATTGTGCATGTGTTCTGCAACGTTTGTGGTGGATTTATTCTGTTTTAGTTTAGATATTTACATTCTTTATTTTGGTCCAAAGACCCACAAAAGCATTCTCAAAATAAAACAGAAATACAGGGAAAGGATTCCATGGCAGTCACTATATCTTATGCAGAGCATGTAGGTTTCTATTTCTTATTAAAAGCCTTCTCTAAAGGTCTTTCACCGTCTTTTTGGGCTACGATATTGCCTTTAAATCCTGAGGCAGAGGTTATGGGATATTTCATACAGTTATCTTCGCTCTTGATCTTATGTAATCTGTGGAATGTTTGCATCTGGAATCTACTATGGCCATGATTTTCAGTGACCATCATATTTCATGAATCTATCTGTACCTAACTATTGCCAATTATTCACCAAAGCCAGACTAAATGTATTTCCATCAAAAGTACTAAATGGCAGACTGTCTGGCATACCCTATCAGAACTTACTCTGCTCATGTTCTCAGGGTGTCGACTCTATGAAGCTTATCCTACTACACTGTGAGCCGTTCAAACAAGCCCGGAATCAGTTAATTAAACCTCTATTGGTAAACTTAATTGGAAAATCCAAAACCATCTATCTTAAGTACCTCCTTGGAGATATGTCAAATGATACTACCCTGGCCATGGCTAAGTTCCTCTTGGAAGTAATAAGTTCGTTCTGCAATGCTTCCCTGGTGCTACCACATTATTTATGTCCAGAAGGGTTACTGCACAACAAAACTGGGACAAACAAAAACCAGAATATTTGTGATATAAAAAGTTACAGGATTTCAGCTGGAAGTTGGATGTCATTTTGGCAGTGGGAGGGGAATACAACTTTTTCTGATGTTTACAAACTTTGTAATTACCTGGGACTCAGTTATACAGCTGCAAATAAACGTTTTAAATGTGCTGTAAAGTGCAGTATGCAAATGTGCAACTAGATGGCAACAGTGAGCTATGCCAAATTCAATGTATTTTTCAAAACTTTTTTTTTAAAAAAGCATTTTCACATCTAGTTCACATCTGAACATCTAGTTGCTGTCTTCTGAACATTTTACAGAAACCCCTACCTTATAAAATGGAACAGGATTCACCACAGAATGACATTTCTCAAATACTGTTTCTTTCTTGATAAGAACAGAGCAATGGGTCTCGGCACACATTTCTAGACAAAAAGATACAACCAAAGGTATTAGGCAAGTTCACTTATTCCCAAGCTAATATTAAAAGATGTGTACAAATAAGGGGGGAGATAAAACAAGTCCTGTGGTGCAGTGGGTCAGTGTGCCTGGCTGTTAACCAGACGGTTGGTGGCTTGAGCTCATTCAGAAACAGCTGTAGAAAGGATTCCAGCATTGCAGGGCATTGGGCTACTAGATGACCCTTGACATTCCTTCCAACTCTACAATTCTATGATTCTATGAATAATAGCCAGTGGCTATACCAATAGCCCCCTTCCAACCTAGCAGTTCGAAAGCACGTCAGAGTGCAAGTAGATAAATAGGTACCGCTCTGGCGGGAAGGTAAATGGCGTTTCCGTGCGCTGCTCTGGTTTCGCCAGAAGCGGCTTAGTCATGCTGGCCACATGACCTGGAAGGTGTATGCCGGCTCCCTCGGCCAATAAAGCGAGATGAGCACCGCAACCCCAGAGTCGTTCACAACTGGACCTAACGGTCAGGGGTCCCTTTACCTTTACCTTATACCAATAGACAATTTTATGGCCGACCTGAATACTTGTGACAAATGCTGTTATTTTGTTATGCTTTTCATGGACATCCAAGAAGTAAAGTGAATCTCATTTGTCATCTTCCTTTGACAATGATTATAGAATGTGTACATTTTAAAACTAACACAAATGGCTCTTGGCTGCCTCTTTCATGCTCATCAATCTGAGAGGCACCCTCAAGGATACAGCCCACAGTGACTTTTTAAATGATGCAGCATTAATGTTCCCCTTTCACATTTTGCATTTGTTGATAATGCCTCCTTCCCAGAGCACCACTTCTCTGATCTCCAAAGCAGCTCAGGGAGATGCGAATAGGTAAAACAAAAAACTGCAGGGGTTCCTGTTCATAATTACTCCCTCTGTCCCTCATATACTGAAAGCAAGACAAAAATTCTACAGCTCATTTTCAGAATCCTGCCATGGCCTTGAATGTATTTAATATTTAAAATGCTGAAATAAATAGAATAAAAGAGAGCGCATACAAAAGCAGACCATGTCACTTACTGTTTAATTGACTCATAGAACAAGGATCTGTATCTCTTTCTATGGCAGGGGGGCAATTTCCTGATCTCCAAGAATCCACAAAGAGAGGAGCTGTTCCTTCAATAATATCCATGCTGGTCATGAAGTCGTCTGTGGTTTCTCCGTTGTAGTTACCACACAGCCCTAGTGACATGGAAAGAGATGTGCAGAATGAAAAGCTAGGAGCATTTTTCTACAGTAACACTGAAAAGTCTCTTGTTAATTCTATGGCAGGCCTGTGAATTATACCTGTACTATATATGCCTAATATAGGTAGCAATGTGAAAGCCACAGGTTTCCTCTCCATAAAGTATCTGTAGGCCCTGGAGCAAAGAAGTTCTGGTCTGCCCAAAAAGCTGCATTGAATTGTAGAAGCTAAAACATTTTTAACAGTCTGCTTGAATCTCTGAACTAGTTTCCACCCAAGTGCAGAGGCGTTACTATAATTATGATTATTAAGATTTCTTACCCTCTGGTCACCATGAGGTCCCAGGATGAGTTACAATTTAAAATACAATACAATACAATACAATACAATACAATACAAATACAATGCAATAAAATACAATACAAGTAATTTCGTTGTCCCCGAAGGGGGCAATGACAATAAAGATATTATTATTATTATTAATATCAAAAACAATTAAAAATGATATAGTGTTTCTCCACCCCTTACTAGTGTGGTAGACAGGTGAATGACTGTCCCCTAGAGGTCAAGTATAATCTAGTATGGAGTGGTCACAATTTAAAGGTGTCCCCAGGCTATGCTAGATCTCATCTCACAAACTATTTCCAGATCAGATCTGGAATAGTTCAACAGAAACCAGGTACTTTACCTCGGGTATTGTCTTTGAACTGAAGTCCAACTTTAATATAAACTTGAAACACTGGACTAACTTGAATTACCAGCTCCAGCCCAAAGGTTGTATACATTTGAATGTGAGTAGATGACTGTCTGAAGATGATGATGTCTCCTAAAGAAATGAGATAATTGAAAAGATGTTGACTCTGTTTTATCTATTTAAGTTATTAAATATATTACATACAGTATATTGATACGTTTACTTCTTTGTTTCTACTATTCAATTTGAATAGTTTGCATCATATAAATATTACATTTTTTGTTATTTTGATAGGAGGAATGGTTGCTTATTTATTTATATTTGCAGCTCACCTACCCCAAATATAGAGTGGGTAACAACATATTTAAACAGAAATAATATAAAATATAGAACCTATTGTTGGGAGGATTCTCTTTATCTGGATCTTCACTGGCTCCCACTACGTTTCTGAGCATAATTCAAAGTGTTGGTGCTGACCTTTAAAGCCCTAAATGGCCTCAGCCCAGTATATCTGAAGGAGCGTCTCCACCCCCATTGTTCAGCCCGCACACTGAGGTCCTCCTCCGAGGGCCTTCTGCTGGTTCCCTCACTGCAAGAATTGAGGTTGCAGGGAACCAGGCAGAGGGCCTTCTTGGTAGTGGCACCCACCCTGTGAAATGCCCTCACATCAGATGTCAAGGAAATAAGCAACTACAGTGGTGCCCCGCAAGACGAATGCCTCGCAAGACGGAAAACCCGCTAGACGAAAGGGTTTTCCGTTTTGGAGGTGCTTCGCAAAACGAATTTCCTATGTGCTTGCTTCGCAAGATGAAAATGTCTTGCGAGTTCCTGCGGGGTTTTTTTCCTTTTCCCCCCCTTTTCCCCAAGCCGCTAAACCACTTATCAGCTGATCGGCTAAGCCGCTTAACAGCTGATCGCTAAGCCGCTTATCAGCTGATCGTTAGCCCGCTTATCAGCTGATCCTAAGCCGCTTAACAGCTGATCGCTAAGCAGCTTATCAGCTGATCCGCTAAGCCCGCTAAGCCGCTAATACTGTAGCGCTAATCCACTAAACCGCTAATGGGCTTGCTTCGCAAGACGAAAAAACCCGCAAGACGAAAAGACTCGCGGAACGGATTCTTTTCGTCTTGCGAGGCACCACTGTATCTGACTTTTAGAAGACATCTAAAGTCAATCCTGTTTAGGGAAGTTTTTAATGCCTGGTGTTTTATGTTTTTAGATATGCTGTGAGCTGCCTAGAGTGGCTGGGAGAAGAGTCGATGGAGGAAGATTGGAAGAAATTCAAAGACTATCTTCAGAAACACTGCAAAATTAAGGAATGTTAGAGTGATGTTGGATTGAAAATAAGTGGTTTCCAGTTGTACAGGTTAAAGCTAAGGATAGATTAAGATTAAAGATTAAAGATTAAAGATGTTTAAAGAAATGGAAATTTGATAATAAAAGAGAAAAATTTAAAGGTATATGATATTAAGAACAAGGATTATGTTTAAAAAAGCTGAAGCTATATAGTTTAATATTTCATTAAATTAAAGATTGGGTTTTAAAAAGTGGAAAAGAAACTGCTGGACAAATAATGTAGATTGGAATACAAAAGAGGGAGGTATGAGGAAGTCCAGAAAATAAGTAATTCAAAATTGGGAATCTAAAAGAGAGTTTGTTTTAAATTGTTATGTTGTGTGTTTTTATTGTTAAATTTTGTATTGTTTTTTTGTGTGTGTTGTTTTTTCTTTTTTCTTTGTTTAAAACTTTAATAAAAATTATTTAAAAAAAAAAAATAGAGTGGCTGGGGTAACCCAGTCAGATGGGTGGGATATAAATAATAATTATCTTATAGCTTATCATTATATCTTATATCTTATATCTTATATCTATCTTATATCTTATATCTTATATCTTATATCATCATATCTTATATCTTATATCTTATCATATCTTATCTTATCTTATCATCATCTTATTTATTGGGTACATTTTCCATTTTCTTCTTTCTTATCTTACCTGATTTATAAGGTAGCCTCTTAAGTTCGTCCTCATCCATTAAAATTTCATTTTTGGAAATCACAATTTTGTCCTACGTGGAAAAGATAACACAGAATCCTAAACACAGAGCTGGGTGAAGGGTTAAATGCCACTCTGGGTCAATCTTTCCATGAATCAAGACGGATATAGAATGTGTGTAACCACATGAAATAAAGTAATTTTTGGAGGATTCACTGAAATTAACTGCTACCATAATTTTTGCAACTGAGAACAATGATTGTGACTATTGCATCTAGGTACTTATCTAACCTTTTCTTTCTGTTCCGCATTCAAATGCTCATATCTGTACATCTGGACTACAATTTAAGCACATCCTTTAAATCCAGCTGAGATCAATGGGGCTTGGGCATACCTCATTCTGTGCTGGACTCTATCTGCTCTGATTTTTTTCATAGTATGCACTCAGCAGTAACGTTTCTATGGGAGGCACACTTACTTTTCCTGAGACATAAATGATGGCTGTCAGTGATGTCTCTGAACTGGAATAACCAGAGTTTTCATACACGGCCATAAGGGTTCCATTGTGTGGTAACATAGGACTCTAGAAGGAGAGGAAAAGCAAAATAATGCAAAGTTTGTAGAAGGGAGAAAACTCAATATGTTCACATCCACCGTTTAAAATTATTGTTGAATGTTTCCATACTGTACCAAATGTTTCCTTTTCATTGACATTTTATTCATTTTGCTGCAGCAAATCCAGGTATGCCACCAAACATACACTCAATATGGAGTGTTGCCAATTGTGACTCCCTGACTACTTCCGTGACTGTGCTATTGTAAACATTTTGAGTCTGGTGGTTTGGAGGCAATGGTGCTTTGAATATGCTGGGTGCTTCCACTGCATTGGATTCTACCTCCTCTGCCCACCCACCCGCATAGGATTGTTCTACCCAATGAATATAGTGGAGAATGTCCATCTCCCACTTGTTTGAAGCCCCCCGTAATGCTTCTTGTTTCTTTTAATATTGGCACATGCCATAAAAAAGAGGAATACAGAGTTATGGTTAATAGCATGACTGTGGTCCTTCTAGTCCTCTATGAACAGTATAAGGTAAATGCTGACCCCTGGAAAATATTAAGCTCTCAGAAATGAAAATTCAATGACTTTTAAAATATTTTTTAAAAACAAATCTGATAATGCTGGTCTTTATTAGGTATAATACCTTCATAAGAATGTAGGTGCAAACTCCATGGAAACGGTATGGCCTAGAGTCAAATGTGGTAACAAATGACCCTCCCTCCAAGGAACATCTGCCTGGACATGGCAGTTCTGTGCAGCTCCACTGACCCATCATACACTTACTAGTAAAAAGAAAAGTACATGTCAGCTGTTAACTGGGAAAGCAGATCTAAGCTCATCATCACTTTCTGGGTTATTTGTTGTAGGTCAGGATAGCTGCGCAAGTGCAATACATGTAAAAGCACATTCCCCCACCCCCTAAGGATCCTCAGAACTGTAGTTTGTTAAGGGTGCTGGAAGCAGCAGCTCTCTGAGGAATAAACTACAGATCCCAGGATTATTGGGGGGTGCTTTCAATGCAAAGTGCGCACACAACCTATTATATCTCTCTTCATTTGTGCAACAATATTTGAAACCAATAGACTTTAAACATGAAAATCCAAGTTGGACTTCTAAAGACAGTCAAAAATGCATGTCATATCCTGATCTATGTGCAAAAATCTCTATTTTTAAAAAAATTCTATCTCTGTCTTTTTTTATGTATGTTTCAGCATATCAGTGCCAGGTATTCTAATCAGCTTCATGACCACAACCCATCCTTCTTTAATTAGAATACCACCGTACTCACCAGGTTCTACATGTTGCTTTCATAACATCACCAGGAGCATACATTTCCCCATTCAGTGTGCATGGACACTGTTCTACCGGGACACATGTTCGGTTTTTTGAAATGTCATCCAAAACAGTCCCTGTCAAAGGTGAAAGCAAATGAATGGCAAGCATTTTAATTCCTTCTGAATGTATATAGCATAAAGCTTGGGAACTTTTGCAAGGTGTTTTTTTTCCCTCTGGAGGAAATTCAGGGGCAGGTCTATTCACTTAGGTACTCTTCATATCATGGACAAATTGTGTTCCAATGTCATAGCAATAAATCTGATAGAGACCGAAAACCATAGGTAATTAACTAAATATAAAGTGCACAGCATACACAGTCATTTGGCCATTTGGCATAGTTGAATTTAAGTTACATATTCCTAAACATACTTTTTAAAGAACCTGGTTTAGCTTCAGAATCACAGATAATTTCCACTTTAAACCTGTTCCTAAATAAGATGATTCCTCCTAGAATGACTATTTTTTCTACTAAGCCAGGAAAACACTCCCAGCTCCATTGAGCATCTTTACCTTCTCCTTAGGGAAATAATCTGGGTTGTCATGCCTAGCCAATCCATAAACAAGTCATTTCTGAGCCCCATCTAACAGTGAAGCCCTAACTCAGCCCTACCTGAAAGTTAAACTGTCAGGTTCTAACTTGTAACCCTCTATTCTCTTCTCATTGGATGACACTTCACCCAGCCCTGATTATCTTATGAGTCTCCAGGAGGCTGACCCAAGGTCTATCCATCACAATGTCCTTTTACCTTCTGGGCAGAAGCAGCCATATGTACAGTAGCTGGAACAGCTGTAATCTGGATTGGAACATGTTTTGAGACAGGGAGAACCACACTCTTTGTAGACTTGGTTAGCTGGACATCTTCCCAAAGCTGCAAAACGCAATGGTTCAGAGAGTGAAGTTAGGACAGACGGGAAGGAAAGAAGTACAGCAAATTGTCAAGAAGCGGAAAAAATGCAATGGAGAATAGCTACAGGGGGAACAAGGAGCAGCAACAACAATAAGGAGCAGGCGAAACACTGATGGGGAGCATACTTTCTTCCTGTCCTCATTGGTAGCCCTGTCTTAATACATGTAAATAATGAGGCATTTACTAGCTGTGCACATTTTATTTCAGAATACAGAAGCTGATGTTTATGGTAGTTTGGTCAATGTGTTGTTAATACCTGACATGTATAATCATGATCCAGAACCTCATAACTTACAGCAGAGGTCAGTGCTCCTCCAATCAGACACATCCTGATGGGACATGGCACACTGCCTGGAGTACTCTGAAAGGGTAGCACAAGTACAGTTCCTCTGCCCTGGATCAGGGCAGTTTTGCATGTCAAGTTGGCAGCGGATAACAAACCCTTTCCTTGAGATGTTGCAAGATTGAGAGACGAGTCCTAGAAGCTGGCTGCAGATCCTAGACTATTGGAAAAAGAAAGAATGGCAGTTTCAATGAATGCAATGCATTTTGGGACAGGGCGCGATTGTACCACAGACTGAATTGCTTTGACAACTTGTTGTTACCAAAAGCATTGAGTAAGAATGTGTGCCTATCGTTAATGTAGTCTCCCCCTTATCACCATATAAGTTTTGGACTGGCAACCGAAAGCCACAGGCGGCAGTCCCTGGATCCAGTGCATTGTTCCACCATCACCCATGTCACTTTCAATGGTGGCAAAACGTCCCACCTTGCTTCCTGTCGTCTGAGGGCTGAATAACATTTAATCTTGAACAGGAGAGTAGATAGGCAGAATTATGTGTGATATCTGTTGCCGTGTAGGGATTAAAAGGAGAGAGTAAGACACACAAAGCTATGTCTTTTTACTATTCCTTGTCTATCTAACATTAACCCTTCAGGCCGCTGCCCTGACTGTGACTCTCCAGGGTTCCAGACAGGAGTCTTCTCCAGTCCTATCTGCATTTGACCTTGGATCTTTTGAATGTTCTGGTCTTTTACCGCATTTTGAAAAGTCTTAATAAAATCTTTTTTTAAAAGAAGATATGAATGGATCCCTTTTTAATTTGCAATGCGCAGGGGCCACAGCAGGGGGCAAATGGTTGAAGCCCCTGCACCATCCTCCCACCAGAGTTCTGATCCAAATCAGGCCCCAGCGCACCTGATATTTTAATTGCCAAAAAATAATATATTAAAACAAATGGATCCTTTTCTAGCAATGCATATTGTCCACGTGAGAGAGAGAGAGAGAGAGAGAGAGAATGCATGGATGGGAGTGATATATTTATGAGAATGTGGATAGCGATGACCACTTTGGGCTCTGGCCACACTCATTTGGGGCTCCTGCCCTGCTACAAAGAGAATACAGTCTCCATCCTGTTGTGTGAGAAGCAGGGAACTAACTGGGGAGAATGCCATTCCCTCACAGCTGGAAAGCCTAAATTCTCCACTTTTGAAAATCCCTTTTATGAAAAACCTCCAAAAAGATAGGAAGAGGTTTGCACATCCCATTCCATGCTTTCCTCCCAGTTCTTTCAGACCGACTTAGCCAATCTGCTACTGTATCTTCAATCATGGCAGTGTTTTATCAATTACTGCCTCTGTCTAAAAGTATTGAAAGGTAGGCAGATCCAGAAAAATGACATGGTACATACATATTTCTTGCGAGGAACGTTAGAAACTGCCATTTCCTCAACTGGGCAGATCTCTGCAGGATCATCAATTTTCTGCAAGGCAGCATATTTTTGAGGGTCCAGAAGTTTGTCTATTAATCAAAGTATAAATTCAGTTGAGTTTGTTAGTCCATCTTAGGCAACCTATGCACTATATAAATGGGGGTCCATTTATACACCTGACTCATTTTACATTAAAAAACAACAACTGTGCATGTATGAAAATAGGCGGGTGGCTTGTTGTTGTCATCAATCTCTGGAAAAATAAAACATAAGGAGTGGAGATTTTAAGGGCAGTAAAATGATGCCTTCTTGACTCTAGTCATGCTTTTCCCTTCATGGAAGGGCTGTTGACCCAGTGAACATCTTTGCAGAAAGCAATGTTTGCCAATTTCCCCTGTTTGGGGAAGCTTTTAATGTTTGATGTATTATAGTATTTTAATATTCTTTTGGAAGCCGCCCAGAGTGGCCGGGGAAGCCCAGCCAGATGGGCGGGGTATAAATAATAAATTATTATTATTATTATTATTATTATTATTATTATTATTCCACTACAGACCCTATACTCTATAGAAGTTTGGGGACCCTCCAAACAGCACAGAGGATAGCATGGGGGAAGGGCTTGGCAAAAGATTTCCTCCTCACCTTTCCTGTTAATGGAAACCTCCACTAGATTGAAAACTCAATTGGATATATCCAATGCTTTTACCTTTTCTTATTATAATACCACAGAAAAGTGATGGGAAATAAAAAACATGGGACCTTACTGCCATGTGTGAGCAAGTAGTCCTCATATTATCGTCTTTATTTTATCAACTATACTAGAAGTTTAGGCAATTAGATGACAATGTTTGGCTTAATAAGTTGTCATGAAATCCAAACCTTTCTGTCATTTATTTCTGCACCGGAAAAACTCACCTTCACTCATAAACTCATTTAATTCTTTCCCATCAAAGTTCCCACACAGTCCACATGTTCTTGTCATGTATTTTTCCTCAATCAAAACCTAAAAGAGAAAACTGAATTAATTAGAAAAATAGCTGTGCATTATATCTTGGTGAAATACAAAGCCCTGAGTGACTCAGGTCTCAAGTACTTAGAGGAGAGCCGCTCTCTGCCAGCCCATACATTAAGATCTGCTGAGAAGGCCCTCCTTGTGATCCTGCTACCCAATGTAGCACATGTTGCTGTGATGTGGGGAAAAGTCTTGTTGCTAAGGCTCCCTGTCTGTGAAATTCCCTTCTTGTAAAATAGAGGAGACTAACCATTTATGGCCTGAAGGCCACATTCATCCATGGCCAGCACTCAGAGCAGGGGAGATCATACCACTGCTTAGTGTGCCTACTCGAGACTTGCGCATATGCACAAAGGACACACATAGGTTGGCATACATAGACACACATCACCCCCTCCTAAGTTGATATGTGCAGATCAGAAGAGGAAGGAGGTTTACAACCCCCTTTCCCTATATGAGATTATCAGTCTGATGACTGGGTGAGGGTGCCCATCCTGACACTGAATCTACTTATTTCTTACATCTTTCTGAGCACAGATTGATAAAATGCAGCGTTGTGCCATGTTTGCCAGGAGAATGCACACCTGAGTCAACACCAACCACAATTAGCGCAGCAGCAAGGTCAACGAAATGTCTGAGAACCGCTTTGTGGGCTGCTGTCCAGGTCAGATTGACCCATGTTGCATTATTAATCGTGCGACTACCCGCCATTAGATGAGGTTTTGTTTGTTTTTTGCTTTGCTTTTTTGAAAAGGAGTCTTGTTGTGACACCTTGAAGGCCAACAGATTTATGCCAACAATTAATCTGCTAGTTTTTAAAGTGCCACAGCAAGACTCCTTTTTGTTCTTGCTGTTAACAGGTTAACAGGCCTCCCTCGCTGGAATCTGTCATCCTGAAGAATGTAAGTGTTCTCCCCCAATCATATTTTCTATGGGTGAAAACAGATGACCACTTAACCATGTGGCTAGTGCTTCAGTGTGTTCTACCTGTCAGCCCTAATCAGGTACGGAGTTTGTCATCCCTAGGCTGTAGCCACCCAGGCAGTCCAATGTAATGCAATGCCTGCTTATATCCTTTCCTTCCTTTTACTTGCAGGGAGGATGGGAAGAGCCAGCTCATGGCATGTTGAGAACCCAGTGAAGCCTCTGATGCCCTTTGTGACCGCCAGGGCGGGAGGCAGGGAGCATAAAGAGTAGGTAGCCAATGCCAGGCACAGCCAGCTAATTCTAGTTTTGCCCCCCCTCCCCGCTTAGATCCCCAAGGGCAACACTTAGACTAAGGAGGATGCAACTGATAGCCGGGGACACACTCTGGACTGGTTGTAAGAAGGCAGGTGGGGGCTGGCTTCTTCATTACAACCATGCAGCAATAATGTAAAACCTGTGCGATTTTTATCATTCCAAAAATATGCTCAGAAGATGAAAGCAAGACTTTACCCACCATGAGATAATCATCATTATTCCAGAAAACGGCAAGCTCAATCTCCATCAGCTTGGCCACTAGGCGGATGGTGCGTCCAAAAGGTGTAATCTGAATTCCATTTCTGGTGTATGGCAGCCTGATAATACTATTGGAGTAGTATGGGGAAGGGGAAAGAAGAAACACATAGACTTAGAAACTTAGTAATTCCAAGGAATTTCTAGGCTTTGTGTTCTAAGTCAAAAGCTGTCTTTTTTATCCAAACTTTTTTTAATCATCCATAAATTAGAGATGCTTAGCAATGTCTATTTCTCACCATACATTTCCATTAAAATTAATAATTAAAAGTTTCCTAGTCACTTTAAACATTAAATTTAAAACTATATTTGTTAAAGATCAGACTGAGTCTGGAAAAGACCACTTTTCCCAATTACGAACGCAAGGCGGGTGCCATAATACCAGCAAAAATAAGCATTTAACTCATTCATGCCTAGTGGGATGCCTTTTATTATTAATATTCATGGGACAGTTTGGGAATTTTAAAAAATGCAGGCAAAAGAGCTCTAAAATCTACTAGAAACCAATTTCAGTTAGGAGAGGCCTCAGCCTTGGATCACACAATCTGAGGAAACTTCTGAGCATGTGTAAAATGCCATTCCTACTGTGACAGAATCTTGGGAGTTTGGCAAAGTCCAGCTTTCACTTTTGACAAGCTGAAGAATTGGAAAGAAATGCTTCATTTCTGCCATCATGTTTTCATAAAGTACAAAATATGTTGCTGTTGTTTGGTTAAACCCCAGGTTTTGGGGCAAGTTTTATGTTTGTCTCCAAACAATTTCCATTAACACTATAAAAATGAAAACCATGCCAACAAAGAATATTATGTCAAAAACTGTATTAACAACACCTTCAGATAGGAAAAGAAAAAGGCCAGCTTGAAACCTGAACCTATAGTTGTTGATTAAAAAAAAGAGCAAAACTTTCACCACATGAGCATTTTACTATCACGTGCTTACCCAACATCCTTGACTGATATGATGCCATTTTCAATTATGATAACGTTGGGTCCCAACTCGATGATGATTCTGGCAATTTTTTTGTTTGGCCCGCGACGGAACTGGATGTTGAAATCCGGGTTGACGTCATTGCATACGGTGGCAAAGATGTAATTGCAAGTCCCAGAAAAATCATACAAGTAGTTGTCAAAAGTTGAGAAATGCCCAGTGCCCCAGGTGGAGCATGAGCCCTTATCCACAGCTTAAAGAAAGGAAGCAAAACTATAGTGAGGTTCTGTTGGGCCCTGATTATTCTGTTGGCCATTCTGAATGGCATTGTGCATATACTTTAGCAGTATTTTAATCAGTTGAATGGATTCTTCTTTTAAATCTGTCCTCCTGGCTCATGATACATAAGCATGGGCATGTACCGTGTTGTCTACCAACAATTATTTTTTCTAAGAGTTTCCATTCATAGCAGATGCCCCTATTAAGTCCCCGTCCTATGTGTTTTTTAAAGATTCCAGCTTTCCTTGATGCAGAATTTGGACTGCCTGAGTGCAGGACTGTAATAGTTTTTTAAAGTATAAAATTCATGCCGTGTTGCATATATCTGCCTTTTGAAGTGCTGTGAACCTTTTATCATGATTTCACACTAAAACAAGGAAAGTAATACCTGTATGATGAAGACGGGCATTATCTAGACTTCTCAACTCTTCAGAATAGGTTTCTAGAAAATAGGAAAAGGTGCATATGTCAAGTCTACATAAGTTAGCATTTCTAGTTATCCTCCAATCAAATGCATTTTCATGATTAAAATATGACCCACACTATCCTGTAGCTCAGTTTAGTTTCTAGAATGTCCACAGGAGTATCTCATTATTAGGAAAGTAAAGAAAGGGGGGGGGGGAATGATCAATATTTTTCTCTCTCCACTACAGGGAAGCCTGTCTCTGTAGATTCTACTTCTAGGAAAAGAAATACTTACCAAGGTCAAGCCATTCAGCACTCCTTTGGCCTAAAGTGAAACAAAGGTATATTTGTTGTAGCAGTATTGGACATATATATACTGATTGTATTAAAATAACTTTAATTAAAATAACTTTAATTAAAATAACTAAGTTATTTTAATTTTGTTGTTTAGTCGTTTAGTCGTGTCCGACTCTTCGTGACCCCATGGACCAGAGCACGCCAGGCACTCCTGTCTTCCACTGCCTCCCGCAGTTTGGCCAGACTCATGTTTGTAGCTTCGAGAACGCTGTCTAACCATCTTGTCCTCTGTCGTCCCCTTCTTCTTGTGCCCTCCACCTGATGTTGGGAAAGATGGAGGGCACAAGAAGAAGGGGACGGCAGTGGACAAGATGGTTAGACAGCATTCTCGAAGCTACAAACATGAGTCTGGCCAAACTGCGGGAGGCAGTGGAAGACAGGAGTGCCTGGCGTGCTCTGGTCCATGGGGTCACGAAGAGTCGGACACGACTAAACGACTAAACAACAAAATTAAAATAACTTACCATTTACTGCTGAACCCTATAACAGAGTTTCAATTCCCACTACTAGAAAACAGGGCATAATGATAATACACTTCCCCTCCCCAACGAAAGGTGAAAGGAAAAAAATGCTCTTAGGTGTTATATTTCCAAAGGTAGAATTTATCTACACACACACACACACACACACACACACACACACTGCTTTGTTAATTGAATTACTTTTTGTGGCTTCAAATATAACAGCAAAGTGAAAACATTTCCATCCTTTGCCTGGCACATTTTGACCCTGAAGAATAGTCCCATGGACTTGAAGCTCGAAACAAGCATTCTAAACTATTGGGAATACTAAATACCATTCTTTTTCCAAGCATGACTTGACCTCTGACCATTCAGCACTGATATTCTTCTCCTGAGAGAGACCTTTTGAGAAACCTACTACCACAGTGACATGTCCTGATGCCCTCCAGATATTGTTGGACTACAAGTTCCATCTGCTCTGACCACTGGCCTTAGAGGGAGTTGATGGGAGTTGTAGTCCAACAACATCTAAAGGGCACTTGGCTGGGGAAGGCAGCCCTTGAGCCTCATTATAGGAGGAATCTCATTACAGTGACTGCTCTCCTGCGGTTCCATCCCATTTTGCTGCAGTGATGTTAAAATGAAAGAAGTAGACCAGAAAGTGCTGACAACATGTTTTCTTTCCCCACTGGTCTTGCAAACTACTCCTGCATCATCTCTCCCATTCCAGTATCACCAGGAACACATGGAATGGGGCTCGGCCAGAATAGCAGCCCCGCCACTGCTGTCGCTTAAGAAAGAGTCCACAATGGATGTTAAATGTGCAAATTATTACCTCCTCCTAATGCCACTTCCTGTCTTTGAAAGGAGGCATCTATGAAATAAAAAAGGAAATTAAATAGAGAATACATATACAATTAATTGAAACAAACAACTTTTCACAAGTATTCTTGGAATTATGCATCTTGGTTTTAAACTCATGAATGAAATAATTATTTAGGTTAAAAGCAACAACAGTTGACCAAGTGGATATTGTCTGCATTAAAACTATTCGAGTTTAGGTTCAGTTATACAGTGCTAATCTTTTGCAAGCACATTTACTCCATCAAGGGCCCATCATTCGGAGAACCCTTACTCTGCCAATACAATGGATATAGAGGATAAGCAGCAGTAGCTCTTTACTTTTTAAGTAGTAGTAATAGGGCTGTTTTTTAATATAAAAAATAAGGTAGTAGTTTATATTGGGGACGCGGGTGGCGCTGTGGGTAAAACCTCAGCGCCTAGGACTTGCTGATCGTCAGGTCGGCGGTTCGAATCCCCGCGGCGGGGTGCGCTCCCGTTGCTCGGTCCCAGCGCCTGCCAACCTAGCAGTTCGAAAGCACCCCCGGGTGCAAGTAGATAAATAGGGACCGCTTACTAGCGGGAAGGTAAACGGCGTTTCCGTGTGCTGCGCTGGCTCGCCAGATGCAGCTTGTCACGCTGGCCACGTGACCCGGAAGTGTCTTCGGACAGCGCTGGCCCCCGGCCTCTTAAGCGAGATGGGCGCGCAACCCCAGAGTCGGACACGACTGGCCCGTAGGGACAGGGGTACCTTTACCTTTACCTTTAGCATTTTTATCAGGAGAGAGAAAATGATCACTAGTGTCTTGTGAGTGCAATGGTAGGGTTTCCATATTTGTTATGGAGCTGTCTCACTTTAATAGTCACATTAAATGGACAGACAGTTTCCCCTTCATAATAATGCCGTGGCAAAAGAAGCTGCATGCATCTGGCAAAGTTTTCCGTTTTATGCCACAGGTATCTTTCATTGAATTAGGAATGTCTAGCTAGGAGAAGAGGCAATTAAGAGGTGATATGATAGCCATTGTCAAACATCTGAAGAACCATCAAAGATATGAAGGAGCAAATTTGTTTTCTGTTGCTCCAGGGGACCAGAAGGCAAGACCTGAACCAACATGTTCTAATTGCAGCAAAAGGGATTTTGACTAAATTTCAGTAAGAACTTTCTGACAATATGAGCTGTTCAACAGCCGATTGTTTTGGAAGATGGTGGGCTCCCCTTTATCAGAGGTTTTGAATAAGAAGCTGGATAGTCTTCTATTAATTATGTTGTAACTGTGGATTTTCTGCATCGGAAGGGGTTGATTTAGATGACCTTTGAAGTACCTTCCAACTGAGAACTTAGCTCTGTATTTGACCTGACAATCCTGATATTTAGGAAGGGCTGGTCTCAGAACTGAATTCGCTTATTTCCTTCTACATTTGCCCACAATAAGTGGTTTTGTCAATGATATATGAGTCAGCCAAGTGTGGAATGATATATTTTGGTATTTGCTGCATAAAAGTAGTGGAAGGGGTGGGGGAAAGAAAGTATCAAAAACTTCCTGATGGCTAAACGGAAAGGAAAATAATATCTACTTTGCATTTTATTCCAGGAACTTTTACCCATGGAAGATGCCTGACAACAGATGGAATTGTGCCAAAGGTAGTTTCTGACATTACTATGCTCTTCCCATTATGATGCAAATCGACACCATTGTGGAAATGGATTGTTTCAAGATGCTACTGTAACTTCAGAAACAAAATCTTTACAGCTCTGGCCCAGCATCAGAGGCCAGCATGATCAGGCCCATGCTGACACTCCTAGGGCACAGAGGGACCCATAACCAGTCCTGCTCACACCACCATTGAGGGCTCCATCCAACATTGCCATCAGGGTTCCCACCATCGGCTTCTCCTGCTCTACTGCTGCGTTTTGCTGCTGCTGCCAGTCACTGACTCCCTGGACATATTTACTTGGCTTGACTCCCACCCATCTATTGCTGCTGCCAGGAAAGATAAACATGTCCAGGGGCAGCACGTGAACAACAGGCAGCAGCAGCAGCAGCAAGCAACAGGGCATGGTCCCAGATGACACAATTACTGTTGCTCTCCCTCTGGACATGTTTACTTGGCAGGCAGTGACATTTTTTGCAGAGGATGTGAGCCAAATGCTTATCCACTATGCATGGGCACCATCTTAGAGTGCCCCAAATGCAAAGCCCAGTATTGACACTATACATTGCATTTTAGACAATCTAAAATTATAGCTGTCCACAGCAGGTCTGAAGAGTATTGGCTTATTTCCTATTCAGAAACTTTGGGTTGTATTCAACTAACTTAACATAATGTATGTCCAAGTATGGAGCAAAGTTAGTCCTGTGAGAACAGTAGATTAATGAAGCCCTCTTTCTTGTTAGGATCCTTTCTTATGTAATTTAAGTTGCACCTTGATTTCAAAGACAGGCTGAATGCAAGGGCTGTTTTTCATATATGCATATGTGTTCACTCCTGTAGATAGGCTAGAATCATAGAACCTTAGAGTTGGAAGAGACCGTGGTTTAGTCCAATACCATTACACTATGACTTGTATCCATTGTAGTACTAAGTAACTGTCCTATTAGCACAAAGATTTACATTTGCACACCAGGGCTCATCTACTCTTCTCCTTCACACACCCATTTACCATGTTTTGCCCCCCCCAATACTCTGGACACTATTTTTCTAGAAAAAGAGGTGCCGGAACTCACTATGAACACCTACCATGTTATCTTGTAATGGCAATGGCACCCACCTAAGAGGTGCTGGAAATGAGTTCCGGCTGAAAAAAAGCCCTGCCTCTGGAGCAGATTTGGGGTGAGTACATGGCAGGCACACAGGGCAGGAAAGTCCCATTGTGCAAGCATAAGTCCTTGCACTGACAGAATGCTTACTTAATGCTGCATTGGATACAAGGCAATGTAAGCCTTCAGCTCCAAATCACAGTACCAGACCACAGCCGCAGTTCCACATAGAACAGTATTCACTATTGCCCATGCAATCCAAATAGCAAAAAAAGAGAAAAGAACAACGCTTAACACTAGGTACAATATTTGTTCCTCTCAGAATTTTTCATATGTAATTATTTGCAGATGTATACCTTTCTGTGTGTCCTGTGTAGGACCTGAACCAATTTACAAGAAAGGAGATTCAGACTAAACATTAGGAAGACCTTCCAGATGGTAAGAGCTGTCCAATGGTGGAGTGGACTACCTTGGAAGGTGGTGGACTTTCCTTCATTGGAGGTTTTAAAACAGGTTGGAAGGACATCTTTGGGCCAAAATACACGACACTAAACATATCATTTGAAGACCCTTATATTGGATGTGCTGATTGCCTTACGCAGCAATCCTATGCACATTTTCCTGGCAGTTAGTTACACTGAACTCAATGGGACTGACTTCTGAGTACACTTTTAGAGGTCTGTACTGCTAAGGAGGTTTATAAATTGATCTGTGAAGTTTAAGTGAACTTTTTAATTGTTCTTTCTGGGGGTTGTTCTACAAATCCATCTTTCAGGAATATGTTCTTCTATGTGGTTAGTGTCAAATGGGTCATTAGGTGCATTAGAAAATATAAAAGAAATAAATTTAGAACTGTTCAGAACACGTCTGTATTGTTTTTAGAAAGAAAGACTTAAAACTATGTGCTTGGAATGTTTTTGGCAGTACTGGGACCAGTTGTAACAGCAAATAATTACAGGTGAAAAAGAAAAAGAGCAAATAACAAGAAACCATAATCTAGAAGAGAACCAAAATGAGTTACAACAGAGTTTTAGATAAGAACCATATACATTTAGTAAGTAGGAAGAACAGTACATCTTTCACAGACTTACCTGATAACCTGTCTGAATGATCCATATGATTCTGATCTGATAAAGAAAAATAAATTTTATGAAACAAAAACTATGAAAGTAGAATATAAAACAGGTATTTTGAAACCACAATTGATAGTAAAGTGTTTATAGCCATCTTCATGGAGTATTACTGTATTAGCTATTAACCTGTGATAGGTACAGGAACCACCTTCTTCAGAGGCAAAATACCTATCATTACTGTACCAGATTCTGAGGACAAATGGGGTCAACTTCATGCTCTGTTTGTGAGCTTCTAGAATCTAGCTTGGAATGCTGAACTACATGGATCTTTGGACAGATGCAGAAAGGCATATCTTACATCCCTAGATGGATTCACAGAACAAATTTATTTTTCGAATCAAAAAGCGTTGAAGTATTTATCTTCTTTCATGGAAGCATCTTTCAAGTGAAATATACGAAATAATGTATTGTTGTTGGGTATAATAGTTGGGCTCCATCCTAGAAGAGTTTCATGTACAAGTATGCAAGATTGCTGAAGGAATATGTAAGATCTCTTGCTTCTGGAACCATTGGAGGTTGGTATTTATTGCAGTTTCCAGATCTGAAAGTGTATTCCATCGAAGGTTCTATATGTCAAATAAAGAGGATGAATGCTGAACCGTGGCATGAAAAGCAGGGAGTGTTCCACAAGTACCCAAGAGAAATGTCAAAGTGCAAAAGTCAAGAAGAGAACGATCAAATCATTCAGTTTTGCCTAAATATATTGTGTTTCAAACCAGTCATTCCCACTTTATAATCACACTGGGATCCTTCCTTCCTTCCTTCCTTCCTTCCTTCCTTCCTTCCTTCCTTCCTTCCTTCTTTCTTCTTATTTGGTTAATTATATATGATGGGCATTCCAGACAAGCAGTGTCAAAGAAAAGAAGTGAGGTTAACTTATCTATAGCATCTTCTACCACTTTATTCCATCCTATCCCTATATATTGCATGTCCTCTAATGCTTTGGCATCCTTTCCCCCCAAAATGACAAGATTGAAAGAAGTCCCATGTTATCTATGTATTCTAGATGTGATTTTAGACTTACCTGAACTATGCAGGAGGCTGCAGAGGAGAACCAGTAGTGCCCAAAGCATGATGTTGAGTGGAGAGTCCTTTCCCCCACCTTGGACTCTCCTCCTCCCCTATCTACTCACAATGGGCAGTGCTGCTGCTGCCACTCTAGCCTCACCTTGTCAAGCTTGGATGCTTTATATATAGCATTACAAGGCCCTCCCTTATTCCCATGCACATTCTGAGATGGCTGCAGCTGGGTAAAGTGGAGTAACCGCCAAACAGGATCTTCACTTTATCAGGCCTAATGCACGCAAATGCTATCTGGAAATATAAAAGAAAAATACACCTCCTCTACTTGAGTATCATTTTTCCATAGCTAGTTCAACGGGCTTGGCTTGCGACAATTTACACAAACACTTTTAACAGTATTTGCTGTAGAAGTGTGGTGTGGAGTCCAAAAGAAATGCAGATCTGTAGTGCAGAAAATCTGATAACCCTGATAAAGGCGGAATGTAGCACATGGAAGATGGAACAAGCTTGTTTTCTGCTGCTCCAGAGGGTAGGACCCAAACTAATGGATTTAAATGACAAGAAAGGAGATTCTGACTAAACATTAAGAACAGCTAAGTTGTTAAACAGAGGTTTGATGGCCATCTCTCAGGGATTCTTTAGCTGTGATTCCTGCATTTCTGGGGGTTGGACTTGGTGTCCCTTTGAGTCCCTTCCAACTCTACAATTCTATGATACATAGACTATTGGCCAAAGAGACAAGAGGACTGAAGTTGGGCAGTCTTGCTGTGCTAATATTATGAACAGGCAATGAAAGGAGACTCTCTCTCTCTCTCTTTGTATGTGTGTGTTTAAAATAGAAGGCAAGGCTGATGATTTGAGATCCTACTGATACAGGTTCCTAATTTTCCTTAAAAATCTTTCTTTCCTCCAGTGTTTATCCCTTTCAAACATAGTGGGAATGAACATTTTTCAGCCCTAAGTAATGATATTTGTTCCCTGGAGGAGGGCTGGACAAGCATAATTATAAAGAACAAGCTTCAGAATGTTGTGTCAAAAAATGCCATTTGAATGCAGTTCCACTGTACTAGGACACCATGAAGTTCTTCTGTCCAGGTCCCGTGGAAATGAATGAAAGGTGTGTTCTTGTATGACTCCTGTCCAGTTTCAATGTGGGCTTTTGCCAGGTAACTTTGTAGTGATTGTGCTCTCCAGAGGAAGAGGGAAAGAGCTGTAGCTCAAAGGTAGAAAATCTGTTTTGCATGCAGAAGGTCCCAAGTTCAACTTGTGGCATCTTCAGGAAGGGCTGGGAGAGAACCCTGCCTGAAACTCTCGAGAACCGTTGAGTGTAGATAATACTGAGCTACTGGCCTGAGTTAGTAGAAGGCAGCTTCCTATGCTCCTATAAGGTTCTACAATTCTCCAGCCATCTCTTCAGATTAATAGGTAAAATATGGTGTGGTCTACCCATGCATTAAAATGCAGGGAAAAGTCATGAGAAAAAGTATTGAGTTAGTAGAATGTACTGCAGACTGCAAGTGAAGGAACACATTTTTAATGCTCTCCTTTGGCAAAAAACAATACAAAGCAAACATACAAAAATGCACTCTCCCTACTTCTACCATTAGGCAGAAGGAGGCAATCACCTCAGGTGGCAGATCTGGCCTGAGAGGAAACATCCCTGAATATTTTGTCTGAGCCCTCCAGCCATTCCCCTTAGTTGTCTCATGCCTGTCCCAGGCTCCCTGATCTGTCCTACTGCCTCAGTTGTGGTGAAAGCTGCTATCTACTTACCAGGTTTGAAGCAAAATTTAACTGCTGGCCCAGTTAGTTTCTCTTTGTGGGATGGGAATGCCATCTTGTCCTTTGACTCAGGCAGGAAAATACCTTGCACCTGCCCCAGCAGAGAGGGGGCTTGGTTAGAACCTGTTTCACTCCTGAGTTACTGTTTTTTACTAGCAGAGGAATGTTTTTTATTTTGTTTTCTGAAAATAGGGTGTGTTTTAGTGATATATGGGAGGTCACAGGAGAACACAGAACTCTCAAGTGTCAATTCAGGGTTTCTGTAGCTCAAAGCACATAGAGCCAAAATGCCTTCTTTTCCAAGACAATACAAGACGGCTACTGGCTCTGCAAACATACTCTGTCCACAGTTGCCAGCCTCCTCAGTTAACACACAAGAGGAAGACTGAGAGTTGTAGCCAATACAGTGGTACCTCAGGTTACAAATGCTTCAGGTTACAAACTCCACTAACCTGGAAGAGTTACCTCAAATTGATAACTTTACCCCAGGATGAGAACGGAAATCATGTGCCGGTGGCGCAGCGACAGCAAAAGGCCCCATTAGTGAAAGCACGCCTCTAGTTAAGAACAGTTTCAGGTTAAGAATGGACCTCTGGAACAAATTAAGTTCATAACTAGAGGTACCACTGTATAGCACTAAGTATCTTGTTTCACCAGCACAAGTGTTTCTCCTTGTGCAATGGTACACTCTCTTCCTTTCCGCCTACCTGCACATTCCCTAAATCTGTTTTGGGGTTTCCCCTAACCCTCCACAGCAGAATTGGGTATGGTGTGGGGTACATGAAGGGAGGAGAGGGGGAGAAGCCCATTGAACTACCAGTAATAATTGCATGTGTGCAACTAGTGTAGGAACAACATGGAAGGAAAAAGGTACTATTTGGTAACACCTTTTTCCAGAGTCCCTGGTTTGAATCCCCCAACATCTTAAAAGGTGCTGTAAAGCAAAACATCTTAGATACAGAGGATAGGACTGGACCAATCTTGCTAAAGCTCAAGTTCTCTGGCTGATTTGAGGATAATAAGATGCCTGAATGTAAGTGCATGTAACAATTTACACCAAGAGCTTAACAGATTTCTTTCTCCTTTGGCTGTCTTAAGAACTCTACACTGCATGGGAAACATTATTTTGAAATCAATTCCTAGGGACAATGGTTTCATGCCTCACTGTGTTGGCTCAATGCCTGCAATATCTTAGATTCCCTACGTGTTAGACCTCTGAGGCTGGAACTACATGTGTCAGCCACTCCTTGTGTTCCCCCACAGCCTAGGTGAAGAGATATTTGTAAACGCTGCAATCCACAGAGCAAAAGAGCAAGTTGACAGGGACAGAGAGCAGCAGGTATCAAAAGATTTTTTTTGGAGGGGGAGGAGTTTCAGAAACATTTTCGTAAGTGCTAGGAAGCATCCTCATAATCAGTTCCTGCATTTTATTCATTTCCCCAAAGATTATCTACCAACAAAGGCCAGGTTTTATGTTTCTTATTTTAGACTGTGAACCCTCGGGTCAGCAAATTATCTGTTTTCAGCCTGTAAAGCAATAAAGCACCAGGATTTCCTTAAATTCCTAACAGCTGAAATAGAAAAGTATTGCTTTTAAGACAGATCTGCACATTACAATGAACAAGGCAATTACAGAAAATGGAAAATAATGTATTGGATACCTCCTCTCCATCCTGTATCCTCTAAGACTTTGTCAAGAAAATACTGTGTGAAGACATCAGGGTGTTGGGAACTTCCCTGCTCCCATCTCACGCCATTGGCTTCTGATGTCACAGAGATGGGTGCATGGATTCCTATGGATTCCTATGTCATTAGGATACAGTAGTCACAGCAGGGCACAGACACAGTATGGAACCTGGGAGACCAGGGTTCAAATCCCCACTCAGCCATGAAGGTCACTGGGCCAGTCACTGTCTCTCAACCTAACCTACCTCACAGGGTTGTTGTGAAGAAAAACAAGAAGGCAGAGAATTGTGTACACCACCTTGAGCCTCTTGGAGGAAAGGTGGGTTATATGTGTAATAATCAATAGGACACAGATAAGTTGTTTGATGTATTGCAGAGGGGTAGGAGGGAGTAATTTTTTATTTTTGTGTTTCCCCCTTTCTTTTCATGTTACTACATGCATGCTCACGTATATAAACAATTTTTTTGCAGGGGAAAGAAGTGTAACCTTACACAGAAGTATATGTACAGTATATACATGATGAATATTCAAAGAAAATAATGTGAAATAGTTTCATACCCAGACGCGGCCCCCCTCCCCTAGGAGCCAGGCCTCACGGTGAAAGGAGAAGACATGACAACATATATTTGGGATTAAAATGACCACAACTTTATTGAATTCAGATGTAGGTAAACTTTGGCATAGGCACTGGGCCCCCACCCTGCTGGGGGTCTGAGGCATGACAGGGTCAGTAAGGGGAAGATGGGACCAACGCAAAATGCGTGTTTACACAGCTGGTCCCTCCCCAAATCACTGAGGATAGCACCCATCTGCCATGCCACCAGAAGTGTGTGAGTCACCAATTCATCCCTCTTTTAGGTGTTTGACTAAAGGATTCCGCTGAAGGCCTAAGCCACCAAAGTTGTGACAATTGCTATGGGGAAGGCGAAACCTGCAAAGCAGGGGCAATTCCTTCCCGGCTCTGAAGACAAAAACCACCACACAACCACAGCAACGCCCGCGTGCCTGGAAAGAAAAGGTTAGTCTGCAAGAAAACAAGATTAGAGGTGGGCTGGCTGGGTGGGTGACGCTCTGGGGCTGACTATGCTGCCGAGAGCAGCGCCAGACCCTTTTTGTTCTCTTGGAGCGGAGCGGAGCAAAGCCTCCTCCAGTGCAGTCCACTGGTGAGGGGAATAAGGCTCTGCTAATAACTCTCACCACCTTTAACAAACTAGATTTCCCAGGATTCTTTAGGGGAAAGTCTTGACTATTAAAGTTGTATAAGATTGTTAAATAGCTTGGGTGGGTGTGGCCCAAATGTGTCCGACCAGTGCACCATGGGGAAAAATAAAATGGTGGCTACCAGGAGGCTGCCTTGCAGTAAATTTGACACTCCTTACAGTTAAAGAAAGCAAAACAAAAAGTCTGTTCTGCCATGCTCTATGGTAAGGACCCACCTACTCATACAGTAGGAGGCCCAGCAGTTTGCCAAAGCTACCTCAAACCAGCAGTTGACCTTATTCAGAGGCTCCCATCCTCTCTGTGTTTCTGCATGGAGCTAAGTCCTGAGGACAGAATAGACAGCAGACAGGGGCTGAACTG